CACCGGCGACGACGACAAGCAAGTTGACGATGAGGTCCAGCTGATTTCTGTGTACCGTCCAGAATTCGACTCGGCCAGCGGTCGCAACCGTCGCATGCGTCTCGAACGTCAAGAACGTCGTAACCAACTTTCGAATGGCGGAGCAGTTCAAAGTTCGCAAGCACTGCCATCAACCAGCAATCAAGATGGCGACGACGTCGAGATCACCATGCAGCGGCGTCTCGGTCAACCTCGCCTCGCTGTCTGGACTGGAAACGGCCAACCGCCCATTCCCAGCATACAAGACCTCGGCGACGCGGATGCCTACGCATCTCAGCGCGCGCGTCGTCGACGTCGCACAGAGCCAAGCCCACATATCTGGCTCCCTAACCATCCAATCTTTTCGTACGACGATCCTTTTGCCCGCCTGCCAACTCCACCTCCTGGCTGGGACTCGGCCGTCGAAATGACTCCGCCTCCCGGCTGGGACTCGGCTGTTGAAGTGACGGCATAAGGGTCGAGGGTCCGGGAAGCGTACACTTCCTCTACCTGGATCATTATGCCGTCATTTCAACAGCCGAGTCCCATCCCGGAGACGGGATCCTTACATCCACTTCTTGTGCCGAGTCCGAGGTGCCCCTGCCCCCGCGTCGAGCCATGTAGACGCCTGTCAAGTGATCATTCTAACGTCGAGTGACTGCTGAAGACGCCTCTCAAGTGAATCAATACATCCAATCACTCAAGCTCGAGTAACTGCTGAACGCGTCTGACCACTCATGAGTGAAAGACTTGAGTCGTAGTGCGCAGCTCAGGCTGATCTGCACGAATACTCGTGACTTTACGGCTGACCTCAGTCGCTCGGCGAGTGCTGAACGTCGTCACGAGTTGTGTGTCAGATGCACAGACATCCACCATCGCAACGTCCACTGATGCGCTCACGCAACTTCCTTGACAGTCATCTCACCAAGAAATCGATTCTCATTCGAATCGCACAAAGTGTGGCCCATGATACTCAGCTCAACATCTGCTTCGGCTCGGACATGGCCTTCTACCCATCCCACGTGGGCGATTGTTCGCCACCAGGAGCTGCATCTCACGCCTGACTCGATCGGCGTCTGGCTGGAGGTGGGCACGCATACAGCACCAAAAGCAGCATCTAACCACGCGCGCAGCGCAGCTGCAGAGCAGCCGTCGTGATAAAAAATGCAACTCTTGACTGAGCGGGCGTGGAGTGAAGAGTCACGAGTGCTGAGGCGCAGCGCGCGCTGCTGCTGTGCTCAAAGTTGAAATTTGAATTTGAATTCGTGAACGCATCAGCGCAGCCGCGAGTCACACAACTCCCGTGCTCTGTGGCGTAACAGCAGAGCAGCATATATGCATCAGCATCAGGCATCGCCTGCTGCTGCGCGCGCCGCGCTGAGGTGTGTAGGTACGGTATGGCGAGTCACGTACCCCGCCGGCGAGGCTAGGCCACCCTACGCGGGCATGCGCATGTTGCCGTGTGCCACCCGGGCCTGACCGCCCCTGCGCACGCAGCTGGGTGCGCAGGCTTGGACAAGAGATCAATCAATATGGCGGTGCCACTCAGCGAGATGCCACCTCTTTGCTCCCTCACCTTCGCCTAAGATGACGAACGCATTGCCACCGAGACAGCTCGTCATCAGCCACTTCTTACTCCCATTTATCCTGGCAAGCCTTGCTCGCATTTCGTCTTCGTTGTAGCTATCGGTTTGACGGACTCAAGCGATTGCGTTGCAGGTTTCAGGCAGCGCTCGCTTCTGGTCATTATCTCCTCGTCACTACAACGTCGTATCGGCTTCCCGTCATCACTTCGTGCTCATCTACTTCCCACCCTTCCCGATCTCGATTCCACTCGCACCTGAACCACAACCATCGCGTCTCGCCGCTGAGAGGAAAGTCCTCCTTTCTATATAGATTGCGAACCCCATTCCACATCGCCACTTCATCCGATACTCTGATGTCTCAAGACCGCACCATCTTCTGGGGATTCTAGCTGAGCGAACGCGCCACCTAGCATCCCCCTCAATCGGAAACTGCTGGACTTGTCGCCTTTTGCGGTCACCGTACAACTCAACTACAGCCTCTACCCAGCGGCTGCTGCGCTTGTGTATGCGTCCAAGACCGACAATCACTTTACTCATCCGGCCTATCGTCCCCCGCAAACCGTACTCGACTCTTGCTTCCATTACTCGTCCCTACCACGTCATTCCGATTTCCTCTCACTGCCGCCACCGCTGAAGTGCTCTTCTCCGAAGCCACTTGCCGGATTCGCAAGCAAGTTGCGCCACTCACGCGGCTTCTCGCGCGCATAACCTGTTCTGTAGCGCCTCGCAATCTGCTCGCGGGGCAACGTTGAGTCTCTGGTTTCCGCACTCAGAGCACCGGCCTGCCGTCATCAGTACTCCAACATCTGGAAGGCGGTGCTCAGCTTGCTTGCGACTTCTCCCGCGTAACCAGCCAAACAACGTCAGACATGAGCACTTCGGAGATCAATGAATGGGCTCAGAGCAGCTCCAGCAGCGCCGTCTCGACTTCCGCTTTTCTTAAGCTTCACTCGACAGACGGCGACGCAACTTGCGAACAACTGCGAAGGCAGACTACGCCGTCTCGAACGTCGTTGCAGCAATTGACGACACCTGATCGTCATCTCTACTGTGGCACTGGCAAGCGCTCGCGCTCAAACAGCAGCAGTAGCAGTACTTCATCGGCGTCTTCCAGCATCTTTTCAGGTACCCAAGTGTCTTCGCAGAACAGCAGCGTCTTGGACGTGGAGCAATCTCCGGTCACTTCGCCTGGCAGCTCCCAAGCATCTCGCGAGTGCTGCTCGCCGTCGGTTGGCAGTCGCAAGGCGCGCAGAGCGGACGTCAAATGTGGCAAGCCAGACACGGCGACAAGCGTAGACTCGACTTTCAACGGTGATGGAGGTGTTGCGGCTGCAGATGTCGACGTCATCACGTCGCTAGGCCAGGACGTCTCGACTTTGAAATTCGGAGACAATGACCAGCTTTCGGCAAGCCGCAATGACCCCAGCACGGCTCAGTCGCCTGCGTCACCCACAGCCGGTCAAGCGCCCAAGGGAATTTTTGTCGATGCTCTTGTTGGTGAGTTGTGTTGCTGGACATTTGTTCGGCCTAGCGAATGGTGGCGATGCAGCGGCAGCGGCGCCATTCGTCCTCCGTATCACAAACGCATTCCCCACTACATCAATGTTCTGCTCGCTGCCTCGCTCTCCGCTAGAACTCGCTTCTATGACAGTTGTATCCCCTCTTTGCTCCTTATTATCGTGACCGTACGCTGACACCGCTGCGTGGTCCTTCGACTGATTCCACAGACGCCGCTGTGGCGACGCTCGACTCGATCTGGCACTCTCCACTAGCGTCGGGTGTGGATGAAGATGTTTCCACAGCATCGGTGCTGCGCGACAGCCACAATGCTGTTCAGCCGCCCGAGTGCCGTCTGCAAGCGGCGCTGCCCCTTCAGCTGTTTGTTCGGGAGACCTTGCGTCGCTCTCGCACGTCATGCTCCACTTTGCAAGCTGCACTGCTGTACTGTGTGCGTGCACGGCCCACGGTGATGCGACTCAGGAGGGAGCGATCTAATTTGGCGCATTTCGAAGCCTCTCCGTCCGTGAAACGTGGGTCTTCTTGGCCTAGCTCGCTGCCTCCCTCGCAACGCGACTGTGGCCTTTTGATCTGCGCCAGACGCATGTTCCTCGCTGCAACAATGGTGGCGTCCAAGTTCCTACAAGACCGCAACTATTCGAATCGCGCCTGGAGCCGCATCTCCGGACTGCCCATTGGGGAGCTTGGAGCATGCGAGCGGTCTCTACTCGGCGCTGTCGGCTATCACCTTGATGTTAGCCCGGATGAATGGCAAGCATGGATCGCCACGATGTCGAACGTGGCCGATGCACAGGGTGCAGCCAGGGTTTCCGCTGCTGCGAGCGCCCCGTCACTGGCTTCGCTCTGCAAGCCCGAAGCTGACTCGAGCTCGATCACACCGAAGCCAGCTGCTGGGACGCTAGCACGGCCGACCTCAGTATCTATGAAGCCTGGGATCAGCACCTCAATCGATCAGGGATGCAACACACCCACGCCACCCACGAATCGACAGCTTGCAGCGTTGGCTACTCTTGCTCGACGCAGTCTGTCGCGAACAAGTTCGGAAGGCGTGGCGCTCGAGTACGATAGCTCCTTGACCCCTTCTCCCCTTGGTCGAGCACTCGCCTCGAGCCAGAGCGGTTCGGGCAATAGCACGCCGACGATTGGCAATTCGAAGCTGAGGCTCAGCTTCGATACAGATGGTTTGCCGCGCCCCCCAGCGCTCAAAGAGATCTCGATGACCGCCTCCCTGCAGTCGTCACCTGCTTTTGGGCACTGTACGCCTCCCGCACCCTTTCCGCTTGCGCGCGGATCTCGCTCCAAGGGCTTCGCGAGCGGACGATCTCAGAGCCACTCCTTCCGTGGTGCTTCGCGCAATCGCTGAGCTCGCTGGGCGCAAATTCTGGATTGCATTAGGTCATCAACAGCGTCGCAGTCCCAAAAGTCACCTGTCGTCGAACCTTGCAACCCATTCACTACGTTCGCTTGCTAATTCCTTGACTCGCACGTCGAAGCTGTACTACATTGGGGCGACGGGTTCCCAGATGCCACATTCACTACACTTCAATGAGCTCCTAGCTTCTCACTAGGTCTCGTTGCCGCCTACATTGTTTCGAGTAGATTACTGGCCCCACACTCATTACACACCACCGCAATCGTTGCGGAACGGTGCCAGTACTGCACCCTTGCCACCCCTTCGCCACCTCCACTCCTGACCGTATGACCTGCCCAACCCCTGTATTTTGTTGAATGTGAGCCGTTGAGGTGTCTTGAAATTCAAGCTCTATGCCTTCTCCATGCGCACACTCGATGACCGAGCACTGGGGGCGGACATTCGTGATTGATGCAGCTCACCAAGGAGCAGCCTCGAGTGAAGAGCTGCTCCTCCATAACCAGATTCAGCCAAGTCGTGCCCTGGGGCGGCCCCTTGGCCGTGTCCTCAGCCAATCAAAAGCGCTCCCTTCTCAGTGACTCACCACAGCCTCTGGCACGTGACCTGTCTCCGCAGCATGCATGCAGCTGTTGCGCGTCTCGGCGTAGGCCAAATTTCGCGCGTTCGCGGTGTGTCGATAGGCCATGCTGCTATACATGAACGTCGCCCGTCACTCCTCCCTTGAGCTGATCAGCATCATTACACAGCTCGGTAGTCAAACACACGACCACGATCCCCCATCTCCAAGGCTGTTGAAAGAGCACCTTAGGCCTCTTGCCACCACGACCAACCCCTAATCGAGGACGAGGCTGGTCATCTCATCTCATCTCACTCACTGTACCACCCGCACATCACATCTTTGCCGGACATTGCTTTCGCCTTCCGGTGCAGAAGCTTCCACAGCGAGCAATCGGACTGCAAGCGGTGAAACGCCACAATGCCGGCCGCATCTCGGGAGACGGTCTCCAAAGAGACTCGTATTGCCATCGTCAATTCGGACAAGTGCAGACCGAAGAAGTGCAAACAAGAGTGCAAAAAGTCATGTCCCGTAGTGCGCATGGGACGATTGTGCATCGAGGTCACGCCAGCTTCGAAGATTGCCACGATCAGCGAACCGCTGTGCATAGGTTGCGGTATTTGTCCGAAAAAGTGTCCTTTCGAGGCCATCACCATCATCAAACTGCCCACCAACTTGGAAGCGGAAACAACACATAGATACTCGGCCAACTCATTCAAGCTTCACAGATTGCCGACACCAAGAGCAGGGCAGGTGCTTGGTCTCGTCGGAACCAATGGAATTGGAAAGAGCACGGCGTTGAAGATCCTGGCAGGCAAGCAGAAGCCGAACTTGGGCAGGTATGATGTGAGTGTTTGGTGAAATCTGAACAGGGGACGGAGCAACGCGGCGTGCGCCCGCTCGTCTAGAGTAGCTGCGATGGGAACGAGTCGCTTGTTGGAGCGGCGACGTTGCTCACAGCACGTCATCCACGCGCGTCTCAGGAACCTCCCGACTGGCAGGAGATTTTAAAGTACTTCAGAGGATCGGAGCTGCAGAACTTCTTCCAGAAAGTGCTAGAGGACAATATCAAGGCTTTGATCAAGCCGCAGTACGTGGACCACATCCCTAGGGCGATCAAGGGCAGTGCCACTGTGGACAGCATGCTGATGGGAAAGCTGGAGAGGGGAGACGATGTCAAGGGCCACGTGATTGATGTGTTGGACCTGAAGGAAGTGCTGGAAAGGGACGTGAAGAACTTGAGTGGTGGAGAGCTGCAAAGATTCGCCATCGGCATGAGTGTGGTGCAGAAAGCGAACATGTGAGTGCAAGAAAGCTTGAGTCGCTGTCTGGTATGCTGACTGAGATTCACCTGGCCTGGCATCTAGGTACATGTTCGACGAGCCTTCATCATACCTGGACGTCAAGCAGCGTCTCAATGCAGCCAAGATGATCAGAAGTCTATTGGACAACGAAACTTACGTCATCGCTGTCGAGCACGACTTGAGCGTTCTTGACTACTTGTCTGACTTTATCTGCTGCTTATACGGCGTGCCATCTGTGTATGGTGTTGTCACAGTACCGAGCCCTGTCAGAGATGGTGAGCGGAACACGGAAGATACGCCTCCGCGCGGCATTCGGTGGACTGACCCCATTTGCATTGACCTGTGCAGCGATCAACATCTTTCTGGATGGCTACATCCCTGCAGAGAACATGCGATTCAGAGAGGAATCGCTCACATTCAAGATCGCAGAGACAGCCGATGAGATCATCGAGCGGTCACGGTCCTTCTCTTACCCCAAGATGTCCAAGCAACTGGGCACATTCAAGCTGGAAATTGAGGCAGGAGACTTTGCCGACTCTGAGATCTTGGTGTTCCTGGGAGAGAATGGAACGGGCAAGACGACATTCGTGAAGATGCTGGCAGGCAAGCTGGAACCGGATGACAACGGGCCAAAGAACAAGTTGCCCGCGATGAACGTCAGCTTGAAGCCTCAGACTATCGCACCGAAGTTCCAAGGCTCTGTCCGAATGCTTTTGCTCAAGCAGATCAAGGCAGCCTTCATGCATCCTCAGTTCCAGACAGATGTCGTCAAGCCGATGAACTTGGACAACATCATCGACCAGGACGTTCAAACTCTCAGTGGTGGTGAACTGCAGCGTGTTGCACTTGTGCTTGCGCTCGGCAAGCCGGCGGATGTCTACTTGATCGACGAGCCTTCCGCATACCTGGATTCAGAGCAACGTATCCTGGCCGCGAAAGTTATCAAGCGGTTCATTCTGCACAGCAAAAAGACTGCCATGATCATTGAGCACGGTGAGTTTTGGCAGACTTTTCGCGCTCAGAGCCACGGACTGAGCCTGGTCCGCTCCTGTGCACCTCAGACATCATCATGGCTACCTACCTCGCCGACCGAGTCATCGTCTACGAGGGGACGCCCTCCGTTCAAGCTCGGGCAAAGGCACCCGAGTCGCTGCTGACTGGTATGAACAGCTTCTTGTCAGCACTCGAGGTCACAATGCGACGTGATCCAAGTGAGTGCAGCGTCGCCAAGCACTGCAGTTAGAAGCTGACGTGACGACCTGGGGCTTTCTCTCACAGCAACGATGAGACCGCGAGTGAACAAGTTCAACTCGGTCAAAGACAAGGAGCAGAAGAGCTCCGGAAACTACTTCTTCCTCGATGAGAACGACAATTAGGCAGGTCACTCGACTCATGAGCAGACTTTTTCTACTTGCCCTTCGATCTTCTGCCATGCTTAGCGCCAGATTTGTCTCGTAGCACGCAAGAGTAGCTGATCTTGTAATCATCATACATTTCATTACTTGCCATTGTCGGCCATCGAAAGGTTGTCGGCGTTGGGCGTGCAGTGCTATGTCGGCACGGTACAGAGACGTACAACGGCATGCGGGATCTCCGAATGATGCGCGGCTAGACTGCTGAGTCAGCGCCGGCGTGATCTCGGCGGTGCGGGAAGTCATACCTTGAGGCGCAGCGGACGTCGGCGAGCTGGCTCCTTGTGACAGCGGGCCAGACGTAAGTGGAAGCTGAAGCGCACGAACAGAAGCCGCTCTCTGGCGCCCCGGAGCGGTGCTCTTCCCATTTCCACCGCGGGATGTCAGAAGGAGTGGATGCGGTGCTATCTGAACGTGAACCCCTGTATGCGCTGCAATGATGCTGCGCTCGTATCCGGCCAGAGAAGCGGTAGAATGCCTGCGTAGTCTGGTGATGGCAACTCGAGAGGTGGACAGATGCTGCAATGCGTCTCAACCAGCCCTTCCAATACTGCCCAGCTCCACCTCGGGACCTCCTTCTTTGCGCTTGCCCACCGGTTCTGACTTGCCCTCCTCGCGTGTCTCGGACGCTGCGGTGTCGGATCCAGGAGCGAAAGCAGCCATCGTGTCCACGACTAGCTTGGCATCCTCAAGAGCCGAGTTGCAGGCCAAGCGCAATTGTCGGACGGTTCGGGCTCGGATGGTGAGGTTGAGGATGGGACTCTGGGATCGTACCTCGAAGGTGAGATGGACGTCGCTGGGCTTGAGAGGCATGTCTGGGGAGAGTATCGTGGCCAGTCTTAGAGCATCTTCGTGCGTTGGAAGCGGTATGTCGACAACGCTGCGGACAATCAGACTGACTCAGCTTTGATGGACCCCATTGAGCTGCAAAGTGAGAGACGACTCACACTCTGTGAAGCAGCTCGCCAGAGGGGTCACGCTTGGGAGCATAAGCGCGAAAGATCTGAGACTGCTCAGTCTCGCCTCTTCTTACTTGCTCCACTGCCATCGCGCACAGCTTTGCTGGCCGATAGTCCAAATCACTTCGAGAGGGGGTATGGTTGTGGAAGACCGGAGTGCTAGCAGCGGAGCGGAAGTGGATTGCACCCAGAGTGGAGACCTTGGAGAGAGATGACACAGCAGAGCGTGAACAGTGGACGAGGGAGGGCAAGGTAAATAGTTAAGAAACAGTCTTCATTCCAAGCCGATCCACGATTTGGGCAAAGTTGAGACCTGACGAGGATTCACATTCATCAAGATTCAAATTGATGAGAAGCGGAGGTGACGACCGTCACGTGATTCTTACTGAGTTTCCGACGCGTCGCGCGGGGCAGGCGCCGAGGCTGCGTGTTGGTTCACCAGATGCTGCTATGGTGGCATGCAGCATCGATGCGTGGATACACTCAAGACTACAGCAGCAGCAGCATCCCGAGCAGGGTCTCCCTCGACCTCGCTCACGTCTACCCTCACTCCTTGCCAGTCCCTCATCCAGCGTTCTAATCCCTTCATTTGTGACGTGTCCAGAAGTCAAAGGAACCCGAATCAAGATACGGCCATGCCAAGCGCAGTCTCGGCAGGAGGCAACAGCGCTGCGAGAGCGACGGCTCTGGAAGGGTTGAAGCTGAGCAGCGCGGTAGCTACGACGTTTCAAGACACGCAATTCACTCTCTCCACTCACAGAAAGAATACTGTATCGCTGTTCAAATTGCACCAAGCAGCAGCCAAATTCACAGAGGCCACGCCGCGCGGCACCAAGCTTGTGGGCGAAAAAGCCTTCAATGAAGCATTCTTGGCTTGCTTGAATCGATGTCTCGACATCAAGAAGGGCGTCGTCAATGCGGACAGGAGCATCAAATTCGTCGCGGCTTATTCCGCCTGTAAGTCGAATTGCGCAGTCGTGACAGGTCTCTAGCGCATTGCAGCTCTGATCTCTCTTTTTTTGGCTTCCCACAGACGCCCAGCAACAGTTCAGAGCTGCGGCGAGGGCAACGGCAGGACTGGACGCGCAAGCTCCTCCACCTGACGATGAAGAGGAAGAGGACACAGCAGGTACACGCTTTGTCACCATCCTCCTCAAGCACCTCCTTAGAGGTTTCGGCGCGAAATCAAAGTCTGTCCGGCTGCGCTGCTGCCAAAGCGTGGCGCTGCTGATCAATGGCCTCGAGTCCATCGACGATGATCTTTACGACACCCTCAAGGGCGCTTTGCTGCTCAGAGCTCGGGACAGGGAGTCTTTTGTTAGAGTCCAAGCCGTGGTCGCCCTTGCGAAGCTGCAAGGGGGAGAGGATGATGCAGAAGCCGCTCAAGCAGACCAACCTGAGGGCTCGGACGAGGAGAGCAGAGGGGACATCACCGGCGTGCTGCTCAAGGTGCTCCGACATGATCCATCAGCGTGAGTGTGCAGGTCTGAGGTCGCTGTTCGATATGACTCAATCGAAGTGCTCTCTGACTGGGACTTGTGGCCATCTCACAGCGAAGCTCGCCGTGCTGCACTCTTCAACCTCACGCCTACCGCCCGCACTCTGCCATACATCCTCGAGCGTCTCCGCGATGTGGACGCCATCAACAGAAGATGCGTCTACTCTGGCAGCCTCAGTCACAACATGCTGAATCAACCAGGAGCCATGGCGCCGAATGTTCCCGAGTGGGCAGAGGTTATCAAGGTCGGCCTCGGTGAGCGCGAAGAGAGCGTCAAGAGGGCAGCGAGAAGGCTCATCACCTCTTGGGCTGATCGAGATGCCGACTTAGAGCCGGTGAGCACTCTAGTCCGAGTCTAGTGGGAACTCAGCGCTGATGAGCATTCTTGTATCGGTCAGTTCATTGCGCGCTTCGACATCATCGCCGCGCCAGATGTCGCTGCCTCTGCGCTCCAAGCCTTGTTCGAAGCGCGGCCAGCTCTGCTCGACACCGTCACTTTCGGCGATGCGTTTTGGCAGAACCTGACCCCTGGCACCGCTTTCGTAGGTCGGTACTACGTGGAGCATTGTCGCACACTGGGACAAGCAGGGGAAGCTCGTCTCGAAGAGACGATGCCCGTGACGACTGCTCTCGCCTTCCGCACTCAAGCCGCGTGGGGCTCTCTGCTTGAGCTGCTTGAATCGGAATCGGAAGCTGCCGAGGATCGGGGAGATATCCTCTTGGAGAAAGACATGTCTGTCCGAGCTCGTGGGATCCAAAGCATCGTTAATTCGATGTTGCACATTGCCATGTCGGCAGACTACGGCGACGAGATTGGCAGGAGGAAGATGTTTGGTCTAGTCAGAAACATGATCAGCACCAGCCTGTTCCCCACCAGCCTGATAGAGTCTGCTCTTGATGTGCTCTTCAAGCTGAGCGCCGGACAAAAGGACTTCATGCAGATTGTTGTGGAGCTCGTGCAAGAGATGGGAGAGTGGGAAAAGGAAGGAGAGCGCAACAAGACCGACGAAGACACCGAAGAGAGCGAAGTGGAGAGCGAGGTGAGGCGTTTGGAAGCGCCAAAAGAGCAATCGCAAGCCCGCTGACCCAGCTCGTTGCCTTCCTAGCTCACTCCTGTGCGCCGCGCTGGCGCTTCCCGCAAGACGCGGTCAAAGTCGCCAGACGAGGCGGAGAAGGCAAAGCAAGCAACGGTAGACATGCGTCGTCTCGTCATCGTGCGTGGAATGCTCGAGCGCATCTCCTCAGGTGTGAGTGGTAGAGTAGGTGCAATCCTACCATAAATCGTTCGTTAACAGCTCCCATTGCCGTGTATAGGGCATCCAAGAGATGATGGGTCTGGTCAGTCAGCTGGTGACCCCAGCAATGCGCTCGCACGACGAGCTCGTGCGAGAGAATGGCTTCCTCTGCATGGGCTTGTGCTCGGTGCTGGATGCAGACGTAGCAGCCACGACTTGCCCGATGTTTTTAAATCACGTTCAAAAGTCAGCCGGTGTCATTAAGCTGAGGTCCATGCAGATCATCTTTGACATGTTGCTGGTTCATGGTATTGAACGTCTCAGTCGAGCGCAGGTCGAAGCGCTTGGGGGAGGCAGCGCCGCTCAAGCCAAAGCACACGAGCATCTCGTCACGTTCCTGCTAGGACTGCTGGAAGACGAAGATGCAGACGACGAGGAAGCACTCAGGATCCAAGCCGCCGCCACTCAGGGTGTGGCTAAGCTCATGCTTGCAGGGGTCATCGAAGATGACGTTGCGCTCAAGAGTCTCATACTCATCTACATGACCCCAGAAACGGCTGCCAATCAAGAGCTGAGGCAGTGCTTGGGCTACTTCTTGCCGGCATACTGCTTCTCTTCTTCGAGACACCAGCACAAGCTGCGAAGGGTACGTAGACAGTGGACACGTTTGGGTCGTTGGTCTGCTGACTGACGTCTTCACCACCACGCGAAGGTCCTCGTCGACACTTTCCATATCCTCGCCGAGCTTTACTACGAGCAAGAAGAATCCTCTGACATGGTCTCGCCACTGCAGGTGGGCCTACAACTTATCGACTGGTCTGACCCGCTGAAGAACATCGGTGAAAGCCCAGATCTCACTGTTCATGTCGATGTTGCTTCTGATCTTCTCAAGCACCTGTTACTCATTGATGACAAGGATGAGAGAAAAGTCGTCTGCCAATTGCTGTCCAAGCTAAACCTGCCAGAGTCAGACCAGCTGCAACCGGATCGAGCAGAAGCTCTGTTCGCGCTGGCTCGAGTCGTCAGAAGTGTGAGTTCACCCAGAGGATGAACCGGCCACTCACGCCGAAACCCCGCGCTTACAGCTGCTACGACCCGCCAAACAGACCAACCCGCTGGACGACACTGTATCACGCAACGCGTATTACAAGTTCGAAAGCAGCCTTTCCAAGCGGTATGGAGACGCCGCTGCAGCGGCCGCAGCGCTCGACATGGACCAGTTGATTGCGCAAAGTGCATCATCTCCCGCCGATGACTCGACCGATCCTGATCAAACCACTACGGAGAGCGAGCCCAAAAGCTCTGCGCGGCCAGCTATCGCTCCCGCTCTGCTGGAGCTCTGCCACTGGTTTGGACAAGCAGGGCTGGTGGAGCTCAGAGGCTTGCACCCTGGACCTGTCGGTGAAGACGCAGTGCCCGAAGCCCCCGCTGCCGCTTCCAAAGGGCGGAAAAAGGCGTCTACGGGCGGCTCGACGCTCAAGGAGAAGTCGAACAGCCCTGCGGTCTCTGCCAAGCCCAAAGCTCGCGCCAAGAGTGCGGCTTCTAGCAAGAGGTGAGTCTTGAACGTGGTCTGCTCTGCTGAAATTTGTTGATGCGAACCTTTTCGACGCTCGCACCGCACAGGACCGCCAAGACGAAGCCGCGCACCAAGACTGCAGAGTCTGAATCCGATTCTGATGACGAGGAGAACGTGGCGGGCGATGACGATGAGGAGGAAGATCAGGCCGACGATTACGGTGACGAAGAGTACTGATTGCGAGAATTCCCTGCTCCTTATGACATTCCCATCTGCGCTCCATTGTTATTGATATCCCGCCCGCTTCTTGCCTCTGGCCTCGTGTACAATCTTGCCTATGAATCTATGACGGGTGCTCGCTAGCCTTTCTAGTCGTCGATGAGGCGCGCGCTCCGGTGCGGTGCAACAGCGCGTCCTTAGCAAACTCACGGGGTCGCCTGTGACCAGACAGACTTCAGCCGTCTCGTGCGTGCTATTGGTGAGACACACAAACACGTCGACCTCAAAGCCCATGTCAGGGAGCACGCTTACTCTACCATGCAGCATGACAACTCAGCGACACAAGAGCGCAAATACTTGTTCACATTACATCGTGTCTGAAAAGTTGTGGACCCTTGTGGCTTAAGTGAAGAGCTTGGAAGAGCTCGTAGAAGAATCTCCAGCCTTCTTGGTGACCTTGGACACGGCGAGCAAGAAGTCATCCATCGACACGTGTTGTCTTCTCTCCCGAAGTGCGAACATGCCTGCGCAGCGTCCACAAACATCGGGATGCTGGAGGTCAGATGTCTGATGACGAACAGGAATGAAGGGTCACACCTACCTGCTTCGGTGCAAATGCCGCGAACCTCAGCTCCTGAGCATTGGCCCATCTTCTCGGCCAGGGCGCGCAAATTGATACCTCGCTGCAAGCTCATCTGCGTGGCATGCAAGCCCCGGATGGGCGAGTAGATATTAGCGCTGAATGACTTGATGTGTCTGAGCAGAAGCTGCGCACACTGACCTTGCGACTGTGAATGCGAAGAATGGAGACTCGAGCTTCGGGACCTGGAGGCGGGAACTCGATCTTGCGGTCGATTCTGCCCGGCCTCAACAACGCGCTGTCGAGGATATCAATGCGGTTCGTTGCCATGATCACCTATCAAGTGTACCATCAAATCAGCACGAGGAGACAACATCTCGTTCACCACGCGTCCACTACGCGCTGGAACGCTTCGCTGCTCACCTTGATGTTCTGCGTGCCCTCAAAGCCGTCCAACTGATTGAGAAGCTCCAGCATGGTTCGCTGAACTTCCGAGTCACCACCTCCGCTGCCGCCTTCGCCCCTTGAAGACCCGATAGAGTCGATCTCATCCATAAAGATGATGGAAGGTGCGTGCTCACGGGCCATGACGAAAAGTTCGCGCACCATTCTGCAAGTTGCAGATGATCGAGTGAACATGCGTTACGCTAGGAGCACGTACTTCTGGGAATCACACTCACCTGCTCCCTTCACCAATATACTTCTGAACCAATTCTGAGCCAGAGACACGGATGAAGCGACAGTCGGTGTGATGCGCCACAGCGCGAGCCAGCAACGTCTTTCCTGTTCCTGGTGGGCCGTACAGCAGTACTCCCTTTGGTTGAGCGATACCCAAAGCTTCAAACAGCTCTGGGTGTTTGACGGGCAGCTCGATCACTTCTTTGATCTCTTTGATCTGACGATCAAGACCACCGACCATCTCGTATGTACTGTCGGGAACCTTCTCCACCATCATCAGCGAGACCAATGGGTCGATCTTGTTGGGCAAGATCTTGTGCAACGTGTAAGAATCAGAACGAAGAGCCACTCGCAGAGAGGGTTTGAGCGAGGCCATGTCGATATCGGGCGCGAGATCTACGACTGCGATGTGTCGATCGAGTCTCGATCAGTAGAGATCAAAGGGAAGCACGGTAACCGCGTCCAGTCATTGAGCACTACTTACTGTACTTGCCCTCTGGCTGAACCTTGACCAGCACCTTCTTCTTTCCCATCACCTTGACAACCTCGCCCACATAGCTGCCCGGCTCTTGCAAGAGCTGCAGCTCCTCCCTCAGCAGCCTGACCCTAGCATTCAATGCATTCCTCTGGGCTTCCAATCTGCGCAAGTTCTGTGTTCGCTCGTTGATGAGCAGCTCGGAACTAGCAATCTTGGAGGCGTAAAAGGATTGGATGCCGGTAGCTGGGGAGCGCACACCACCTTGAGGCACAGAGGAAATAGACCCTGGGGCCGCCGCGGATGCTACTGCTGCCATCGTGCCTTGGATATGCAGGACGAGCAAGGGCTCGAGGTTGCGAATGACCGATCGTGATGCGTGGCAAGGGATCTGGACGCGTACGATTTAGCTCGATGGTCGCAGCAAGGTGATGCGCTCCTGTTGCTTGAATGATTTGGCTCACGATGTGGGAGCGGTCGTACGTGTTCGTCCGCAGAACAGCTTCTCGAATGACTGTGTGTGCGGATGATCACGAGTCACGAATCACGAATCACGAATCACGAATGTCGACGAAGGGGATGTTGTTTTGGTCGAGTGCCCCTTCGTAGAATTGGTCACGATGGCCCTGAGCGCGCAGGCTCACTCGTCAGGGCATGCAACACGCGCTGACGAGGCACATCGCGCGGTTGGGCCATCTCCACCCGCTGACTCACTCGGCCGATAGAAGCAGTGCTCCGTGATGATAGCTCTCCACATCATCGAGCTAACTCACCCAGCATCTCCGCTATCGCGGCACCTTCAGCGTCCACAACTCATTCACACTGTCCTCGACATCCATTGCCGCACGCATTGGAAGGGAGCATCTGTGCTTTAATCTCCGCCAAGCCGCAAGTCTGGACTTTGAGCTCAAACCCATTGCGCGGACACCCCAAAACCCCCTTGCACAGTACCTAACGCTGTACACGTTCATAGCAGCGTAAGCAAGCGGCGACTATGTCGGTGACGTCGGCATCTGCCACTTCGGCAGGTCGGCTGGAGCCTTTTCTTCTCCTGGCAAAGTCCTCGAAAGGTGCTGCAGCTGCTCAATCCATCATTGATGCCACTGCTGCTCCTGGAGTCTACGTCTTCAATGAGCTTCTGGCTCTGCCTTCCATACAAGAGGTGAGTGCGCCGGTCTTCATGAGCTGCACGCCGACCTGAGAGATACCGTCGCTCGCTGACATGACGGGTTCACGTATGCAGCTCCAATCTGGTCCGCACGAGAAGGCATTTGCCCTCCTACAGCTGTTCGCGTACGGCACCATATCCGACTGGGCGTCCAGCCCAGACGCTTTCCCCAAGCTTCGCCCATCGCACATTTTCAAATTGCGGCACCTGACGCTGCTTACACTAGCATCCAACGCCAGGACGGTGCGATATGCGGATCTCACGTCGGCTCTCTTGTTGGACGCCTCCTCCGAGAACCCGACTGGTGGGTCCGCCGTTGGTTCGAGCGGTGCTGCCTCTACTAGAGCACTCGAGGACTGCATCATTGAAGCTTTGTATGCGGGCACACTGGCCGCAAAATTGAATCAACGTCAGGCCAGATTGGAGGTGGAGGCCGTGCTTGGAAGGGATATCAAGGGAACTGAAGAGCTTGCCGACTTGCAAAGGCAGCTGGCCCAGTGGTGAGTCCAGGCAGATTTCTCACGCCTTTACGCCATCATTGACGGGAACTGCGAGCTGACACTCTGTCTGCGCGACGTTGCCAGGTCTGCGACCGCCAATTCGCTTTTGGCTAGCTTGTCAAATCAAATCGAGCAAGAACGAGCTCGCGACGCCCTGCGCGTTGCCCACAAAGCACAACATCGAGAAGACCTCGCTCAAAGCTTGTCATCCATTGCGGACAAGCTGTCGAACCCGAACGCATTCTCTCCAGCTCTTGCCAATGCAGCTGGACACTTTGGGTCTATGGACATCGACGGACCTAGGAAGATGTGAGTATGTACTAATTGATTGTGGGCAAGTTGATCTCACTGACGCCGTTCCTCGCGCACCTCGCGCTGTCACAGTCCTCACCGAAAGCGCACAAGAGGCTGAACGCTGGAAAGACCCGAATCAAACAGGTCGCATCTCGCGCAAATTACAAGAGCCTTGAGCACGCCTTCAATTGCCTTCCAAAAGCTGCCATCGACCTCAGGCTTTGAGACTAATCGATGATCAAGTCAAGGCCTTTCTGACCATCAACCACGCGTACCCATTGGCGGCCAATCTGTTGACGTTGAATGCAGCTAGAAAGGCGTACTACCATGAAACTGGCACGGATAATGCCAGTGCCCGGCCCAAAGCGCCTGCTCCTGATCTGCACATGCTCCGGCAATCGCACACTACTCAACACACTCTGTACAACTACAACCCCGACTGCAATCTCGACTTGCCGGTGACTAGATTTTCGACTTGCGCGTGCCTGGCGACGTGAGAGACCGAGGTGGCTGTGAAGGCTGCCAAGTCGATCGAGCTCGTCTGGCCAAAATGCGACAACTCCTTGCATGTTCCGCCTCGATGATGACAGTGCATTCCGCAATCGGCAAGACCGGGTGACTCGATCGAAGTTAGGAGCTGCAGATCAGACAGGGAACGCTCATCGTCAATCGTTCGGCGGCGTTGAGCTTGGCAGTCTGAAACTCGCGCTGCTTAGCCAAGCGCTCGAGCTTTCTCCTCTTGTGTCGGCACGATTCTCTGAGCACCACCGTATGAAGCATCCACTTTTGACGGTAGTAGGTCGTACAGGCATATGGTGTTAGTATGACCAACCCCGGAGCATACTGTGCTGTGGACCTCGGACTCACGACTGTCAAGCGTGAGTGACGCTGATGCGTGGCTCACCGGCTGCATCGCGTTACGCGCCTCGTCGAGTCACATGCAGGGGCGTTGCGCCGTAGCCGAGTTGCAGCAGATGCGGTGAATCGGGCATAGTTCTTAAAGCCGAGCGCCGCAGCCTGCGTGACCGTATCGCGCTGGGCTGGCGGTGCCCTCGACTTGGCGCGGGTGTGTGCCACGTGAACTTGGCTACGGTGTGCGCGCGCGCAGTATAAGAACCAGCTTGAATCTGCGCCACCGCCTTCGTGCGTCGCGACGACCACTACCACATATACACTCACCTCGCAACCCCTCAAGGTGCGTTCAAGAACACCCTAGTGCGTTGCGATTCCACGGCTATTGCTAACGTTGCCTTTTCAAACTGCCGAATCGTAGATTCGTCAAGATGGGTCGCCGTCCAGCAAGATGCTACCGCTACTGCAAGAACAAGCCGTTTCCCAAGTCTAGGTACAACCGTGGTGTGCCTGACCCCAAGGTGTGTAACAAGTCGACTTAGCTTCACAGCTGCTCTCGAGGCTCATATGTCATCTCCCGAACTTTTGCTTCTCCTTGACAGATCCGTATCTACGATCTTGGACGCAAGAAGGCGTCTGTCGACGACTTCCCCTTCTGCGCCCACATGGTCTGCGACGAGCACCAACAGATCACCTCGGAAGCTCTCGAAGCCGCTCGTATTTGCGCAAATAAGTACATCACCAAGACCAGCGGAAAGGACTCTTTCCACATGCGTGTTCGTGTCCACCCCTTCCACGTCATCCGTATCAACAAGATGCTTTCCTGCGCTGGAGCCGATAGGTGAGTAGAGGGCTTTAGGAGTCGGGTGGCGACTTGATGGCAGCGAGGTGGCGAGGCGGGCAACATCAAATGGATGAATTGGGACTTGATAGTGATCGGAGTGGTCAAGTGGAATCGTCAGCTGGTGGTGTATTCAGTAGAAGGGAAACCTCTCCACGCACCCGCATCGAGAGCAACGCCTTGCATTGCACCCTTCTCCTGTCCGACCTCATCGAGTTCTTGCGCGCTTACGACCATCAACATCCTCGTGCTTCACAGACTCCAAACCGGTATGCGTGGTGCCTACGGCAAGCCCTACGACACCGTTGCCCGTGTCGACATTGGACAGGTTTTGCTCTCCGTTCGTTGCCGCGAAGCCAACAGGCCCGTCGTTCTCGAGGCTCTCCGTCGCGCTCGTTACAAGTTCGCTGGTCGCCAAAAGATCATTGTCTCCAAGAAGTGGGGTTTCTGCTCCATTTCTCGCGAGGAGTACGTTGCTAGGCGCGACGAGAACCGTATTCTCAAGGACGGTTGCTACATGCAATTCCGCAACGACCGCGGACCTCTTGCTGCCAACTTGAAGCTCGAGGCCCGTATCGCTGCGCAGAAGTAAGGAGGAGGAGGAGGAAGACACCGATCATCGCTTCTATACCTCTCCTTGGTCGTCAAGACTGTGTCAGGATCACTGGGACATATGAAGTCTCACACTGCACGCACCAACACATGCGCTTCTGTACCCATAGCAAACCAAGCCTGAAGCATCAACTTCATGCTCAATTCGTCCTCATCTGTCAGTCTTCTGCTGCTTGTGCATTGATGAGAGTGGCGTGCTTGGCAATCGCTCGGTACAAGAGGACGGCGTATGTTGACATTCATGGTACAGTACAAGGATCGAGGATGCGCATGAGCGGGTGAGGATTAAGGTGACATGGAGAGATGGAGAATTGCACCTTGCATGCACCTTGAGTCACTTTGAGGTAGGCTTCATTCGCGTTGTCTCTAACAGCAGGGCTTCGAGCAAGTCGCGGACAGCAGCAACAGCGTTCGCATCTCGCGTTGCGCCGGTCCAGCTCTGCAACTTCGACACGAGATTGGGACCTCCAAGCGTGTAGATGGCGACTTGGGTGTTGATTTGGCGGACGCATCGTAAGCGCAAGCCACGTTACCGCATCCATTGATAGTCAGATGACTCACGCATTTCGCCGTCATTGAACTGGATGCACTGCATGGCTGTGGGCTCCGTTGAGGCATACGCATCAAGTGACGATGTGATGATACGGGTGGCGGCTTCCATTGCCGACGGCGGAGGGTCGGGACAGCCCCTGATAGGCGTGCTACAGCGACGATGCGCCAAATAAGCATAGCTAGACAGACAAACCATGGCCCCCACAATGAGACGGAACGCTCTACAGCGACTCACCTTCCCATGCGAATAGCGCTCTTGGATCGGACGTGCTTTCCTGAATCTGCGACGGCTTCCTGGCGACCTTTAGTGAATTGTGCACTTTGCGTAGGCGTGCTGCCAATGCGGTTGGATGCTCTGAGCAGCGCTTGCTCGGCTAGACCGGCTAGACCGGCAGAGCCGCAGAGAGGCTTTTCCGCCAGAACCTTTCCGGTAGAGGTAGGAATCGCTCTCCATCTGTCGCTGCTCTGCGTGTCCAAGTCGACATCCAGTCGGGCCGCGCGTTTTTCTGTTCGGTTGTTGGTGGTCGGGCAAGATGTAAAGTCCAAGCGCTTGGCTACGTCTGCCTCAGTAAGCTCCAAGGTGCTTGAGGCATGTGGCGGATAGTAAGTAAGATTTCGAAGCTGACCACGCTCTTGCAGCGGCGAAGTGGTCGACGAAGTTCTGTGCGCGCGGGGCTCACTCTTGCTCCCTTGCAACACGCTGGAAGGACTGCACGAAGGCCGAGATGGCGTTCTCGAGGCCTGAGATGAGGCTTTAAATGCTAGGCGAGGGGCTGAATGCGTACTTGTGGGAGTTGCGACTCGACAAAAAGTCGAAGGAGCGCGTCGAGCAACTGAAGAAACTTGCTTCTTCTCTTCTTGACGTTCGAGCAGATCGTTGTCCATCTCCAGGGGTCGCTTGATACCAACGTGACAAGAAATAGTATCTTGCTCTTCTTCCATACGAGGCGAAAAACTGTTGCCGCCTTGCACACGTGGTGCTGTGACGCCGCCTCCAGAGAACATGGATGTGATCGGCACAGTAGCAGTGGGTGCCAGCTTTTCGGACTGCGTCTGACAAGTCTTCGGCTGAGCGGTGAGGGAGAGCAAAGGCGAGTGCATCAACGTCCTCATCGGCAGCGGCTTCTGGAGCTTAGCTCTAGGTGTCTGTCTTGCGGTATGGATCGCTGCGCCATCTCTAGGTGATAGACGATCTTTACGATGTAAGGAGAGACTCCGTCCAGGAGCGGAGGCGCGCGCGTCACTGCGCTGCGGAGCGGGAGCCATCGGCTTTTCGGCCTGCTCGAGAGCTGCCTTGAGCGACATCGACAAGTGCTTGGTGCGCGAAGGAGGTGACGGTGCTGGTAAAAGATATGCGTTCGGATATGTGGGAGGGCTGTCATCGGAAGACTTGCGTGAGTCCGTTCCCCGAGCCGAGGTTGAGCTCTGCATCGGCGAGCTAGTCATCTCTCACATGGCCAAGGCTTACGCTGTATATGATCCTAAGGGCTTAGTGTTGACAAGCAAGTCGTCCACAAAGATGGGCGAGCATATATTTGTGCGCGCAGCTAGGCGAGGGAGGGGTGCTGTGTGGAGACAGAGGGATGCAGAGACAGGGTCAGGGACCAAGGATGGCGGCAAGTTTGATGCGCTTAATTCTGATTGCAGCTCGTCGTCTTCCCGAATCAAGACTCGTGACTCCGCGGGTAAGAATTAATGGCGGAGACGCGTCGCGCTTACATCACATATAATTCGTCAGTCGTGATTTCAGGTTCAGGCATTCGCGTGATGTGTTGGCCTGAAGGCGATCCTAAAGAGAAGAAAGTCGCGAGTCACAGTCACGAGAAGTGCATAGCTTCATGACAAATCAACTTTACAATGCGAATTCAACTTAATGATATCCAACATCACTGCAACGTCTACATACGAGGTGCAAAGCTGTGGCAGACGTACACAATCAAGAATGCTGGAAACTGCCACTCCGCAGTGCTCATCAAGTCAGGATCGAGGCCCACGTGCAACTAACTCTTCAACGTCGTCCAGGAAGACTTGACGTCCATATCGCATCCTAACCTCACGAACATCATCGCCTGATCCACCGCACGCCGCCCCTTCCCAGCTCTTGATCCCTCTGCACATCCCAAGCAGTCCTCACGCCGGCTGTAGCAAAGGGCACCCTTTCCACGGCCTTTTTGGCGCTGTCGAGCTTGTCCTGAACTCCATACTGTCGCAGCGCTTCATCTCTCCTCTCATTGCCGCCCACCGCCCTGTACACTCTTTTGCCCACCCATCGTGTGATGCCGCGGGGTGCAAAACGAGCCAGGAAGCCGAGTGGGCTCAAGGCGAGCAGTGCGGTGTACAACATGGCAGAGAGGGTTCGAAGGATGAGCTCGGGAATGATGGTGGGCGGCAGCAAAGAAGCTCCTCGAGGACATGCTGAGCTGAGAGAGACGCTGTAGATGCGGAATGTTGGGGATCGAACATTCTCGCCTTGCTTGGTGGTGAGCAGCAGATGAAAATATCCATCCCCTTCGCTCGCTGGCAGTCGAACAGTCATGGTGGTGTGATACCGGGGCAGTGGCTCAATGCCGAATTCCCAGGCTTGAGATCGAGCTTGTTCTGTCTTGCGCTCCAAGTCTTGTTGGATGTTTGCCCTCCTCTTCGCACTCAAGATGGCTTGCGTCGGTACTTCGTCCTGCACCAGCTCGGCGTTCTCCCAATCCGATTCGTGCACCGGCGTCACATCCACACCTCGTTCCCTTGCACCCAGCCATTTAGCAGCATTCCAGCCAAATACACCCGCTCTCCAGCCTCTTCGAACCAGCTGAACTTTGACAGAATCTGTTGGGGTGTCGCTGCTGGCGCTTGAGAGCGTAAAGGAGAGATAGGTGTGCGGACCTCGGTAGAGAACGAGGGGAGCGCCATGTAGGCTGATCGTGCTGGTGTTCGGGGATGCCATCTTGGCTGCAGCTTCAGATGGCTTACACGAATCGACTTTGGCGTCGACGATTGGTCAGCGGCTTGTGAATCACAGTCTCCCTCGCAAGAGCTAGTCGGTAGGATTCGTGATTGGTGAAGGGGTGTCAAGTCTGCTGATGAGGATGGATGTGGGGCCAGTGAATTGTTAGAGCCCTATTCCTAGCCGCGTGTGGAGAAAAGCGCCGCGCACATTGGTCACGTGATGCGAAAGTGCACGGGCGCTGGATGTGGGCCGAACGCTCGCGACGTGGCTGGCAGCGACGGGGCGCATCAGGCTGCCATGGACCTTCCAACGTGTCGGCCACCTCGTGCATACACGGCGTACACCTTCACAACCAACCCCTTCATCACCTCAGCAGGCCCGCTCCTTCATCACTTCTTGACCCCAAAGCCCGCAGCTAAACGTCGCAATTCACCTCAAACTACATTTTGCTCTCTCACTTTTTTCTTGCGCATCATCACGAAAGCTCGAACAAACGCCCTGCGAGGCTGCGCGTAGCCCAGCATGGACAGCAATGCTTACACCGTCGTCGCTCCTCTAGATGACCAGACGGAGCTGCAACCGAGCGAAGCGCGCGCTATTCTTCAAAAAGCCGACGATGACCTCAAACTGGATGTTCTCCGGCGCATCATTGTGGCCACGCTCAACGGCAGTCCTCAGCCGTCGTTGCTCATGCCGATCATCCAGTATGTCTTGCCCTCGCGAAGCAAGCCGCTAAAGAAGATGCTGCACTTCTACTGGGAAGTGTGCCCCAAGTACGATGATCAGGGCAAGCTGAAGCAAGAGATGATTCTCGTCTGCAACGCCATTCGAAACGATCTCCAGCATCCCAACGAGTACATTCGAGGTAGCACGCTTCGATTCTTGCAAAAGATTCGAGAACCAGAACTCCTCGAACCTTTGATCCCCACCATCCTCACCAACTTGGAACACCGACACTCCTATGTTCGGAAAAATGCAGTCTTGGCTATCTGGGTCATCTCGCAGAGGCACTCGCACTTCTTTGGGGATGTGAGCGAGATCATGGAAACTTTCTTGGCTGCGGAACAGGATGCTACGTGCAAGAGGAATGCCTTCACCTTTTTGACGCAGGCAGACGCACCCAAGGCTGTCGAGTATGTTCTGTCGCAGTTCGAAGCCATTCCAAGCATGGACGAACTGATGCAGCTCGCCGTCATCGAGCTCATTCGCAAAGAGTGCAAGGGGGAGAGCCCCAACAGGGTGAGTGGTGCTCATAGCGACGCAAGCGCTCGCGCCCGCGCACAAGACACCGGCGCTGCTCACACGCGTCCAACTCAACCGTCGTCCTGCTGCCTATGATCACAGAACAAGTACATTCAAGCCATCTCTGAGCTCCTCTCTGCGCCTAGCCATGCAGTCAAGTACGAGGCAGCCATCACTCTCACCTCCCTGACGCAAAACGCAGCGGCCATCAAAGCGACAGCCTCAGCGCTCATCGAGCTCGTGGTCAAGGAGTCTGACAATAACGTCAAGTTGATCGTGCTCTCGAGGCTTGACTCGCTCAGGCAGCGGCATGATCACGTCATTGACCCTCTCGTCATGGATCTCTTGCGTGTCCTCTCGTCACCCGATATGGACGTGCGTCGCAAGGCGCTCAACATCTCTCTGGATATGGTGTCTTCCAGGAACGTTGAAGAAGTGGTCCAGTTCCTGAAGAAGGAATTGCAAAAGACAGTGGAGGGAGCTGGCACTGGCTTCGAGAAGAATATCGAGTATCGCCAGTTGCTTATCCAATCCATCCACACTTGCGCCATCAACTTTTCGGAGGTTGCGTCATCTGTCGTGCACGTCCTCATGGAGTTCCTCGGAGACAGCTCGAATCCTTCTGCGGTGGACGTCATCGCTTTCGTCAGAGAGGTAGTGGAGAAGTTTCCGAGTCTCAGAAGCAGCATTGTGGAGAAGCTGCTGCAGACCTTTGGAGACATCAAGAGTGGAAAGGTCTTCCGAGGCGCGCTTTGGATTGTGGGCGAGTACGCAAGCACGATTGACGACGTCAAGGAGGCCGCTCAGCAGATCCGAAAGGTCATTGGCGAAGTGCCCATCTTGGCTGCAGAAGAGAGATTACTCGCTCAAGCGGAAGACGCCGGCGCTTCGGCACAGGTTGCCGCCTCTGAGGCTGCCGCTGCTGCTGCCCCCGTCACCAAAACCCGGGTTCTGGCAGATGGTACATACGCAACAGAAACCGCGTTCTCTTCGGAGGCTAATGCGGACGCTCGACTGCAGGCAGTCAAGAACGCTTCCAAACCTCCTCTCAGGAGCTTGATCCTGCTCGGAGACTTTTATACTGCCACGGTCCTGGCATCCACCCTGACCAAGCTGGTCCTCCGATTCGCATCTCTTAGCTCGGATGCGGCCGCCAAGAATGCTCTCAGGGCCGAGGCAATGCTCATCATGACTTCCGTCGTTCGCGTTGGACAGAGTAAATTTGCTCAAGCACCCATCGACGAAGACTCGACCGAGAGAATCATGACTTGTGTGCAGACGCTCGCCACTGCTTCTGTGCACGAGGACGAGGAGGATGTTGAAGCGTCGGAAGTCTTTTTGCAGGACACAAAGGCAGCTTATGCCTCCATGGTTGCAGCTCAAGAACGCAAAGCAGAAGAAAAGAGGGCGAAAGAGTCCAAAGCTGTCAAAGTGCAACCCGACGATGTCATTGGCTTCAGGCAACTCAACAAAAAGGGAGCGACTGCGCCTGGCGTCGATACTGGTTTGGAAGACTACGAAGCTGACGTCAAGAAAGCTACGGGCGGCGCCGTCGGCGCGAAAGACGACTTCATCTCCAAGCTGCAACGAGTCGTTCAGCTTACGGGCTTTTCGGATGCGGTCTACTCTGAAGCGTACGTCAATGTCCACCAGTTCGACATTTTACTCGACGTTCTGGTCGTCAATCAGTCCAACGAGACTTTGCAGAACCTCTCCATCGAATTTGCAACGCTAGGCGATCTCAAGGTGAGCGTCGCGCCAGGACTAGCCTAGAGTCCAGCGGATTACTCACCCCTTGCCGTTCTCTTGTGTGCGCAGCTTGTGGAACGGCCGACTTCGCACACGCTTGCGCCGTACTCGTTTCAAAGCATCAAGGCGACGATCAAAGTTTCGTCGACCGAGACTGGTGTCATCTTTGGAAACATTGCGTACGAGTCGGGCATCACGGGCGATGCCAAGGTCGTGGTGCTCAATGATATTCATGTCGACATCATGGATTACATTCACCCTGGCACTTGCACCGAGAGCGCCTTCAGGTCCATGTGGACAGAGTTTGAGTGGGAGAACAAAGTCAATGTCAACACGAACATTACGTGAGTGAAAAATAGCGAGCAAGACGCAGCCATGGGAAGGCGCTGAAGTCAATCATTAATTCCGATGTAGCAATCTGCGTGCATACTTGAATCACCTCATGGCAAGCACCAACATGGCTTGCTTGACACCAGAAGCCTCTTTGGTACGTCAAAGACTGCGCGTAGAGAGCTTAAGAACGAGAGAGCTGATGAGAAAATTGCTCCGTGACGCCCTAGGCTGGGGAATGCGGTTTCTTGAGCGGTGAGGTTGTCTTAGCGCTTGCTCTAATGGCGCGTCTTCTGACACCATCTTCCTGCGCCTGTGATGCAGCCAATCTGTACGCGCGGACCTCGTTCAACGAAGATGCCCTCGCCAATCTCAGTCTGGAACAGGAAGTTGAGGGAGGACCCATCACTGGTGAGTCCGTGTGTAGCACGCTCCACCGACACGATCGCGGTCGGCGACTGACACGCAATGGACGCCATTCTCAGGTCACATCCGAATCAGAAGCAAAGGGCAAGGCTTGGCTCTTGCTTTGGGAGGTGAGTGTGGTGGTGCACGTTTGATCGCTTGCGCAAAGATTCTTAAATTCCCACCCTGCTCTCTGCCGATGCTCTCGCGGCTTGTAGACAAATGGTGAGGTTTCGTGGCAGACGGATCCTGTATTTCAGGCTCGAGTGAAGACTAACGCGCCCTCTTTTGCTCTCGACCCGTCTCCAGCACATTGGCAATGCGCAAGGCGACCGAGGGTGATGCGAACAGTAACGGCAGTGCACTTGACGCCCCTCAATCTCTCACCGCGTCCGTCGCTGCATGAACCGCTTCGGACTGAGTTGCAGTTCTTCCATTGTCACATAAGCTTGCCTCGAAATGCGAAATTATCTCCACTTTCTCTCCGATGACGCGCAACGTGGTTCGTCGATGCGAGTTGATCTGCATAACGTGACGTATGACAAGATGTGGTGACATCACACTTAGCTTGGCGGTGACTTCAATCTTCAAGCACTATATGTTGATGCGGTCATGGTATTAATGTTGGTACAACGCATGCAGCGATCAAGGGTGCGTGCGCCGACAGCATTCTACTACTACTACAAGACTTTTCTTTTTCGCGCATGGGCCTTCGCCTCTACGGTGCATGTTGATCAGTCCGAAGTGCTGCAGATGATGTGGAAGCGACCGGTGAGCCTGACTCGTGGATGCTAGAGGGCGCTGGCAAGGCTTTGCTCGGTGACGTCCGCGGTGCAGTAGCGAGCAGAGATGAATCTGATGTGGTCGCAAAGCTGGCTAGCAAAGCCTTTATGGCAGGATCTTGCAAATCGATTGGCGGTGCTGCTGGGATGCCCGCCATGCCATGATGCAAAGACGCCAGATTGGAGAGATCGAAAGTGGGTGCCGGCATGCTGCCTTGCTGAGCACTGGTGGGTGCAGCATTTGATGCTTGACTCCCGACCTTTGATGGCGAGCTGGAGGCGAAGGAAGCGAAGAACGCACTGATGGCATCTGGTGTCGCCGACAAGCTCGCAGCCAATTGCTGCTTCTGCCTCGGACTCAGATCACGCTTGGGGGTGATCTGTCCAGCCGCAAGCGCAGAAACCAAGGTGTCCTTCCTCGAGGGGGTGGAGAGAGGCGGGCCACTCGCAGCGGATCTACTTGGAGTCCCCTTCTTTGGGGTCATTGGAGGAGCCTTGCTTTCATGTGCCACTCTCTGGTGGGCCCCGCTAGTGCCGATGCGACCCACAGCTCCGCTCGCCATGCTCGCGGCGACACCCGTCGCCCCACTCTGCGTAAAGAGGTCGAGCTCTTGATTCCAGTCGACGTTGTCGTGGATCTCGACTCCTCCACCGAAAGCATCAATGCTAATGCCAGACCCATCGACACCTATGCCGGATCGTGCGAGAAGCCCGTAGGGGTCATCGAATAGCTCCAGCAATGACGCAGAGTCCATCTCCTCCCAGTCCGGCGAGACGGCATCCGGAGGTGAGGAAGATGCTGACGAGGAAGGGCAATCCTCTACCGTCGCTGGAAGCGGTCGACGGGCGATCTTCAAGGACGCCGAGGCACTGGTCATCGGCACCTGCAGATGGGTGGTGCAGTCATCTCGCATTCCAGCGTCGGTTGGTGAAGGGTCAGCGGGAACATTTGCAGTGCCTGGAAAATTTGTGGATAAGTCAATGTCAGGCGCCACATTTGAAGCAGGACGAGGTCCATTCAAGGGCGCAGAGGGCGTGCCGCTGATCCAGGGAATGGCTCTCGAGGCCACTTGTGTCCTACTTGATTCGATGCCAGTCTGGTCGCCTGCGTCAGCTTGCGGACTGCCCAAGTGTTGCTGTTCTCGTTCCCCGCCTGGTTGGCGCGAAGTCCGATCCGGCTGCTCATTATTGCTGCCACCCGTCGTCAAGGGTGTGGTCCGCCTCCTGCGTTTCGCAGGGCGGAGCGTCGGACTGCCGATGCCCGGCAAGCCGTCCTCTTGATCAGAAGACCCCAATTCGTCTGGTCCAACGCCCATGAAGGGGCCAAGCGTAGCGCCAGCGTGAGCAGCTCGCGCTTGACGAGCAGCCTTTCGAGCCTGGGATGGGGATCTGTTACGGGTCGCGCTTCCAATGCGCTCCTTGTCGGTCATGACGACTCGACCCTTTGTGAGACGATCCGACGCTCGTGAAGGGCTGGAGCTGTGATGTGAGGCGGGTGTGGTGTGCGTGCTGCTACTGGGCATGCGACTTGTGCGATCGATGCTGCGAGTCAAAGGGTCGCTTGAGGTCGTTGGGTCGATCGTGTCGTCATTCGTGATCTCCGAAATCAGCTCGTAGTTCCCGCTCCGCAGACGACCTCGAGTGAGTGGACTTGTAGTGATGAGATTGAACAATTCTGCCTCGGTGAAACTTTGTGGCAACGAAGACCCAGACGTGCGGGCAGACCGAGGCGTCTCGGCATTCTCGTGAGCTGCACTGAGCTCGACATGATTCGCCTCGCTCGCATCGGTGGTGCTTTCTGAATGCTCGGTCGCGAACGGATTGTGGGCAGCTCGAGTTCCGATGGGGTTTTTACGTGGACTCCTTCTGACCGGCACAGCAGGGCCGTTGTTCGTCACTTCATGCCAATCAAAATCACCCTCACTCAAAAGGGTCTCCAAAGCAGTGCCAGGACTGGACTCCAAGAGGAAAGTAGATGCTCCATACGTGCTTTGTGACGTAGAAGGTGGACCTGATTTGCCTCCGAGCTTAGCTGACCCCCTAGGCGTATTGAGACGTGCCGATACGGAAGGCAAGATGGGACTGGTTTGAGGTCCCGAAGCGCCAGCGGGCCTGGGCACACGGAAAGAAGATGTTGCCGCGGTATCTGTATGCGAGCGCGCAGCAGCTTGAGCGCCCGAGCTCGTCGTCGCAGCGATGCGCTGTTCTGCAGCATCTGCCTCTTTGACTGTAGGCGGCTTCTGAGAGCTTGCGCTTATCTTGGCTGCGTTCTCTTCACGTTGCTTGACAGCTTTCGCTGCTGCCATGCGCTGAGCTGATCGCCCTTGCGCCTCACCGTTCTTTCGACCAGGAGGCCGACCGGTTGCGATGAGCTCAGGATTCTCCAGGATGCTTCGTTTGGTTCGCCAACGCCCTTGCGAGTCTTTCACGAAGTCTTTGAAGCGCGCAGATGCCAGGTCCGGGGCTAGGCATGGTCCGAGACCTGTTCGCTTGGAGGCCCTTTCGCACACGCCACTTAGAGTTCGTGGGCCAAGGCCGCCTGATCTTGCTCGCTTGCCTAGTCCAGGATGATTGGCCGCAAGCTCGTCCATCTCGCTGTCGCTAATTTCGTTCAGCGCGATCGCGTTCGCCAACGCTTCTTCGAATGCACGACCCCGGGGCAATCGAGGAACGTCGGCGCCCTTCGGCTCACGATGTTGCCCAGTCTTGAGAAAAGCCTTTCCGCAGGCATTGCAAGCTCGTCTAAGCTCGTAGCCAGCAGGTGTCCGTTTTCGCGCCTGTTCGTCTTCTTCCACTTGAGAGCCTTCAACACTGTCAATGTCGGCGCGGTCTTCCTCGCTTAGTTGGACGAAACGCCAGCTTCGAAGACCGCGTATACCACAATTGTAACAGCGCTTGCTTTGCCTAGCCTTCGCGGCGTCGTTTGCAGTGTTAGACAATTCGCTATCAGGATCTTTGCTCTCAGCAGGCGTCTGGGAGGTCGCTCTGGGCGACTTGCCGCGCAGGACGTCCTCACCCGAATAGCCAGGGGTGAGCTCACCCATAGGTGATGTTCCGTCAATCGGTCCAGGGCGCGGCGGCACAGGCGATGGAGCTGCAGTCACCTGGGAGGGGCCGTGATGCCGAGGCACAAAGGAAGACACGGCCGAGCCAAGCAGCTGCGCGAGCTGTTGCGAAGCATCTGCGGTTTTGACCGTCGTAGCCTCCGTAGACGGCAAGGTCTCCAGAGAAGAGCCCTTAACATTTGACTGTTGACCAGCCGTTGCACTGGCATCCTGACCTGACTGGCCAGACTGAGTTTGCAATGCACGTAGCAGCTCGAGCAGCTGAAGTTGTAGCGCGGGCACATCGCTTGAAGACGAGTTGGTGCCGTTCTCTTTACTCGTCGCAGAGGGAATCGCGAATGGTGACACGGACATCCCGACATCATTCCCTTGCTTTGAGCTGCCGCGGCCCAACAAAGACGGCCTTCGAGGGTCGATCCGCTGGGTCATTGGCGGCGGACTGGACATGGTGCGCAGATCTTCCAATCGGCGCCGTCGGGGTGGCGGAACGGCTCCTTCCTCATCCCCTTCGTCGCCAGAGTCGTGTCGTCTTCTGGAAGTAGGCTTGGCGCTGCCGGGGTAGAACGACTTCAACATCGAATCGTATTGCTCGCGACTTCGTCTTGGAGCTTCCTTGAGCTTCAAAGTCACTTCTAATTCCTCTTCCTCTTCGTACTGGCCGCGTACAACGCCCATGACCATAGATGTGCCTTCACCATCTTCAGCCAGTACCCAGCTCCAGAAACCTTTGCCAACGCTGATGGGTGCCGCTTGTGGCGCCGATGACGACGAACCAGGCGTTGCGCTTCCTCCACTGCTAGCAAGACGTTGCCGAGTAGAGTCCTTATCCACCAAGCCATGCTGTCTCTGCGAAGCTGACCTAGCGGATTCTAGTGGGTCGACAGCGTACAGAGTGAAGTCCTTGCGCTCATCCAAGCCGAGTTCAGGTCTGAGCGACAAGTGAGGTCAGCCTTGCATTTCGCACGTGCGAACGAACGACGTGCTCCGCAGACTCACGATGCGCGGTATATGGCTCCTAGACATGCCTTGAGGCTTATGTGGCCAAATGTGGGCAAGGAAGCAGGAGGAGAAGTTGCAGAGAAGGCCGACCTGACGCGGCTTTCCATCTCTATGTCGACACCAAGCGGGCGATCGGGATACGCCACCATCACATTGTGAGGTGAAGACTCGAGGGAGTACAGTACCTTGACTGCAACAGGGTAGAGGTATCGGTGTTGGTTAGCTTCCTTGTATCGTCTGCGAAGGCAAAGAGCTTCATCTGGCCAGTCTCACCATCCATCAAACGCCGCTGACGACGCGTCTTTCCAGTAACCTTCTTCATTGTTTGCGCTGACGTCGGTCCTGAGACCGGCCAGACTTGTGATCTGCTGCCGCAACCAGAATTGCTGGTGAGTGAATCGCTTGTAGGCCAAAGTGTGCTGGGCAAGGAGGCGAAAGTCAGACGAAATGTAGGATGAGTGGAGACGGGTACGAAGTCGCAGTGGGAGCGTTTGGGACGATGAGGGAGCGTATGCCAGACTGATCAGGAGGATGGATGGATGGCGAGAGGAGCTCGCATCACCTCGTGATCGTTCGCCTGCTGCACGGGCGTCTGGATGTTGTTTTGGAACATCGAGACTTTAGAAGCGCATCTTTACGCGTAGCGAGGCGCGTGTCACGCGTCGCGCGCACGCGCGCCTCGCATCACACACGTACGCAACGCTCCACACGTCTGCGAGCTATAGGCGCGGCCGCGCGGATTTTTGACTGGACGCGGCGGCTCATGATGGTGATGCTCCGTGCAAAACTTCAGGTCGAGGGGTGAAGCGGACAGCTCCGTTCTCTCGCAATCCCGACTTGTCAAGTAGGCTAGCTTAGGGTGTCGCAGCTGCATAGACACCTTGATTGATGTAGTTGCCACACTCCGAAGTACCACGCGAGCACTTGCACGTGTCATGTCTATGAAGAGCCGCGTCACCTTATAGCTGCACAGAAGATCCCACTGACCCCTTCTTATGCTTTGAAACCATTCGTGATTGTCTGCTGCTGTACCGCGAAGAGGTCAGATGGCCAAATCATCCAACAGTCAGCGTCTTAGAGATCGCTCGCTCGCTCAGTCCAGTCCGTCTGTACAATCTACGTCTCCTCCGCGCCGAGTAGCAGCTCGTAATTCATCGGAGATGTTCGAAGGCTGCAGCAGGGCCATCATCCAGCACTCACGAACAGGAAGCTGAATATGCTGCTGATGAGCCCTGACGGCAGCGTACTTCGCCTCATCACGACCCGACCCAATTAAGGCACCTATACAACCAGGAGTCAAGAGTTAAAGTCAATTGAATAGACGCAAGTGTGCGTGCATGCTGGATGCAAGCGGCGGCGCAGCGTACACCTGCTGCACGGCGCGGCTGCTGCAGACGTTAATTGCATGCGCTGCTGCTCGTCCATCACGACTCACTCACGACTCGATCGTGACTCTGGCCGCATCGGCAGCTGATACAGTCGTGAGTCTGTGAGGATCAGTCGCGAGTCGTACATATGCATGATGATGATTGGGCCGTACAGCGGCGGCGTGGCGTTTGCTTGGCTTGTGCATGTTCTGCTGAAGCCGATGAGACCCTCGCGCTTGTGCTGCATGCAAGACCGAGACCGTGGGACTCGTTTCAGGGAACTTCCGGTGGCTCAGCAGCGCGCGTATATATCATTTATATGCAGCATCCGGCCACTGACCAACTGCGTCCCACCCATGCACAACACAATCAAGTCAAAGCAGCCTTGATGAGTGTTCATCAGACACTCAAGACTCACTTCCCGCGACTCTCTTCTACAGCTGATCGACTTGTGACTACAGGCTACCGGCGCTTGTGTTGTGGGTGACATGAAGCTCGTCTGGCTGCATGGAGCAAAGCATCTCGCATGTCTCTGCCGCTTTATTGTCTTCGCTACGCACTAATTGTATTGCCGAGGTATCATAGCACCTTTTCGCTGCCCCTGTGTCAAAAGCTAAGTACAGCTCAAGGATTTCAGCGGAAGCTTTCAAAGGGGATGCTTATCGCGGGTAGGTGCTCTGGCTGATCGGATCGCCGTGCAATTCTTGATTCATGATGATTGCAGGGAGCATTGATCGACATGCTGGATGCTGCGCTTATCACAATGAGTCATATGAGTCGGATAAGTAGCCGCGAGTCTTAACTACGAGCGCGAGAAAAGTTAGGGATGGCCCGCGCTCGGCGTGGTAAGTTAAGGGCAGCGCGTCTGTGTCCTGTCGACGTGGGCCATCCGGCACAGCCTGCGTGCTTTCTTCTCAGCTCCAACGGGAGCTCTGACAAGTCAAATTCAAAGCTCGAATGCTCTTTGTTGCCCGACAGCGATTAAACGAAGCGAAGCGAGACTTCAGTCTCTTGTGTGGGGTCGCTCTACAACATTCACGATTTCAGCAATGCCCATCACTTGCCTGGCTCACCGCCCGAGCCAGATCGCAGCTATGCAGAAGAGGTACCCGAGCCTTCGTGAGTGAGATGACTCACGTGATTAGATAGTACGTGCAGATATATGCGCCTCACCGATCGAGTGCGCAGCAGCAGCCTTGCGTGATCTCCTTATCGAAGTTTGGGCCAGCCAGGTCCACAGTCTGAGTCTTGAATGTTACACACAGCAGCATGGACAGAGAGAAGAGTACGCGCAGCTAGCACGCGCGCGCGTCTCACAATCAAGAACCAACATGAGAGCTCATGCATATGGAGATGCACGCGGAGAGGAGCTCCGCCGTCCGGCGCAGTCCTACCAGGGGGAAGCCAAGGTGATGTAATTCTCGCTCCCTCGCCTGATGCTGAGAGCGGCGTGCCGGTACCGGAATCGCGAATGGGGTGCGGGGCTGGCTACGCGCAGAGCATCGGAGGAGGCTCACTCGCCTGTTCGTGGTGTACAGCTGCATCAAGCTGCCACAGGAGCTGTGCCCACCTGTGTATCGCGGTCGGGCCACGGTGCGAACAACTGATTTACTGACCCCGCCTGGCTGACGCTGCTGCCGCTGCTGACGCTGCTGAGCCTCCCATGCATGCATGCATGCAGGCAAAGACGGGGGCGTGTGCGCTTACGGCGCGCATGTGCCCGCCGATGATCAGGAAGGAAGCTCTGCTCGCGCGTGTGCTGTGTTGCGTGTGGGTAGCGACGCACACCTCAGCAGGCGTGCTACATATGCAGCGTTGGCCCCTTCGTGCATTCGCAGCCATGACCCGTGACTCGTTTTGGCCACCATCACTGCCTCACTCGACTCGATTGGCTTCTTCTTGTTGTATCCGACCAAATCGTCTTCGGCGCAGAGACCTATCGATCTGGACTAGATTAACCCTGCTCGAGCCTTTCAACTCTGCACGCCATCATCGCCTGGCTCTGCAACTTCCTGAACGACTGCAAGTCTAGAAGCGAATCAACATCGCTGGAACGTCCGCTTCGAGTCTACGCGTACGTTGACTTGCAAGTCAAACTAGTATCGTGTTGATTAAGCTTGTGCTCAACAGTGCTATCGCAGACAAGGACGAGGCAGGCGCAAGCCTCTAGTTGCGGTCTCCCTCATATTCAACATGGCAGCCTTGCCACCAGCTCAGCGGGCTTCAGCCCGCAGCCCTCAGCGGCAAACAGGCTTCAGGGTTCCCTCACCCAATCACACAGATTCGGATATGCTGGATGCAGAGTCCGAGAAGGCTTCAGAGGTGAGTCCTGCCGAGCTTGCTTCTCTGTCATAGAAGGGACTAGTCGGACTTCAGGTGCTTGGGAGATGAGCTTTTGAAAAGACTAGACAGCTTGCTTTCACGCACGGCCAAAGGCAGTCGAGGCCAAAAGTCAGCCATTCATGGTAGGATATCGCTGACACACGGGCTGTGCCTTGTCCTCTGACAAGCAGGTGCGAGGCAGACCACAGCCGCTGGCAATCCCAAGGCCCTCAGCACCCACCTCGAACATGAAAGGCAGTATGGAAGAGCCAGGCACTTCCCACACTTCCGAGATCTCCACTCCTCCCGATGGCGTGGGACTCGCTCTCGATCGACGGGAGGTTGCTTCCAACGCGAAGATCAGCAGCGAATGGTCCGACAGAGTGCCAGTCACTGCTGCGCAGAGCGTTTCCTCTGCAAGCAGTCTCGAGCCATCTTCTTGGACGCTGTCAGGCAGTCAGCAGCACTCCCGAACTTTCGGTGCTATTTCCGGAGCGAATGCGAACGGCGCCAAGAATGGTCTGGGTGCTTCGAGCGACGGAAAGCATAGACTGGCACCGTACCTATCTACCTCTTTCCGGACCAGTGCTGAGCGGCGCGGCGGAGGCGCCGAGGAGGACGAGATGGAAGTCGACGAAGGAGATGACGTCTTTGGGTGGAGCGCTCGCTCTGGGGCCGGTCAGCATGATCGCGATGAAAGACTTTCGTCAGCCCAGCTTGCTCGCGGGGAATCGCAACAATCAATCGCGTCCGCCAGCGGAGGTACCAGCAGAATTTCAGAGGGCGACGATGCGGCAGGCGTATTTAGCTTCAGCAGCCCTCACTTCGGGCCGCGCAGCCTGGATGCAAATCCGGATGCTATTGGCAGCCATCGCTCCCCGCCGTCGCCACAGCTGGCAACGAGCTCGAGAGGTGATCAGCGTCTCATGTCGCCTGGCTGGGCCGCTACCAATCTTGCTCGAATGTCGCTCGGGGGTGCCAGTCAAGGAACGCCTGACCGTGTCTCTACCTCATTCATCGAAGCTCCCTATGAAGCATCCATTGGACCCGCCCGCTCTGCGAGATCCTCCGCATTTTCGCCTCGACTTGCCCCGAACAACATTCTCCCAGGTGGGGCCGTGTCTTTGAGCAGCAGCTTGACTCATGGCCATGGTCGAAAGTCAAGCACGGGCCGTCGACCGCCGCTCTCCTTCACTTCCACCTCTGGACCTGGCATCAGCCATAGCTTCTCGCATGTCCATGGTGTTTCCACACCGCCCTCGTCTGCCTCTGCCCAAACCTCGGCACGTGCACTGAGCGCGACTTATGGCCGGTCTAGATCACGCTCTCGCCAACGTCCGTCATTCGGTCATGGCGCAGATCAACCTGGAAGTGAGCGTGCCGCCAGCGCCGCACCTTCCCGTGCGCTTGAAGATGACGACGCTACGGATGACGAGATGTTCGATTTGGACGACAACAACGAAGGCTACGGCGCTGCAAGCCAGGCGACGATCCGGGGTCGCAGACCGGGCGACGCTCCAGAGGGTCCACCTGGCTTGCCGACCTTGTGGTCTCGACCTGAATCACACACGCAGCGTGGCATCTCCCCACAGAGACGACATCCCGTAACAACCATGAGCGCCTCTTACGAGAGGGCCGGGGCGCACATGGCAGCTGGCGCTGGCTCAGGTGGCACAGCTCTTGCGAGGGGGTATAGCAATGACAGGCATCACCCGGGCTATCCGTCAGGCAGCTTCTCCCTGTCCAGACACCATCCCTACGCGACCAGTCCTGGTCCCAGCTCCTTTGGCACATCTCATGGACATTCCTCCGCTTATCCGACCCAGCTTGCAAGCCCCGGACTGACGGGCATCAGCAGACCTAGCCAGGTGCGAGGATCCTCTGGCGCTGGAGCTCATTACGCACCTAGCGTGAACAGCTACACAGCAAGCCCACATCTGGCAGGGAACACGGCCCTCCCACCGCTCTACAATTTCACGGATGGCGACTCGCATGCAGCGGCACAGCCTTTGGATGCTGGTCAAAGGGCAGCACATTCAGCCTCTTCTTCTAGGTCTGTGTTGTCTACGTCCGCAAGTTCACACGAATCTGGAGCAAGCACTGGAATGGGGACGAGCCCTGGAATTGGTATCGCAGCTCAAAGGAGTGCGCCTCGGAACGTGGCAGCGGCGGGACCACCGCGCGATCCCTCCGATGCCCAACACCTTGCAAAGGCGTCGCCTTCGACGAGACTGTCGACCAGTGCCGGAGCTGCGGCTGCTGGTGAGACGCCGGAGATGGCTGAAGTCACAGCGATCCGCGAACGACTTGGAGGCGCCGCCAATTGCTCCGCGTTCATCTCAAAGCTGTGGTATCTGATGTGCAGACCAGAGCTGTATTCAGCTTATCTCAGATGGAGCGAAGCGGGCGATTCGATCATACTCTTTTCCGATCAAGACATCGCCAATGACTTCGCAAGCGACGTCTTGCCCCGACTCTTTAAGCACGGCAATAACGCGAGCTTCGTGCGGCAACTGAATGTGAGTACGTCCGCGTCTCGCCGTGCGATGATCGCGAGCTGATCGGGTTCTCGTGATCACCGACCAGCTGTACGGATTCCAGCGCGTTCCGTCCTCTCGGCTCCTTGATGGTGTGGAACACAAGGTGGCTAAGCGCCCAGGCGGGCTGAAAGGGGTCTCAAACATCAGCACAGCACTGCAGTATTACGGGCCACATTCCTCCTTTTCACACCCTCGCTTTCTGAGGGACCGGGAGGATCTGCTGACCAGCATGAAGCCTCGCAGCAGCAAGAAGCCCAAGAAAAGCAATGGCAGCAATGCTTCTGCTGGTGGCGTTGGCGGGGACGACGATGAAGAATGAACTCTGGCCTGTCATCCAGCTCCCTCGAGGCTCTGCTATGCCCGTTTCGCTGCCCAGTGTTCCGTGCTCTTTGGGCTGCGCTCAGGATGCCTCGATTCCGAAGCTCCATTCGATTTCCTTCGTCTTTGCCTGGGTGTGTTAGTCCATCTGCTCGTGTATCCCGACCGGCGCGCAGCTTCCTCCTTTCGTTTTCTTGCACAACGTCATTTCTTCCCCATCAAAGTGGTCGCATCCTGCATCCCAAGCTACTCCTCCAATTGTCTATTCAACACGAATGTAAATGTATATCATAGGCTGGCGCACGCACGAGCGCGTGCAACTCTTGTTTTGAATCAGGAATCAGACGAGACAAACCACCTCAGCCGATTCGCGGACATCCGGCAACCCCTAGCCCGCGATCGCACGCACTCGCGACTACACCGCGACTGCATGTGCGTCATGATTTTGATCCGCAAAGATATTCTTTTTTTGCTGCGTGCCAAGTCGACACGTGTGTTCAACAGTATGAGTAGTCGAAGACATCGCTAGGGTATCATATTTGCAGTCGTGAGTGGCTTTGTTCGGCTCGGCAAACAAACATGCGCTCGGTCGTCGCCTCTCCCGCGGTGTCCTCATCATAAGCGGAGTCACCTTTGCTATTCACACGCACGTCGCTCGCTCGTGACTCGTGACTGTGTGACAATCATGCGCGGTCGTGAAAGTCTCCTTGCAAGTTGACTATTGCCCGCTCCGCCAGTCTTGCATAGGAGCCGCCTGTGATCCACAAAGAGCATGACCACTCACGATGAGTCACGACTCACGACCATATACTTCACAGTGACTGACAATTTGGCCCTGCTGCATGCTGAGATGCGGCTGTGCTTAATTCACATCCTTGATTCGTGATTGTCATCCTTCCTTGTGCTCGCTCCTCTCTTATTTGGAACTTACGACTTACGACTGGGCCGTGCGGACCCACACACACCGCCATGCATCCCAGCAGCAGCCGATTGCTGCACGTTGGCGTGCGCAAGCCGAAAGGCGGGCTTTTATAGGTCGTGTCATGCAAGGATTAGGCTTTGGACGCTAGTCTGCTGCTGGGTGCCAAGGGTGGGCGGAGTGCTCGTGGTCTGATGCATCTGCGGCTTGCATGAATCGTGGATGTGAATGTTGGCTGCTAATTTGAGTAGGAGCACAACGAACGTGGAGGTTATTGTGCTGAGCTTGCACATCCAGCCACGAAGCCCACAGCTCCTCAACCTCCCCAGCATCTGTTGCTGCCAGATCAGCAGGGCCGCTGAGCGCTTCAAGACAAGCTAGGAGGTCTCTCTCGCCCACCGCCCAAACTCTGCTGGGCTCAGCATTGGTGGTGTGAAGCATCCGTATGCGCACTTGCCATGCCAAGTATAAAGACAGCGTGTTGAAGGGAGCGTTGACCGATGTCCATGTTCCAGATCAATCACCACCACAACAAGACCTACGAAAGCGCAGGTCATAGACGTGCAACCAGGGACTTTAACGCGCAAGGTGCACCCAACAGGGTGGAGGAACCTTGTTCAACCCCCCTCAAGTACCACTACCTAGTCCTCAGAGCACGTCACATCTCGCTACGGGCACACACTTATGTCTTCATCGTCATCAAAGCCTGCTGGGCTGCAGCTCGCAACTGGCGTGGAAGAGACGCCAATCACTTCAACCGTCGAGCCGAGTACGACAAAGGTAGCTCCAAACTCCGAAAAGGCCGCACCCGATGGGTCTCATGATACAACTCTAGCCGACAATTCTCCTGGCCAGAAGGAGCGTGAGCTTCTGCTGAGGCTGGGATCGGATCACCATGAGAAGGAAGCTGAAAGAATTCAAGGTGGGCAGCTTCGTCCCACGCAGAAGCTGATTCTGCTTTGCGATGGAACCTGGTGAGCCTCTTGCTTCTCCTGCAACGTATCATTAGAGCAAAAGCTTTGTGGTCACACTTCCTGACGTCATCCTTGTTTTTCTTCCAGGCAATCTCGGCGCTCTGTTCGCTCAGCCGTGCATGGCAACACCCTCACCAGCTCCTCTGCCACCGGTGACTTTTGGACCAACGTGGCGATTCTCGCCCAGTCCATCGCCCCAAACGCAAGCAAGCCCAATGCTCAAGGCGTATATCAACGTCAAATTTGTGCTTATCAGCGCGGCGTGGGAGCGGTCGAAGATCTCAGCACTCGTCTCATCGAAGGTGCTACAGGCGCTGGGCTCGGAATCAAGGTTCAGGAAGGTACGTGCAGCAGAGATCACAGCGCTTTGCGGTTCAATTTCACTGACACACGTGATGTAACGACGCTTCATCGTCTGCAGGATATCTGTTTTTGGTGGACAACTACCGCGATGGAGACACAATTTCGTTGTTCGGATTCTCTCGTGGCGCATACACGGCGCGTACACTCGTCGGATTCATCAATTACGCTGGATTATGGTCGAAGACGGAAGCAGCGATGGGCATGGCAGAGTCTTGGGAGGCGTACCAGCGACGTGATCCTAGCAAGCCAGAGACCATCATCGATTCTGCCAAGCTAATGTTCGAAAAGACGGGTCGTTGGCCCGCCGCAAACGCGGAGCACACTGAGACACAGCTTGTCGAGCAAGCGGCTCAAATGAAGAGCAAAGAATTGGAACAAGATATCAAGAATTGGTTTGCAGACAGTGGCAAGAGAGACCAGGAGGGCAGAGCTGTACCTCCTGATGTAGACGTCGTAGGCGTCTGGGAGTGAGTTGGGAAGCGGTCAAGCGAAACCATATTGTGAAGTCTGATCAGTCGTGTCTCCTCCTATTTTCATGTTTCAGCTCCGTCGGTGCCGAGGGTGTAAGTTCGACCCTTTCAGTAAGGCGCAATTTGTGCCTTCACGCCTCAAGACTGACACTCTTTGCCTGCATCTTGAATCAGATTCCTGGCAGTTTCATCTCCCCGGATCTGGTGCGCTTCTATAGCTCGTTCGACCCCATGCTACCGCCTTGCGTCCGCCATGCTTTCCATGCTATGGCTCTCTTTGAGGATCGCAAGGACTTTACGGTGACTCGCTACTATGTGCCCTCGAAGAAAGCCGAGCTGCCCGCAGATCGCGCCCGACGCAGGGGTCAAGTGCTGCGCCAAGTGTGGTTCCAAGGCTCACATTCGGACGTGGGCGGTGGACACGCATGGCACGGTCTTTCGGTGAGTTGCATGAAATCGCCCCGACGGATAGAAGTCGTGCTCACAGTGGTGCGCAATCGCAGGACGTGGCCTTATCCTGGATGGTTGCAAATTTGCACGATGCGCCCGGCGGCCCTCTCATCGACGTGGACCTGGTGACGCTCAAAGCCTTACAAGATCGCCGTCGCATATGGGCTCTGCAACCTCAGCACCCATCACGCATCGCTGTAGAGCTCCAGCTCACACGCCAAGTTATGCACGTGCCTGACATCGCGGCCAAGGGTGATGGAGGAGAGGACGTTGGGCTCGTCGGAAGGTTCTGGGAGAGGATGGTGCAGAATTCGAGAGCTTTGGCAGCCGATCCCGGAAGCAGAGACGACGAGCGAGCCGCTGAGGAAGCAGACGCGGACGTCGACTGTCAGGCCATCGAAGAGATTCATCATAGCGTTGTGCTTGGAGGGCGCTACAATCCCCTCAAGAGCCGACAATTTGACGAGCTTCGCAAGCGCGATTCCGCTTTGCTGGACAGACTTTGGACGCGCGCTGGGAACCCTGCCAGTCTGCTGCCAACAGAGAGAGAATTGCGCTGGTGGGAAGCAGACAAGCACATGACCCCCGCAACTCCAACTCACCGCAACATGCCCTGGCACGAGGAAGACGAGGATCTCGAAGCGGTCACAAACGAGCTGCCATCCGACAAAGCTGCCAATGTGGCCGGAGATTTGCAGGATACGGACGCTCAGCTGCCGCCCGCCAAGCCGACCGGGGTCTCGCGCATCTCTTGGTCCACGCTCAAGAGTATCGTCGAGGCGCCCACTAGGCTTCTTGCCATCATCGTCAACCGTCGTCCAGTTCCAGACGACAACCTGAAAGTGAGGAACGCTGCTATACAGACTATCCTTGTACACTTGCTGACGCCGATGACGACTCATGCATCCTAATCGATTTGCACAGCCAAGCATTGCTGCGCAGACCGTTCAGCGCATTCGCGCGTCGATCGACGCGAGACGCAAATCTCAAAGCTGATGACCTTACAGGCAGCCTCAAAGTCGTGCTCGCACACCATACCCCCTTAATCTCCTCGAACGACAGGTCTTACTTACGAATTGCGCAAGCGCAAATGAATCACCACAACCGACGAGATCATGGATCACCACAACCGACGAGATCACCAATTTCTCTGAACCTGTCAATATCCTCGCCAAGCGCCGAGACTCGCAAGTCGCAGTTCCTTCTACATTACTTTCAGGTCCGCGTCTGGTGTCCCACAAGAACATATAAAGCTTCAAGCGTCGAAATGAGCATCGACGATATATTACTGTCGATTTTGGGCGCAGTCAATTGCTGTGCACAGGCGGGAGCTTGTTGAGATCAAAGTCGTGGACTTGCTTCGACGTTGACGCGCCCGTATTGTCTTGCCCATTTCCATGCGCCTGGAGATGCTTCGAGGCTGGACTAGCCCTTGAATATCCTGAGACGGCGTGGTCGGGATTGCTCGATCGAATGCGGGCTAGCTTGCCGGGGTCCTCTGCCCTCATTGGGATCACGCCGTCGTCGTACTCAATTCCGGGCTTTGCATATACTTTGTGACCGGTGTAAGGCACGCCCGAGGAGGTGATGCCACCTAGGCGGAATAGCGATGTCAGTGCGCCCTGCGCGGCTTGGGGGATGTGAAGACCGATGATGTCGCTGCGACTCGAGAACGTACCTCCTTCCGCATTCTTGTTGCGGCGCGCCCGCATCCTGCCGATGGCGTGCAGAACCGGTTCGTCCAAGCTTCTACCGAATCCCTTCGTGATCTGGGCCAAATCACAAAGCGTCAATGGGCGTCAAATCGTGCGCATCTATGAAAAGCTCGTTGATGACACTCACTCTGAAGCCTTTCGCTTCAGGATGAAAGTGCTGGACGTAATATTTGACGGATTCTTCTACAGCACCCCGATGCTGACCTGACAATTTGGTATTAGAGGTAATCTTGAAGTCCTTGTGCAAGGGCCGATCTGGAGTTTGGGGTGTGGAGCTGCCATATGCTCTTTCAGTGGCCACGAGATCGTGTGGATTGGATGATGGGACCCACCTTTCGCTCGATGCGCGGTGCAGTCTTCCCCCTCGATCTCGATACTCGAGCCATTTTTGCAAGAATTCCGAATCTTTATCGACCCGTATGGGATACGCCGTTCGAACCCCCGGTCTCAGCGTTCTTCCAGAAACTTGGCTTCGACCTCCGTTTCGAATGCCTGGGTGACGCAACACACCCTGGGTGATGTCATCGGCGATCCGACTCGCTTGCTCATGTGTCATCGCTCTCCCTCGTTTCTCGAGCTTCTGCACTTCTCGACGCGGAGAAGTGTGCTGGGTTGCGCTGTCACCCCTCGAAGTGCGGCGAATGAGTGCGCGCTGACTTGAAGGGGTTGCGAGAGACGATGACTGATCGCGCTGGTGGAAATTTGCCGCTGATATGTGACGTAGCTCCTGAGCAGCGGCACGAAGGAAGCGTGAAGATGGTCAGAAAAGAGAAAGACCAACTCCATCATCCGTCCTGACAACTCACGCGCACTTGCGCGGTCGACTCGGTAAAGTTTGCGAAGTCCCATCTCGCGAAACCCCCATGAAAATCCGAACGTTGTCCAGCTAGCAGCCCAGACTTAGCGTCATGCAAATGCCGACGCACGAACTTTGCATTCCGAGCAACTTGCTGATCAGCGACTCTCGGCTTGGCCGTCGAAGTCGAGCCCGCATGGTGGTCAGACATTATGTAGCGAGTGCAACGCAAGGCGGTGAGGGGAGACCACCTCGAGAACAGGCCACTTACATCTGCTCCATTGAGTGACATCGCGACCTCCGCATTCGTTTTGTCCCTCGAGATGACGCTACGCTCAAGCGAGCGAGCGTTGCAGTGGTACGTGACCGCGAGCGGTGCGAAGATTGATAATAAAATGGTGATCGACACCATTTCGCGGTTTGTGGAGGTCCTGACCTATGCGGGGCTGCGACGTGCCTTGATGGGCCGGAGTTGATTGCCTGGGCTCGCAATAACGAGGATGGAGGATGGCGCGTAAAGGAAAGATCAACAGTCGGACCTGCATCCGTAGAAGCTGTTTGGTCTGTCGGAAATCGACGATAGACTTGGCGGACGCGGCCAATGAGCACAGCTTCCCGGAGTCGAATGCCTTTGAGGTTTTGGGTTCACAACGTCCTCGATGTGGGCGAGGGGCTATTCTGAACGCCACTCGTCTCTCAAAGTGCCCAATCCTCTCCGTGCCATTGAGGGGTCGTGTGAGCTCGATGTAGTGTCCGACGGATCGCTGCAGTCAAATTCTCAAGCTTGGTAGCCTCGCTCTTGTTGTGGCGGAAAAGGTATCGTGCGCTGCCACAAACGATCGCTGAGGTCCATTTGCGTTGTGGCGAGCGTGGGGGCGTACAAGGGCGCCGTTGGGGAACGGACCGCCGTGGTGGCGGATCGGCCGCCTTCGCAACCAGCCCAATCGGAGATTTTGAGTTGGCCGAGCTGTGCGAGGGTGACGAAAATTCGAAGCAAATACGATTCGAAGGACGAAATTAGTTCCGATAGCGGTGTCACGACTAATCTCTCATATCCGTTAGACGGAAGATACCGCAATGCGGAAAGAAAATTCAGGTCAGCACCCCTCATCGCTGTCAGTCAGCGATATGGCGGGGATCGTAAGGGAGTGGGATCGATGCGCTGCGATACGAGCGCGTGAAGCGCTGCATTCGTGATTCACGATCACGCTGAATGGCGAGCGTATTTCTCGCGCGCAGTCACGAGTCCTCCAAGAAGGACAAGAAGTGGCGGTGCCCGTTGCCGATGGCGTTCCACACCTCTAGATGACCCCTTGACGCTGATGCAATCCACTTGCCAGGATACTTGCCAGTAATCGAGGCCGCATGTGGTGCCTCGAATGTCCCATTTCGCCTGCCGCCTATTATGGCCCTCAGCGCCAAGTGAACACGTTAACGTACCGATGGCAGCGATTGTGCGAGTAGATACCTCGCACGTGACCCACTTATGGGTGCTGCCTGCGGACACCGTCGATGGTGAATTGGTAGGAATGCACGTCAGCATGGCGCTGTCTGCCTCGCAAAGATCTGTCAACGGAGTCGTGGGCGACGCTCAGTACTCCAAGACGATGAGGAAAGGTCAACACACAATCTGCACGACGTGCGTGCAAGCAGCTTGGAACAGCAGAACCAAAGATCGATGCGGAATGTGATGCTTTTTTGGGCAATGTCGCCGAGCTGAGAGCGTTGTACATGGGTTGTGAAGAGTGAAGCCTGCTTAGCTTCTAAAAAGCTTGCGCATAGGGCAGATCAGTGCCGAATGATGGTCTTTGCGCTTCGCCAAGCGGCATGACGTGCCGGCTTCGGCTCGGCGAAGAGTTGCAGGGCATGTCGAGTCGTCCGGCCATTGGTTGGTAGGACCGCTTAAGCCTCGGTGATTTCACGCAGACGACGGATGGTGCTGGAAGGAGGTGCGAACGACGAGCAGGTTCAGCGGAGCGTTCCCTGAAGCCTTGCCTGAGCTCTCGGGCAGTGATTGTACAGCTAGAACAGCATTGCCTAAAGCGTGCTGGGATTGCACTTGATCTATCCCCCTTTTTCAATCTCATATTCCTTTGGCAGCCGGTGTCCTACTCCCTTCACATGACTGAACGACCAGGCCACCCCTTGGACAGACCATGCATACCCTGTCACCATCTTCGACCCTATCAGTGCAAGTACTTACCTGCGGACAGTTGCAGCAGCAGTGGTAGACAAAGTCCAAGCTCCACCAGCAATTGTCTTTCTGCAGCTCTTGCATTCCCAGATACCGACAGACTTGCGCTTCACGCTGTCCTTTCCGCAAAAGGTGCATGTGTACCTGGAGTGCTGAGAAATTTCGATCTTCTTGATTCCCTTACGGAGACTATAAGACGGAATAGAGCAGAGCGAGTTGGTGAGCTTGTGCAAGGTTGTCTGACGCCATGCGCTCCCCTTTCTGATGACGCTGGGTTTGAATAGCCACGAGGCCACACCTTTCGACACTCACGAAGCACCGTAACGAGTACCGTACTTGCCGGTGATTCCGACCTCTGCAAAGTGAAAGGGGTTCGCGCTCCGTATGTTAGCCTAAAATAATCCACCATCCATGGAGACGCAATTCCAGGGCAGTCCCTTAGCCAACTGAGCAATGTCCCGCTGCCTGTCCGCCCTGTCACTTCGCTGGTGGTCCCTTCTCCGTTTCCCAGCGCTCGCCGTGCGCGTGGGGCATGGCCCGTCCAACGCCGTCAAGCCTACTGCTCCATCATCCTCTGCTCCTTCCCCCCGTCACATCCTGACCACACCTCGATACCCACTCTTTGTACGAGCAGCCATCTTGAAGAATGAAGAGAGTTGCGTGTATGCGTGATTGTTGATCTGGGAAGATGTGAGGTAGTTGAAGGTGCGGGCCGGCTCGCTGCGCTCACTCCTTATTGATTCGCAATCTAGAATCTCAAGCCTTCGCGCTGCTGTAGGTATTTTGCCACGTGGCTACTCCTCTGGTGCTTGCCTGGGCACGTCGTGGATGCGCGCGGGGAGCACCGCAGCTGCATGAGAGCGGCGATTCGCGGCCGATTCCCAGCGAAGACGCAAGTAGACTTTCTGTGCACGTGATAATCACACTCTGGCGCGCTCAACGCGTCCACGGCGTGATAGCTGCTGCCGACGCGTTCAAGCCCATCGAACCGCGGAGCAGCTATCCACGATGTGATCATCACTCCGCCAGGCATGCGGGCCAGCCAGCTTTGAAGCAACACAATCGCGATTCGATGCTTCACCACTCATCGCTTCCAAGGTCTTGATTTCTGCGGACGCGTGGATAACCTCACACTAAGTCTCACGTACAGTTGGCAGACCAGGTATACACCTGTGGATGGCACGTCATGGCAGCAAGACCAACTACCCCGCTCAGGCGGGTATCACGCGGCTCGATCTCAGCCTCTGCATCGCTACGTCGCTCTCAAGGACCTGGCGGTGCGTCTGGATATGGAGCAGCTGATGATACGCCCCTTGCATTTCTGGACTCTGCAATGTCCGACTTGGCGGATGAGACGGCAGTGTTGCAGTCCAATTTGGAGGCCGTTAGCGGTATTCACGAAGCGCTGCGGACCTTCGATGAGAACTTTGCAATGTTTCTCTACGGCCTCAAGATGAACGCGTTCTGCGTGGAGTGGCCAGAGGTGAGTGATGGAAGGTAACCACGGCGGTGTTCTGATTTGCTGATTTACTGACTGCTTGTTCTTCGTCTCCCTTGAGGCGCCCGCGGAGGAGAACTTCGAAAGAGCCGGAGAGCGCGGACGTGAGCGATGCCGCCATGATCTAGTGACTTGTTCATGGACATGTCATGCTCATCCTCCTGACCCCGTGCGCCGTCAGATCGATTGCAGGAGCAGCAGCTCGCGCGCGCCCAGATCTCATCTGGGGACTACTCCTCCGGAGATGTGCGAGGACGCGCCAGCGGGGGTGGAGGTGCCTCCGGTTTCAATGCGGGAGATCAGACCTACATGACTACCGATGAGAACGACTCTTTCGGGCCTCCAACTCCCAAAGCTGCTCCTGCTGCTCAAAGAGCGGCCACACTGAAACCTGCCCTCAAGAAGACCGTGCCCGCCAACGGAGCTGCCGCTGGGAAGACTGGCGCAAAAGCGAAAATCACACCTGCGTTGCGTAAGAAGCGAGAGGTGAGCAAGACAAAGTAACGCGAGCTTCGTCATAGACCCAGTAGCTCATACCTGTGCGGTCCCATCTAGAGCATTGCTGCCACGATCATCGAGACTCTGCCGTTGGAATATCGCGGTGCGGATCCAGTGAGTACCAACGCGTCTTTGATTCGGAGCATTGGATCTCTGAGCTGACTTGTTCTCCGCGAGCAGAAACCTCGCGCTCTCGCCGAAAATGTCATCCTCGCACTGATGGCTGCAGGACCAAAAGGAGCCAGAAGTGAGCGCTGGTACGGCTCAAAGTCCCTTTTCATTGCAGGCGCTGACCTTGCCCTATCTGCACCGAAACCTTTGACAGTCAATGAAATCGCAACCACGGACATGCCTTCAGCGCGCGTAAACAAGACATTGATCGCCCTGATCGCCGCGAAACACGTCGTGAAGTCATCTAATAATGTGGGTGTGAACAGTGGGCAGCTAGGCCTGCCAGCCACACGGGCTTTTCGTACTGGCACTGACGACAAAGGCAACGTCTCTTCTGACCCTGCGCTTTTTCTTCTTCCAGGGAGTTGTCTATCACCTCGACCCGGCTAGGCATCCAGATCTGCCCTGAGCAGCGGAGACGCTTGCTGCCTTCCCCTAATCTTGTTGTATTCTATCCACGCCTGTCCGAATAGCGAGTCCATGCGATTGTTCAATGCTCGTGTGACCGACCAAAGACGGGCATTCGAGCGATGCGTGCTGCGCGGCTTGTCACAATCAACAGGTGGACACGCATGTGAATTTCATCGCATTGAACTGGGGACTCAAAGAATATAAGTGCGCCTACTAGACACAAGAGGAGACACGCTGAAAATCGAATCCACGCCAGTGGATTTCTTAGCGACACCTAAGAGAGCCCATTCAACAGTTCGCTTGGACCTTACCGACACAAGCTATCACACGTTCGCCTCACAAGCAAAGCACGCAACCCCGCCAAGTCGAGGCTTGCTGCGCTCTGTGGTCAAGGGCTTTGAACCTCACACTTGACGTGCAAGGTGCGTGACCAAGCGATCTTTCGATCAACTTGGGGGTGCATTTTGGAGTTCAAGTCGTGGAATACATGTGGTTGCGAACGACCTCGCAAGGCTTGATGATCATGATGGCGTAGAAGAAGAGACTGTGGCTGATGCGATGCACCTACGACCGGACGAGTGCCTTAGAGCAAACCAACGCGGCTGGCCATGTCGAGAGCGTCCTGGTCTGCAGTCAGCCTGATGAATGCCTTCTTTTTGCCATCCGGACGAATCAAGGTGTTTATCTTTTGCGCGTCGCAGTCGTACAGCTTCTTTACGGCTGCCTTGATCTATTCCGTTGCGGGCGAGGAGGCCAGTCAGCACGATGTTCATTCAATTCGCTGAGCGCACACCACCATACTCTTGCGAACCAGCAGGATGCAGATCCAGCAACTGCCTAGTCTCTTCGACTTCTTCCAACCACCTGCTACTGTCCGTTCGCTATTCCTTCCGGCACCTTCAGTCAAGTTCTTGTTTTGTGACTCACCTGACGCTTGTTTGCGCGACGGTCGCAGATGACGACGAGAGTGTTCTCCTCCTCGATCTTCTTCATAGCACTCTCAGTGTTCAGAGGGAAGAGCACAGTGGTGTGCGCATCCATGCGAGGGAGGTGAGGAACGCTCTTCCTCAAGTATTTAGGCTTACGAGCCAAGCGGAGGGTCTTAGGTCGGTGGAAGGTGACGGACGTCCTGACCTTGCGGATCTTGTTGCCAGAGACACCGTGCAGAGCGGCCTTCTTGGCTGCAGCGGCCTTGAGCGCGGCTGGCTTGGCCTTTGCCTTGCCGACGGCTAATAAGAATGCAGAATGAAGTTGGTCAGTTGTCAAGTCGCTAATTATCTTGCCTGTGCCCATGCGCGTCTCCCCCCGCAGTCCACCTAATCCGGCCTGTCCACTTCGCTGCGATTTCTCGGCCCAGCCAAACCCGTCGCCGGGCTGGTCTCCTTCCTTCGCTTGACAGACGACAGCAACGTCTAGCGCGGAGTAGCGTACTCCAAACTCGACCCTCATACATCAGCTGCCATTGATGTTTCAAGTCTTCCACTGTATGACACCTCATGCCCTCCCATCGCGATGCGCACTTTCTGTGCCTCGCACTCGCAGCACGCATTGACCAGCGATGCCGCGACCACAGGCTACCGATACTCACCAGTGCCGCCAGTAGCTCCCTTGTTACCTGAGGACATCTTGAAGTGTGATATATGAATGTGGGTGCTTGAGGTGACGGTAGACAATCCGAAGAGTTGGGGCACTGCCGCGAAGCGATTGATTGGCCATGCGCGAACCTATGACTTCTAAAAATGCGCTGCGCCTGCAGCCACGTGGTTCGCCCCAGAGAGAGGACGCAAGAGCGCAGGCGCGCGCGCTGCACTCCGCATGCCACGTGGTTGGTACCGAAAAGCCTACGTCTGCAGGACCGCTTCTCGGATTTGATCAAGAAGCGCTGAAACTCAGCTAGACCGCCTCCTCAACCACAATATACACCAGTTTCGAGCGATTATCTAGAGTGAGCAAACGTTCAAATCATACTGTGGAGCATTAGACACGCGAGCTGACCGTCTTTCTGACACATCTCTCCCAATAGCGCCCAAGATGTCGAAGATCGCGGTTTCCCAAGTGCGCACGCAGCTCAATGACCTGCTCAAGGGGTCTCAAGAGAAGAAGAGGAACTTCTATGAGACCGTCGAGCTCCAAAGTGAGTGCTTGAGCGACGGGTTAGGCATGGCGAGAGTCGGAGGGAAGACATAAAAAGAGTGCTGCTGTGTCGGAGCGAAGCGCCGGGGATCAATCAGATGAGCTGGCAGAGTGCGAAGGGAAGAGTCATGACTCTAGGGAAGGCTCTGAACATGTGGTGATTGAGATGATACAAGGCGCTCACGAGGTTATTTCCGATCCTTCATTGGCAGTCGGATTGAAGAACTACGACCCTCAACGTGACAAGCGTTTCAGTGGCACCATCAAGCTGCCTCACTGTGAGTTTAAGACGGACTCGTCAATCCCGTATGGTACCCACCGCCTGACCGGCTTCTGCTCCCTTTAGTGCCTCGCCCTCGTATGTCGATGGTCATCCTGGCTGATGCCGCCGATGTCGATCGTGCGAAGCTCATCGAGCTCGACTTCATGACTGTTGAGGATTTGAAGAAGCTTAACAAGAACAAGAAGCTCGTGAAGAAGGTGAGAACCGCGGATCTGCCGAAAAGTTCAAGGGGCACGATGGCAAAAGTTCTGTTGCTGCAGGTCAGTCGAGCGCGAGCTGAATGAGACACCTTCCCACCCGTTGCGCAGCTCGCCAAGAAGTACAACGCTTTCCTGGCTTCCGAGGCGCTTATCAAGCAGATTCCTCGTCTGTTGGGTCCCGGGTTGTCCAAGGCCGGAAAGTTCCCTACTCCTGTCTCTCACGGTGACGATCTTGAGAAGAAGGTGATCGAGGTCAAGTCGACCATCAAGTTCCAGCTCAAGAAGGTTCTCTGCTTGGGTGTTGCCATTGGCCACATCCAGATGAGCGAGGACCAACTGTTGGCCAACGTCATGCTTGCCATCAACTTCTTGATCTCCCTGCTGAAGAAGCAGTGGCAAAACGTCAAGAGCTTGCACGTCAAGACCACCATGGGTAAGCCCATCCGCCTCTACTAAGCGGAATTTTCTTCGCACTTCATCCCAAAACCATTGTTTCGGTCACAACATAGCGTGCGCACGCCTCACCCAGCGACGGACTGTGCTCGTGACGAGCGGCACATTTACGTCGTGCGGGTAGCTCGAAACAACTCCCTTTACGTCAAAATGCACGTCAACCCATTGTACTGGTATGCCGAATTCCATGCTAAGGTAGTGCTCAAACCTGTCTGCTTGTTCAGCGTGATAGCACCCACTCATCGGAATCGTCAGGCCGGAAGCGCAGACATCTCTCTGGTCATGGATGACATTGTCGGAACTTGACACCCGCATTGCGAAAAATTTCTCGGCTCCTGTCGTCCATGCTGTACGCCAGCTCGTACACCACCTCCTTGACGCCTACCTGAACGATCTTGACAGCGCATCGCAGGCATGGGCAGCTGAGGTTCGCAAGCGATGTGAAGTCTAGCGTCAGTGTGAAGGAGCACGAGATGGCGGCGCAGAGGCTGCGCAAGATGTCAACTCACGTATTGCAGTACAACACAGTCCCTTCCGCTCCTCCTCTTTCCCTTCCACATTCCAGAAGCGCATTCTCCTCGGCGTGCAGGCACAGACATTCGTCCAGCCTTGTACCACCTTGAGCCCCGCCATTACACCTTGGACATCCACCTTGGTTGCAATTGAGCAGGCCGATAGCTGTGCCGTTGTAGCCCGTGCTCAAGACTCTGTTTGAGCGCACCAAGACTGCCCCAACCCTGCGCTTCATACAATTGCTCCGCAGAGAAGCGAGCGTGCAGAGCGAAAGAAAGTAGCTGTCCCAAGGTGGACGTAGACGGGCTGCATTGACCAAGTCGAGGTCGTCCAGATGAGCGTAGAGGGATGCGAGATCTGCACTGCTGTTTTGCACCCTGACTTGAGCGGTGTTCATCAGCGACCACAAAGAGTGCTGTGCGCCGCTCGTCGCTGCTGCACCGCTTGCGCCGTTCACTAGCCTCGCGACGGACTGGCTCGGTAGCCCTTCCTGAGACACCAGCGAGACGCCGTCGTTGGAAATCGTGCTTGCACTCTTGCTCAACGCGATGGGCGCGTGGCCGTTCGGCTGACGAGCCTGCCGACTGATGACGTGCATCTCTTCGTGATCTTCCGCGGCAAATTTGCTCCAATCGAAAGCATCTCCCCCACTCAAGGATCTGCTAAGAGAGCGTGCCGGTCGCTGCTCAGACATTGAAACATGCTGGAGCGAAACTTTGTTTGGAGTAGGAAAGGCGACTCACCTGGCCCTTTCAGCTCTTGCGAAAAGAGAAGCATCGATGGCTACAAGCAGAAAGAAGGGTCTCTTGTCGAAGCCGAGCGAGATGTCCTCGATGCGCCTGAGATCCTCCGTGACAAAATTTTGCCTCCAGTGGGAAGTGACGTGCGTCAACAGGTCGGCATGTGATCTGAAGCTGAGAGAGCCCACCGCTTCGTTGACGTCCAGATTGGAAGCTGCCTCAGCGAGTGATTGAGATGATGAAGGAGATTGAGATGGCGAGGTCTTGCAGCAGGCGTCGGTCACTGTGACGGGAGTGAAAGCGTGACGTTGAATGAGGTATCGCGCGACAGTAGTCTTCCCCGAGAGTGTCGGGCCGATAAGCGCGATGAGCATCTCGTTCAGGGTGTCAGCCTCAGAGCTGGACGCGATAGCTTCGAAAGAGCGATGTCATGCACCAGAAAGGCAGAACGGATAATGGGTGGCAGTTTCGTCGGGTGCGGTTGATGGAGCTCTGAAGCAATCCCGCTTGCGCAATCAATGGAACAGACACGCAGCATCGGTGCTGGGTGTGGATCGGAATTGCGCGCGGGCGTGTCAAACGCGCGGAACGACGGACGCGGCTCGTGTTGCTCTAAAAACGCGTGACGCTAATTTACGCGTAAGTTCTAGCTACGAGCTCTGGCTGACATCACGGCATTTCCGTCAACTCCCGCAGATATGTAAGGACGCTCATGTATCAAATCGATTCTGCGACCTTCGCAGACTGTCGTTAGGCTGCCGTATCAGTCACTCTGTTGTTCACGACCAGCCCTCACTGAAACGCAGACACACAAGCTTGCTTAGCATTGCATCGAGTGGCTTTACATGTGGCCGTGAGGGTCCTCGGGCTGTTCGGGAGGTGGAATTCTGAAGGAGTCATCGATTCTCAACAACGAGGTAGCAGCTTCCACAGCAGACTTGAGCGATCTGACTTTCGAGATTGTTGGCTCGAGCACTCCAGCTCTGACGTTGTCTCTGACTTGTCCGTTCAGCAAGTCCAAACCGTAGAATCTGAGAGCCTTCTTGGGATCTCCTGCGTTTGCATTCTGCGCAGCATTGTGGTACGCGCGCAGCTTGGCCACCAAGTCAGTGCTGTCCTTTCCGGCATTCACAGCGAGCGTCTTCGGAATGACCAGAAGCGCTTGCGCGAATTCGGCGATAGCCAGCTGTTCTCTTGATCCCAGAGTAGTAGCAAAGTTCTCCAGATAGATGCTGAGAGCGCTTTCGACAGCGCCACCACCCGGAACAACTGACCCAGACTCAAGAGTGCGCTTGACGACCGAGAGCGTGTCGTGCAATGACCTCTCCATTTCATCCAAGAGATAGTCGTTGCCTCCTCGTAGAATGATCGAAGAGCTGCTGACGGTCTTGGTGCCCCGGACCAAGATCAGTTCATCGTCCGAGATGCGCTCTTGTGCCACCTCTTCTGCGTGTCCCAAGCTCGAAGCCTCGAATGTCTCCTCTCCCTCCAGATTAGCCAAGCTTGAGACCAATTGACCGCCGGTTGCCTTGGCGATCCGGCGCAGATCCTCCTTCCTGCATCTCCTCACTGCCATAGCACCAGCTTCCACGAATTCCTTCAGGCAAAGATCATCGATGCCCTTTGTCGTCAAAATGACGTTGGCACCCGCTGCCAGAATCTTGCGCACGCGCTCCAAAACAATCTCGCTCTCCCTCGCCCTGATCTTCTCCAATTGCTCTGGGTCATCGATGGTAATGTGAACGCCCATGTGCATGCGCTGCTTGTGCAAGTTGATGTCCAGGCAAGCGATGCGAGCGTTTTTGATGCGCGTCTTCATTGCTTGAGAGGCTACCGTGCAGTTGAGAGCGTAGCCACTAACGAAGAGTGACTCGCGCGCGGACTTGCCATGTGCTTTGAGCACATTGACCGCCTTCACAGGGTACTTGACCTCTCCGCGAGGGTTGATGGTCTTGACGGCAAGCATGGCGTCCACTGCGAGCTGCGCGAAGAAGTCATCATCGCTGCACGGCAAGGTAAAGGAACAGGCGTTCAGGATTATTTAGATAAAGCGCAGAGACGCTGGACCGCTCTCACCTGCCAATGACCTTGCTAGCCATACTTGTCTTGGCCACATTGACCAGAGACTCTTTGCCAAGCTGCTCTACCTTCAAGCTCAACTGATCCTGCAAATACTTGGTCGCCTCGCGGCTCGCCAACCTGTACCCAGTGATGATGGTGGTGGGATGAATGCGATTCTTGACCAGCTCGTTCGCCCGCCTGAGGAGTTCTGCAGCGATGATGACCACCGAGGTTGTGCCGTCGCCAACTTCCTTGTCCTGCTGAGTCGCCAACTCGACGAGGATCCGTCCCGCGGGCTGCTCCACCTCGAGCAGCGAGAGAATCGTGGCACCGTCATTGCTGATGGTCACATCACCAATGTCATCTACCAGCATTCTGTGGACAGCAAGGCGATGATGAGCCAGATGCCTCGAGAACCTGACCCGTGCACAGCGCCCATTGTTCTCTACTCACTTGTCCAATCCGACAGGACCCAGGCTGCTCTTGACGATGTTTGCGATGCTTTGTGCAGCCAGGACATTCTCGTTCCTAATCTCTGCTCCTGACATGCGCTCTCCTCCGATGAAGAGACCCGCATTTCGAGGGTCCTTGGCAAACAATTGAGCCATCGTTGCTGACGGGGTGTCCGGTTGCGACAATTCGCCTCGTCGAAGAGGCTGCTTGGAGAGAGACCAATCGTATGAACTCGCTACACGCCTGCGACTACCGGGAACGGCTTATTGGATGCACTCGTGACTCTTGGGTGCCGGGGACTGAGATTGATCTGTGATGTGAGTACCCTCAACTCGCTACTGGTGATCTTGTGTGAACTGGCCACAATCGTGAATCTTCGCGCGCTCATACGCGTCTCTCGAATTCGTCGGTGGTGTTCGTTTGAGCGCGAGCGTTGGGAGTGGGACGCATATAGGTATGCCCACTTATTTTATCGTTCACTCAAGATTCCTGCACACTGCTGCATCTATCTAGCTGATCACGCGCCGCGCTGAGTCGGCCAATTTGGAGGGCTCGATTGATGCCACGTGGTGAGAGCTGCATGCGCGAGCTGCAGCGAGAGCTTCGGCTGGAAGACTGGCGGCACCGCCAGGCCGCAGCGCCCTGCCTCGATTTTGAGTGACGCTCCATTTCAACTCAGTCTTTCGACCCTCACCAACACCTCAAGACAACGCTCTCCTCCACACGTCGTCAGATTACAGCGTGAGTACCGCTCAAGCACAGAATTGCTCTAGATTTCGGCAGCCACCTCGCTTCCGCGGCTGCGAGGAGAAGGATGGGACCTCAGTAAGCTCGTCAATTGCGAGCAGGCCTCGATCCTTCCGAGCCAAAGGTGGACCAGTCACACGGCGCCCTCGGAAAGCATATCGAGGGGCTCACAGTCCTCGCAATGAAGGGAAAAGCGGCGTCGTGGGGCGGAACTTGCCAATTGGCATCTCGGTCGGACAGACGCCGCGATGGGGTGAAGCCTCCGCCTTTGGAGCACGCTGCAGCTCGCATCAATTGGGAAAGTGCGGAGGATTGGGAGCGCAGTGGGGAGAAGGAGGATGAGGCTGAAGATACTAAAAGGGCTAGGGACAAGCAGGGGCGAGCGCACAAGATCAGTAGTCATCGAGAGATGGAAATAATTGCAGTCCGCTAGGCGAAGCACGGAGGGCCTAAAGGTCTGACGACTACGCAACGGGTTGTGGATGATGTCGTTGTTGCGCTGGTTAGAGAACGTCAAAAGCTGACCTGCTGTCACTCACTTGTACAGAAGATGGCACGATTCACCGAGTACCTGGTCATTGGCCGCCACCTCCCCACGGAGCGCGAGCCTACCCCCAACCTCTACCGCATGCGCATCTTCGCGCCTAACCCCACTGTCGCCAAGTCCCGCTTCTGGTACTTCGTGCGTCAACTGAGGAAGATGAAGAGGGCCACTGGTGAGATTGTTGCATGCCACGAGGTGAGTGATGGCTGGTAAATCGCAATGCTAGGGGCGCGCCAGGAGCTCAGCGTGGATATTTGACACTCGTCTTGCAGATCCACGAGGCCAAGCCTCTCAAGGTCAAGAACTTTGGCATCTGGCTGCGTTACAACTCCCGATCCGGCACTCACAACATGTACAAGGAGTACCGCGAATTGTCCCGTGCCGAAGCTGTTGAGCATATGTATCAAGACATGGCCGCTCGTCACCGTGCTCGTTTTGCATCCATCCACGTGAGTAGGGAATGGCGCTGCAAGGAGGCGTTAAAGTAGTACCTAGGACAGGTTTCGCGTCACCGACGTGGCTCGATCATTGGCAGCGCTTCGCAAGAAAGGCTCGTTTGGACCGCTCAGGCTTGTCATTGTGGTCCAATCCCGAAGCTTACCTTCCCGCTCATCCCGGTCGTCAGATTCTCAAGGTGTCCGAGGTGGAGAAGACGTCCGACATCCGTCGATCATACATCAAGCAGTTGGTGAGTCTGCACCTGCAGCTTTCATGGTGTAGTCTACCAGTACTGACCTCCTTTCGTGCATCTGCACGCACAGGTCACTCCCAACTTGCGCTTCCCTCTGCCTCACCGCCGCCCCGTCGCTCGCAGCGTCTTCGCCGGCCAGCGACCCAGCACTTGGGCCTGAGCGGATCTTCACGCCTGCAGCACTTGCATTTGCTGGTTCTAGATCCCGCTTTCGTTCAAATTCACAGACGCATCCATTGACGTTCGTCACGTCAGTTGTACCCCACACGATTTTGCGGGTTTCGAAGTGCAAGCGTACGTTCTTTGCCAACGTCGACTTTGCCTCGAACGCTCGCGTACATGGCGCACACTGCGCACACTCCATCGCTGTAACGCTTACGCATCATATGCACACACAAAAGATCAACTTCTCTTCCCCAACTTCGATAGCGTGACGACCATATTGACAGGGATGCCTTACAAGTCGAGCCTTGAGTGGTCCTCTATGTTCACCTGAATCATCCATTGGGCTGCCCTGTCCGCATTGCAGGTCATGTATTATGGGGAAAGGCTGGTGTTTGGTCTTTGTGTGCATATAGATCAAGGACGGCGAGGGTCAGAGGTTTGAGTGTCTTGGCAGGTCGTGCAACCTTCCCCGCCGGTGGCCTTCCATGCGCAGCATTCTGATTGTGAATGCGCATGCCTCTGCGAGCAAGCAGAAGGTGCGTGGATGAGCTGCGTCAGCTGCAGGCGTGGGGCAGCCCGCTGAATGGAGCAGATTTGCTCATGCTGTGTGCCAATCGGAACCCAAGTCAAGAAGTCAGAGACCCGACTAGACTCGTAATAGGAGACAGTCGAGTCTGAGTGAGTGCATGGCGAGTCCTTGTCTGGTTTGCGGTAGGGCTGGGACACCGCGCATGCTTGGATGGATGCGGAGCGCGCAAAGCAAGGCTGCCGCGTGCCGCACATTTGCAGCCCGCGCCTGTCTCGTGCGAGTGTCTGTGGTCCTATCTTCCCGAATCAAAAAAGTTCAACAAGTCGTGTGTCTCGAGTGATGTCGTGCATGAAGCGGGGACCTTACGCCTCCTCATTCCAAGTCACAACGTCACATAGTCCAGCCAGCACTCACCCTGCACCTCCGCCGCATCTTGGGACTCGCTTTGGTTCGTGTTTCACCAGTTCTCATTAGAGCTGGCTATATCGCTTGTTGCCGCCTGGACGCCGGCAAACACGACTTTAGAGCAGAAACATAGCTGCCTCGCGCTCCTTCCAAGACAAGCATCGAAAGCTGGCGCATTGTGCAACCTCAGCACCGAAATGAGCTCCGCCGATTCAGCTTCCGGCAGCGAGAGCGATGGCAGCTCTACTTCCGCGAGTTCCAGCTCTGGCTCATCGCTTCGGCAGTCGACTCGGGCTCACCGATCCAAGGCGTCCGCACAGCATCTAGACGACGATGCAAGCGACAAGGAGGAGGAGGAAGACTCTGCATCAGAGCAAGAGGGTCAATCTGGCGATGAAGTGGATGCCACCTCTTCTGATCCATCGATCAAGCAGGTCGAGGAGCAGACCAAATCATTCGCTGAGCTAGGCGTGCATCCATCGATATGCGAGGCCTGCGAAAGCATGGGGTTCAAAAAGCCCACCCCTATCCAAGCCCAAGCCATACCGGAAGCGCTCGGAGGCCGCGATATCATAGGTCTAGCAGAGACAGGATCGGGCAAGACTGCCGCCTTTTCTATACCCTTGTTGAATGCACTTTGGGACTCGCCAGCTCCCTTTTACGGGCTCATTCTAGCCCCAACCAGAGAGCTCTGCTATCAGATATCTCAGCAGGTGGAAGGTCTTGGAAGCGTGATTGGCGTGAGATGCGCTACGATCGTGGGAGGAATGGACATGATGGCTCAGAGCATCGCGCTTGGCAAGAGACCACACGTCATCGTTGCCACACCTGGTCGTTTGATGGATCATCTGGAGAATACAAAAGGATTCAGCCTTAGAGCGCTCAAATTCATGGTGAGTCTCAGACTTCATGTCGCACGTATCTTATCCCGCTGACATCTGCTCTACAAATCGCGCACGTAGATCATGGACGAGGCGGATCGATTGCTAGATATGGACTTTGGTCCCATCATTGACAAGCTGCTCCTCGCCATCCCTAGAGATAGGACTACCATGCTGTTCAGCGCCACAATGACCACTCGCGTAGCCAAGCTTCAGCGGGCCAGTTTGCGCAATCCTATTCGAGTGGAAGTGGGCAGCAAGTATCAAACCGTGTCAACCTTATCGCAGCACTACCTCTTCATGCCTTTTGCGCAGAAGGACACCTATCTGGTTCATTTGGCCAATGAGCAAGCCGGACAATCTGTGCTGGTCTTCACACGGACCGTCCATGACGCGCAGAGAGTCTCGATCTTGCTACGGCTGCTTGGCTTCTCCGCCATTCCTCTGCACGGTCAACTGTCGCAGACGGCGCGATTGGGTGCACTCAACAAGTTCAAGGCTGGTGGACGAGCCATTTTGGTGGCGACGGACGTGGCGAGCAGAGGTTTGGATATCCCGGCTGTCGACCTGGTCGTCAACTACGACATACCAACCCATTCGAAAGACTACATCCACCGCGTCGGACGCACTGCCAGAGCAGGACGCAGTGGGAGGAGTGTCACGCTGGTCACCCAGTATGACGTAGAATTGCTGCAGCGCATAGAACACGTCATTGGCCAAAAGCTGACGGAATTTCCAGGTTGCGAAAGAGAGATGGTCATGCTCTTGTCAGAGAGGGTTGGACAAGCTTGTAGGGAAGCCATCAGGGAGATGAAGGACTGGAAAGGATCTGCTGGAGGCGCTGGCAAGAGAAAGAGGAGAGGCGACAAGGATGACATGGACAGGGATGATGACGAAGTGCAGGCTGGAATGCCTTCCAGAGGGCGAGGCGGTGGTGGAAGAGGGAGGGGCGGCGGTGGCGGTAGGGGAAGAGGAGGCCATAAGAAGAGGGGACGACATTGACACATAAGCGCAGAAAGCCCTTCCGGTACCGCTCGTGTCTCGCACTCAAAGTGATTCTGCAATTCCTCGCTCTCGCCTTCCATTTCTCCTGTAGCAACTGTCTCGCAATGTCTCGCAATGTCACCTTCACACCATCGGTTCAAGAAGCGCTACGGCAATTTGCGATCTTCTTCGCCACGACTGTCGCGATCGCCCAAGAGCCTCGCAGGCGGGTCGGGGCAGCATGGGAAGCCATGATGACGCCTTTGCGAAGCTTCATCGGACAGCTCAGATGAAAGGCGTTCACGATTGGCCGCGATGCCGTCCGGGCGCAACACCACCGATGCACGCGACTGAATCGTGGAATTCACGATTGCAGGAAGCACAGCCTCAACGCTCAGTTGCTGTGCGTATATATAGCAGCAGGCGCTCGCGCAGCTTCCCGCCGGGCGGCGGGAGGGGTGCAGCCCGCGAATCCAAGCCGCGGTTATCTCGCCCGCCACTTGGGTTGGAAGCGAGGTCCTGTGCAACGCGTGACTTGCTCATCGAGTCCCTTCTCCACACGACATCGCTCGCGCGTGCAGTCGTTGACATCAATGAGCCTGTTCGAGGCGTTCTCATCTACCTTTCACCTCATTTGCCTCACATTACACTCTTGACTGCTTGCGGCATCAAGGCTGGTTGCTGCCACTTACCATTTGAAGCTCTGGCTGCGCCTGCCTTTTCAGCCCTCCATGCATTGACGACCGTCTCCCTCGAAAAGTTCACACCTGGCCGCAGCATGGTGAATGCAAGCTTTAGCAGCAGCGGCAGCGGCGTTGTCGGTGGCGGGCAAGGCAGTACTCGACCCAGGAGAGGCTGGGCGCTGGTCGGTCTCGTCGTTGCTGTGCAGCTCATCTGTTGGCGAGGAGCCAAGCTGAGCGCACGCTCGTTGGACTCCCGTGCTGCGAATCACCTGGGCTATGCGTCAAGAGGAAGTCCTGCGATTGAGTATCCATCACTCGTCAAGAGGCAGATATTGGAAGACGGTGCAGCTTCTCAGCACCATGTGAACCTCGAGCCAGCAAGGCCACCCACCAACGATGCAGCAGCCGGGTATGACAGCGCCAAGCATCACGACAAGGATCACCACCATCATCACGATGGCGACAACGACAAGAAGCACGACAAGAAGCACCACACTTCTTCGAGTCACAAATCAAAGCATACAACAACATCCAAGCATCGCAGCAGCAGCAGCAGCAGCAGCAGCAGCAGCAGCACCAGCACTAACACCAAGACAACTACCACTACCAGCACGACGAAATCAAAGGAGCACAAACACAGCCCCACTGCCGAACCACCACCACATGACCCCGAGCCGGCCCCGGAGCCGACGCCGGATCCGAGGCCCGAGCCCACTGCGGGCGTGCCGGGAAGTGATTGTCATCCTATCCCACTCGAAAGAGGATCGACCGCAAGCTGCGCACACGTCATCAGAAACTGTCCTCCCAGAGGGCACTTGGACTATCTGAGGTTCTACTACTGCGCAGGCGTCCAGTCGGAAGCCTTGCGGCACGAGCTTGAATGGTCCGCCAGTGACTCCAGCGCCTCTACATCGCACATGACGGGCATGGGACAGAAGCTCGAGCTCGCACAGACCGAGGCCGTGTACTCGAAGAGACCCATCTCGGCTGCCGTCCAGGCCAGTCGGACTGCGGCACTCACGCTCATCATCATTTGGATGCTCTTCTTGTTCTCTTCTGTCGGCATCGTGGCGAGCGATTTTTTCTGCCCCAATCTGAGCACACTTGCAGCTCGGCTGGGACTCAATGAAAGCACTGTGAGTCGAGACAAGAGGTGTCACACGGAGACACCAGAGGCGCGTCCTGAGTGCTGATGGAAGCTCTGCTTCTGCCTCATCCACCACTCTCTCAGGCTGGTGTCACGTTCCTGGCTTTTGGAAACGGCAGCCCAGATGTATTCTCGACATTTGGAGCAATGAAGTCGGGGTCTGGCTCGCTGGCAATCGGGGAGCTGATAGGCGCAGCCTCCTTCATCGTCTCGGTCATCTCGGGGTCCATGATGCTCATTGCGCCTTTTCGCGTCAAGGCATATCCCTTCATTCGTGACGTTGGCTTCTTTACCGTAGCCGTCACGATGACCGTCGCGTTCCTTTTCGATGGTCACCTGCGCTTCTCGGAATGCATAAGCTTAATGAGCCTCTACATGCTCTACGCCGCAACCGTCATCATTGGTTCCTGGTTTCAAGAGCGGCGGAGGAAGCAAAGAGCAGCGATTGCTGCTGCGAGGGGCGAGTACATCCAGTCTAGTCCTAGCATCAACTCAACCCCGTTCCACGTCTCGCCGGAGAGGACGAGCGAGCGTGCGACGAGTGAAGGCATGATTAGGGGGCACAGTATGCGATCCGACCTGGAACGGACTGGCAATCACCTAGCTGTCCCGGGCGGAGGGGGCTCACCTTACACTTCCCCTCTGAGTCTTTCCGAATACGATCCGGATGCCGACCCGATGGATGTTTGGGGACAGGAAGTGCGTAATACTGGCGGAACGAGCACTCCGACCAACTTAAGTCGACAACCAAGTCCGCATGGCTCGCCGAGGATAGGGCCCTCAGGCGCACCATCTCCTGGTGCACTATCAGCCTCGGCATCCGCCAACCTGGCGCGTTCGCAAGCGCGCTTCCGAGCAGGAATCGCAGCGAGACATTCCCTGCTCGGAGCAGTGGAGTTCAGAGACGTGGTGCGCAGTCTCCAAGACGCGGCAGCGCCAGATCGCAGTATCGAGATCTTCACATCTAGAGACCCAGAGAGATTTTTGCCTCACCCTGCTCATCAACATGCCACTCATCGTTCAATCAGACCGCGTCCTAGTCGACATGCTCGAGGCGTGAGCATGGGCGCAGGTCCGATGACTGCTCTCGAAGGCCCCGTCGAAGCGTTCAATTGGAACACGACGGGTGACGGTTCTTCATCAGGCAGGGACCGATCCAACTCCACAGGCGCAGCGCAGCGGCCTGCGCCTGCTCTGAACCGCAGTACATCTGCTATACCAAGCTACGGAGCAACTTCGACTTCACAGAACACGTTATCTTCGACAAGAGCCAACAACGCTCAGACGAAGTCTTGGATACGTGACACCAATGCGAATGCTGACGTCCGCCCCGCCCCTCTAGATGCATCAGTCGCGGTTGATGATCCATGGCGGGAAGGCAGCTCGTTTGCGCAGCAGGCAGGCGTCCCCTTTCCCCCCCATGATGGCTTGCACAAGAGGGATACTAGTGGGGGCAGCGCTTCGCATCTCGACCTTCCTCGGATACGGACGGATGCTGGTCGCTCACGCTCGCCCGTGCCTTCCATTCACGTGTCGAGTCATGGTGAAGCAGAAGAGAGTAGCCTTCAGAAAGGCGCCAGCCAGTCCACTGGGCATTCAAAGAGCACACTCCTCGGTCGTTCTAGGGACCCAACAGGCGCCTATTCGCAACTCATGAAGCCCAAAAATTTTCACCGAGCCTTCGTACGCCCTTTACGACGCGCCTTGTTCCCATCGCTTCGACACTTCCACGAGAAGTCCTGGCTGGGTGTAGTAGTGTCTCTACTCACCGCGCCGGCTTTACTTGTGCTCAACTTGACCCTACCCGTCGTCGACGACGATGGAACTTCGCAGGTCGGAGATGGGGAACTTGACCATTCTGGAGAAGGAGCAGTACGCCTCGAGGGAGACGAGAGGCCCCTACAAGCGAGTGCGCCCTTCGCGGAAGGGGACGAGGAGCGCATCATTCAGCTCGGTGCAACCTCAATTTCGATGGGATCAGAGGAGGACCCATGGGCCGCCAGAGACCGAGAAGAAAATCGCAAGCGGGACCTGGACGTGGCGAAGGCGCTCAAGGCGTTGCCACGGGGAGAGCAGTCCTTAGACGATGCTGCGTCTGCCGCAACCGCGTCGGTAGAAGGGGCACATCAAGGACACGGCGCCGACACGATCACAGGAGATGTGGAAGATGTGGCAAGCGAATGCGAGTCCTTTGACTCGCACAAAGCCGTCGGCTTCGCTGGGGCGCCTTTACTTCAGACGGTCGCGCAGTGCGCCTTGGCGCCGCCGTTCAGTGTCTGGTCGGTGACCGATCCACGCGGCAAGGGACAAGGCTGGAAGATTCTACTAGCGCTTCTGATTGGTCTATGCTTGGGCGTGATCGTCTTCCTCATCGGAATCAGGGCAAGGATACACGGAGGAGCCTGGAACTCGCGTCAGTCCATTCTAGCTGCTGGCATGGCGCGTTGCTGTCTCGGGTTTCTGGTCTCTGTCATGTGGATCATGACCATCGTGGATGAGGTTGTCACCATCCTGCAAACTGTTGGCGTCATCATGGGTCTCTCGGACGCCATTCTGGGCTTGACCGTCTTTGCGATGGGCAACTCGCTCGGCGATCTCGTAGCAAACGTCACTATAGCCCGGATGGGTCATCCGGTCATGGCTGTGAGTATGCGATGAATGATCGCTCTACGGCTTCTACATGACATTGACTTCCTCTGGTCCGTGTTGCAGATTTCCGCATGCTTCGCAGGGCCACTGCTGAATCTTCTACTTGGAATCGGCATTTCGGGCTCCTACCTTCTCTCGGGCGCATCAGCCTCGGCAGCAGGACCGCAGTGGGCAGATGGCGTCTACCACATCGACTTTAGCCCGACATTACTCGTCTCGTCCATGGGACTCCTGACCATCCTGATTGGCACGCTCATCGCAGTGCCTTTAAATGGTTTCTACCTCTCAAGACCGCTAGGGTGGACCTTGATCGGCACTTATGCTGTCATCATGACGACAAACAGTGAGTGGACCGCAGATCTGGTACTGGCAACTTGATCGCTTAGCCTTTGCCTGGATCTTCGCAGTCCTGGTCGAGATCTTCTATCATCGCAAGCACAGCTACGAGCACCTCTCCATCTGATAGCTGGCTGGCGTCGGGCAGCTACCCTCTCGTACACACTCTACCTTATCTGTATATACGACAAAGATGCGGCTGTATCAACACATGGCATGAAACATTCAAAGAAAGTACAACACGAGCGTCAACGCGGCCGCACCAGCGTGCATGTAGAATGACGGAGGCCGAGTGTCGGTCGCACACACTCCGCCCGCGCATGAAAGCTAGAATGCCAGTGCTACAGGCGAAGTAAGTCCACTCTTGCTCTCTCGTAGATGCGATGTCCAACACTATCCTCTCCGGCCTGCTGCAACTCCTGTTGGGACAATGGGGCAATGCTGAACCTTGCGAAGCAGCCTTGAGCTTGAGACTGCGGCTGAGTAGCAGGAGACGCAGCGTGCTGTGTCGCATTGATGCTAGCCTTGCCTCGAGCCGATGCTCCCGGATTGACGATCACTGTAGAGTCGATGACCCGCGCAAAGGGGCGCATGATGGATGGCAGGAGCAGCACATCCGGAGTGATGGTCTGGAAGTGCGACAAGGCACTGTGCGTCACATCAAGGGGATGTCCTGTCGCACAGGAAGCTGGGAAGATTGGATAGAAGCTGCATCATGATGGAGTGGGGGCAAGCTTGACGATCAGCCTAGAGATAGGGAGATGTCCGAACGCCGCTTGCGAGCAGACACCGCGACTCACCTGCGCTGACCCAATACGTGTCTACAAGACCTGGCGAGTGGATCTTCCCTGGCAGCGTCACCGTCTTTGTTTCTTTTCAGCGCTTCTAGCGCTGCATAAGGTAACCGGACGTCAACGCAAGTCTCCTCCTTTCCAAGATCTCTCAGCACGTCGCCCGTCGTGACGCCGAAGACCACCTCATTGACGCTGAACATGCTCGGATTCGGCAAGCACTTGACACGCTGGGGTCGAGTCGAGATCCACAAATTCAGCGGAAGCATCACGACAGCTTCATTCCGGCGAGCGCGACTCACTTTCGGTATTCCCAAACTTGCGTCTTTCTTATCAAGCATAGGCTGGGGCCACGCTGCATGAGCAGTCACAGCGTCCTTGGTAGAAGGTATGAGGATGGCGGTCGTCCTTGGCGCGGTCTGCTCCAATCTAGCCAGGCGCGCAGAGATGTGCTGCTTGAAAACGTCCGCAGGAAGTTGATCTTGACCCGGTGCGGTCAATGCCGGGTGGCTGATAGGTATGAATGGCCCCAACTTTGGCCCGCAGAGCAATTTGGGCAGCGTATCAGCACTGTTTTGCCCGCTCTTTGTACCTGTTCTGCGCCCAAGCATATACAACTCAGCCGCGCACTCACAAGCAAAAGAACGTCTGGGCGGCTTTGCTCCACGCTGTCCATCAGTCGATGCCACGGCTCAAAGAGCAAGTCGGAATCGATACTGAAAGGTCCCGAAGCAACGACGATGGAAAGAGGAGTAGAAGCCATCCTGCCAGGGGCGTGATGATGCGTCTGTAGCTCCTCGGCCGATGTCGAAGCGTGGGGTAGTGGGGGTGGCTGAAGTTTCCAGCGGTTCGGTGCCGAGCTGTGAGCCAAGATGTCCGTTGGAGAATCGTGTACAGTATTACTCACTAGCAAAATTTCTTCGACCACGAATTTTCCAGCACCTCCATTCTTGCCATACAGTCCCACGATCATGCCAGGAAAGACGCCGGTTCTGGGTTCTGTCCTCGGGTCGCATCCAGGTGTTGTCCTGATTGTACAGCTGGGCGGGAAGACGAGCGGAGTCCTGCTTCCAGCTCCGACTAGTCTGCTCGACTCAAGCACCACGTTTCCGCTGGTCAACCTCGGGAAACCGCGCTCGCTCTGCTCCTCATCTCCGTCCAGAGCACCAGCCAAAATTTCTTCATGAGCAGCAGATGTCGAATGCGCGACAGCAGTCCCAGCGGGAGCAGAAAGCGCTGGTGCCAAACGGCCAATGACGTAGACTGAATCTTGAGACGCTTGTGCAGCATCGGCTATATCGTTGGCAGAGAGGTCGTAGGTCTCTAGGATGATGGATGCCATGGCATCGATACGATCGTCCAGAGCTGATGCAAAAAGATGGGGACAGCCGGTCAGCTTGACTTGCAAGGGCCTTTCAGTGCCAGATTGAGACGATTCACTGAACTCACCTTCGCCTTTGCTACCCAGCCTTTCGAACATATATCGGTAACTCCACGCTTTTGGATCTGTTCCAACAGCGAGAGCAACGCGTGTAGGACCAGCGGAGCTGGGCCCGCTTGGCGCTAGCTCGAGATTTGCATTGAGAGTCTCGAGGGTGCTTAGGGAGGCTTTCAGCTGAGCGTTTGCATTTGTAGGCGTCACGTGGGAGGCGATGCCCGGCAGAGGGCCAGCAGAATCGGGACCATTTTGAGCTCCTGCTTTAGTCGGCGCGCGAGAAGGCGTGGATTGGTAGGGCGAGCTAGCGTTAGGTATGGAGCTTCTGGCAAAGACACTTCGAGACGGTGTAGAGGGCGAGATGCCTAGCCTGAATGCGGAGCATTAATGGACGCGTAAGTCCGCAAGGTGCTTGCCGAAGCGTCTCGGTCCAATGGCACTCACATTCCACCCAGACCTCTTTTCTGAGCGCTTCGAGCAGGCGTCACCCCACCTGCGTTGCCCCTGGCATCCTTGATGGCTGCTCCAAAGGTCGCTTCCCTCGCTCTACGCTCCTCATCGCTCAGACTCCTAGTCAAGAGGGCGACAGCGCTCTCGTCAAGCGCAGGAGCAGCCTTGCTCGGTGTGGCCAAGGACAAAGAGAGGGCTTCCCATTTGTAATAGAGATCCTGAGAGGTTGGCACGAGCGTGGGATAGGTCGATAGAAGTACGCAGAGCTTCGGCACGACGTTCGAAGTGGGTGGCAGCGAGAAGGTCTTGGCTACGTCTGCGGAAGACATCCTGATCAATGTTGAATGAGATTTACAAGCGCGGTGCCTTCGCGTAGCTATCGAATTAGTCCAGTGGTTGGTGGTTGTCGGCGCCAGCTGCACGGTTGACACTCACAGCGCGCAGATGTCCTGAGATCTTCTTTGAGTGATGCTCTTGATGCGATGTCGATATATGCGCGAGCCTCGAATGAGAATGCCATGGATGATGGCAGAATTGGGCTTCCTGGATATTGGAGGGTAGATTCGTGATCGAGATTCTGGATGCACCTCACACATGACTGCAGCTTACAAGAACCAACCAACAGCACAGAGCAACGCGCCTGGGGACGCGTCGCACGCCGCGTAAATTCGCTCGACGCGTTCTCGCACGCTACTTCTTCTCGGCCGATATTCTTGATTAATACGGCACCTTAATCGTCCTTGCGTGCACGCGCAATTGAGAATCAAGAACGTGAATGCGGCGATATATGCGCCGGAAGACGTGTTTTTTACAATCTAAAGTCACCAGTCACGAGTGACGTGCGCATGAAATGCGGCGCATATCGCCGGATGATATGTTTTTAAATTTGAAGTGAGGTGCGCATACCGCTCGCCCACCCTCTTCCCGTTATCAGCATGATGTTTAGCGTGAGGTGGAGGAGCTCAGCGTGCGCACGCGGATCGTCATCAGGGGGAACGAAAGCGGAAGCTCACACAATCTGAATCTTCACCCATCAGACTCGCGACTGATCGCCTCGAGCATTCACACTTTTGACCCGCCCACCGCTGACAATCGTCCTATGTTACATTGCACGAAAAGCGACGGATCACCCTGATCCACTGCTTCGCATCAAACTTTGTGGCCGAGGAGTCGATCTTCTGCTGAGGTCTCGAAGGGCCAGCGCCAATTTCGCAGCAGGGTACAGAATGTCAAGCAGAAAGCTGCCAAGCGCATTTCCGAGCGCAGTTGCCTCTTCCTCGACGTCTACGGAAGCGCGCGACTCTGCTTTGATAGCGCCGCTTGACACGCCTCCGCCCATCGAGTCTCTGTCCGATCTCGTAGCTCATCGAGCTGCGCAGAAAACACAGAGCGCCGGTTCTGCCTCTCTCGCACAAGCCTCCTCTTCTCCTCTTCACAAGACGTTTTGGTTCGGTAATGGAAGCCAAAATGTACCTTCCGCAACTGAGGATGCTCGCGCTCAGCCCGTCTCGGAGGACGATGAGACGATCAGAAATTCTGGAGGACGTAGACGGACTCCACAGCCAAGCCTTTGGCAGCGAGCTCGTAGGGCGCTGAGTCCGCTGTCAGGACTATTGGGGCAGTCAGCCCACGCGGCACTCTCGCGAGACGATACAGCGAGCAAAAGCGTCGCTGGAGCAACCCGTGGTTCAGATTCGAGCGAGCCTGGCGCGATGTGTGAGCGTCAAGCGCCAGAAGGCGAGGCGGGATTGAGTGACACGGTAGAGGAGGAGGAGGACGTGTCGCTCGAGTCCCTGCGTCTGTCGACTGCCTCCTTAGCCATTCTCACTGCTGCGGTCGCTGGAGCGCAGATGGCCTGGTGCCTGGAGCTGGCGTGAGTAGCGTGCAGGGTCCTTTGTCTTCGACGAAACTCGCAACTTGCTGAAGCGCTTCTGCCTTCCCGCCTCGCTTTGCAGATTTGGCACGCCCTACCTCTTGTCCCTGGGTCTGTCTAAATCCTCCACGTCACTCGTATGGCTGGCAGGCCCTGTCAGCGGGCTGATAGCGCAACCGCTTGTAGGGTCCATGTCCGATCGATCCACCTCCCGCTTCCGCCGAAGGAAGTACATGCTGTCAGCTGCGCTCGTCCTCTCTCTCAGCACTCTTCTCGTCGCGTTTTCACGTCCTCTTTCTGAGCTGTTGGCCGATATCACAGGTATTGGAATGGGCGACTGGGATCCCAAAAGAGAGAAGACGGTGGTGGCATACAATCAGTCTTTTGCCATCGTCGGCTTCTGGATTCTGGATTTGAGCCTGAACGCTCTACAAGCTGCTTCTCGGGCATTAATCCTCGATGTCGCACCATCTGAGCAACAAAGCAGCGCAAATGCTTGGCAAGGACGCATGGCTGCCCTGGGCAATCTAATAGGCTATTCTGCTGGATGGCTCGACCTTGGATCATCTAGAGCCCTGAGATGGGTCGGAGGCGGTCAATTCAGGAAACTGGCGTTGGTGGCTTTGACGGGCATGTTAGTCGGAGTGGGAACGACCTGTTTGCTCATCGACGAGACCAAAGGTGCGCATTCAAACGCTACCAGTGCAAGTCACAACACGACTACGCCACATGGACATACAGTGCAGCCTCAAAGCAGTCTCTGGCAGGAGCTGAAGCTCTCGCTGAGAGACATTTGGCAAGCAGCAAGAAGGCTACCCCGACCTGTGCGTAGAGTCTGCATGGTCCAGCTATTTGCATTCATGGGCTGGTTTCCGTTGCTATTCTACGCCAGCAGCTACATCGCAGAAGTCCACGCAGCCCAGAGAGGTGGTCAAGATGCCGTGCTTCTTGAAGCTGGGCCGGTGCAGAAGTTTCTTGGGCGGTCTGAGGCAGACAAGGACGCGGAAAGGGGAAGCAAAGCTCTGCTGTGAGTGTTCGCGTGCGCGTGCGCGTGCCGTCAGTGTCGCTCCTCGGTGTATGCGGCATAGTTCGCATCTGAGGCCGCTTCGCTTCTGACCGCTTCTTCTCGATGCAGATTGTATTCTCTTGTAGCTTTGGTTTCAGGAAGTGTGCTGCCTTATGTAGCTCTTGCTTCGGACTCGCGCTTGCAGAATCTGTGGTCGAAGAGGCAGCCCTTGGCCAGTGAAGGTCTTACCGAGTCAGCACATCTGCTCCCCGGGGTGGGCGAGGAAGCAGGATTGACAACATCGCCCAAGTCCAGGACAAGACTTCAACGGATCGCCCAAGGCATTCGAGAGGGGGTTACTCTGCGGACTATATGGACCTGCGCAAGCCTCCTTCTCGCTACCTTGATGGCGATCACATTTCTTCCACTCAAAACCACTGGAGCGACTGTACTGATATCGATGGTTGGCATTCCCTGGGCAGTTGCTAGCTGGGTACCCTTTGCGTTGGTCATGGAGCAAGGTGAGCGACTGCCATTTCCCAGCTGTCGACGTTGCTGAGACTCACCAACACCGTCTTACGTCGCTTCGTCAGTTCACGAAGCCGAACAAGGCTCGTCGCCGTTTGAGTTCGAGGGAGACTATCATGGCGCGCAAAGGACTGCCCAGCGGAGGCGGGCCAGCATGCTCGCTGTGGCAAGCTTCCACGTCACAGGTACTACCTCGGAGAGCACATCAAGTGATTCCACGATGGCGCAGACACAATTGAGAGCCGCACTGAACGAGTGCGGTCCTCTGCGACGAAGAGACCCGCCTGCATCACTTTTGAAAGGGCGTTCGAGCAGGAACACGACTCCTAGTGGGAGCGTCCTGGCCAGGGGTGGAGAGATTATCGGTCATCTCCCATCCAGCGGTCCGAGGCATGCGCCAACAGCTGCCTCGACGCAGGGCGGATCGGGAGGCACGATTCTCGGCATTCACAATCTCGCCATCGTCTTCCCTCAATTTGTTGTGGCAGTCATTGCTAGTCTGATCTTCAAGGCCGTGGATCGTCAAGACCCGACGGTCACCCTCGTCGACGAAGGTGGCAGCGCGAGCCCCGATGTTTTGCCATTCCTTGTCGGGATTTCAGAGGCTCCGCACCAGCAGTCAGCAGAAGGTGTGGCTTGGGTGCTGCGATTCGGAGGTCTCATGTCCCTTTGCGCTGCCTTACTCACCAGATACATTCCGTTGACGAGAACGGAGAGGGCAAGAAGAGGTGAAATACTGGATGCTGATTTTGCACCCTCTCACTTCGACGACGAGGTAGGCGAGGACGAGGCGGATGATGAGCTGGACTGATGCTTCTGGGGCTCGGTCTGCGCTGTCTCATACCCACGATACCTCCCGCTTCACGAACCCGAAACACCATAAATGACGTGATACCTAGAGCCAAAATTTGGAATGCAATGGTTCCTCGTTGCTCGGCCTTGCATCATTCAATAGGACAGATGCACGCAGATTGTATTGCTGGAAGTACGGGACACAGAATGTCTAGAAGTGAATCGCTTTGCCAAATGTAGCTTGCATAGCCGCTTCCTTGAAAGCCTCTTGCAAGGTAGGGTGCGCAGCGCAGGTCCTGGCGATGTCTTCCGCTCTGTCCAGCGAGCAGGCCGCACAAAAAGTTGTCAGGGCTGTGGCAGACTGGCTCATTCTAGAGACACGACAAAGGCAGACTTACGAGGCAGAGTATTCCATGGCAAGCACGCCCGACGCAATCATTTCACCAGCATTGGGTCCGATAATGTGAACGCCGAGGATCTTGTCCGTCGTCTTCTCGGTCAAAAACTTGACAAAGCCTTCAGAGTCCGCGTTTGTCTTGGCTCTTGACTGCATTGTTCCAAGTGAGAGAGAATGCGTAAGCTATCCGACACCCAGGGGCAATTTCTCTTAATTAGTGTGACTTACGTTGGCCAAGAAGGGGAAATCTGCAATTATTTCAAAGTAGCGGTCAGCGTTTGTCGCGGGCAGGTAGCAACCTGCTCGTCGGATCTTCTGTACTCACTACCGATCTTGTACTCCACACCTTCGTCTTTCAATTCCTGCTCGTTCTTGCCGACCCACGCCACCTCAGGGTGGGTGTACACGACGGCCGGGATTGCATTGTAATTGACGTGACCGTGGCCAGTGGCAATGATCTCCACAGCTGCGATGCCCTCCTCTTCGGCCTTGTGGGCAAGCATTGGACCGAAGGTGGCATCACCAATGCACTTGACTCCTTTGCAGGTGGTGTTGTATTGGTCATCCACGACAATTCGACCTCGATTGTCCTTCTCGATGCCAACAGCTTCGAGGTTCAGACCTTCGGTGACTGGTCGGCGGCCGATCGCTACCAGCACCACGTCGGCATCCAGAGCTTCCTTTTTGCCATCTTTCGCGCCTTCGACGTTCAGCAAGACTTTGCCGTCCTTCTTCTCGGCGTCGATGACCTTAGTGCCAAGCTTGAACTTCAAGCCCTGCTTGCCGAGAATCGACTGGAATTTCTTGCTGTGGGTCCCGACGCAGAGTATAAGATATAAGCAGTCTGGATCTCGGATGCCCGTCACGTCAAAAGCGTGCGGCCACAGCTCGCACTCACCTGACCTCCGGGTCCATGCCTGCACCCCCGACCGCGTTCAAGAATTCGACGACAGTCACTTCTGCGCCTAGCCTGCTCCAGACGGAGCCCATCTCCAGCCCGATGACACCGCCACCAATGACGATCATCTTCTTTGGCACGCTTTCGAGCTCCAGCGCGCCTGTGGAAGACACGATCTGCTTCTCATCGATCTCAATACCGGGGAAAGGTGTAACTTCGGACCCTGTGGCAATGATGATGTTCTTTCCCTCTACCCTCGTCTCGCCGCCATCGTTGAGCTTGACGGTCAATGCGCCCGGCTCGGCAAAAGCACCGTGTCCCTTGATGTAGTCCACTTTGTTTTTCTTGAAGAGACCCTCGATACCCTTGGTCAGTGCTGTGACGCTACCCTCCTTTGCTCCGAGCATCTTCTTCAGGTCAATGGAAACATTTTCGACATTGATACCTCGGTTCTTGAAATCGTGAGTAGCTTGGTGGTACAAGTGAGAATTGTTGAGCATCGCCTTCGAAGGAATGCATCCTACATTTAGGCAGGTACCGCCCAACGATCCGCGCTTCTCGACACATGCAGTCTGTCGTGCCCAGCCAAGAGAGGGAAACGATGGTGTGTGTGCGTCAGTATCACCTGCATGGCAACTCCGAGAGCCTTGATAAGAGCATTGGCTGCACTAAGCCTAAGCCTGAGCTTGTAGGCGACTCACCTTTAAGCCAAGCTGAGCGGCCTTGATAGCAGCTACGTAGCCACCGGGCCCACCACCAAGTACGACCACATCATAAGGCTTGGCCTCAGTGGCATACCCTCTCAAAGAGCCGTTCTGGACGAGTCGAGGAAGCGTGGAGGGTTGAAAGGCCTGCGGTGTGGGGACGAAGAGATCGGCGAAAGGTTAATAGGCGACGTTTCGACTTCGCCGAGAGGTGGCGGTGCATCGCACGGTGACGATGAGACTCACCTTGGGCGCTGCACGCCTGGCGAGAAGAGGGGCCAACATGCTTGCGAATTGGGTGCTTGTGTAGCTGATACTTCTGTGGGAGATCGGCAGACTTGGAGTGGTGGTGGCAATCACGATGGGAAGGCATGAGTTACAACCACATCACCGCAATCCACTCTGCTGCTGCTGCTGCTGCTGCGAGGTGTACTCTCGGTCGAAGGTCCGTGGGTCCGCCCGCCCGTGCGTGCGTTCCACGGGTTGGGTTCGGCCTCGCAGCCCTCACGCAAACCCCAACCAGAGCAGCGCAGGCGTTCAAATTTCGCAGATCGATGAGCGCGTGCATGCATGTCAGCAACGCTTCCCTCCTCAAAGCCACACGTCCTGCCGGCGAAGCGCGGTCGAGTTGCGCCGATGCTGTTGGTGCATAGGGCTGTCTGCCCTCATGCTCACAACGCGCTCATGACTTGTGACTTGTGACCATAGCTTTCACCTCAGGCCCTCCTGTTTGCACTGCTGATCGCCTTTTGTCACGTCTTGAGGAGAATTGGAACGAAGCAGCACACTCGCACTCGCGCAGAAAACACAAATATACACCAGAGTCACTTGAGGTGGTCCCGGGCATGGAAGATGCGATGTGAAATCAGAAGGAAAAGACGAGGACAGCATGTCGATGGACCATCAGAAAGCGGATCATCCTCGGCTCAGCCAGTCTCCATCCACCAAGACGTCCATCGCAAAATCCGCAGCGCAGGACGGGAGGACTAGCGAGGGAAGTGACGGCGTGCCGACAACGATCAGCGCTCGCGAGGCCTATGGCTTCGCGCTCTTCTTATTCGCCACGCTCCTGGGTGTGGTCTGGGTCATCTGGGCTTTGACGCCCGACAGGCTGCTCAAGGCCGCCGGCTTGGACTGGTATCCAAATCGGTGAGCCCTTGCCTCTTTGACTGCAGCGAGCGCAAGCTACATGCTCACATCACGTGTGCGGACGAAATTGGTGCTCAACCCTAGGGAGTGGGCCTTTTTACTCCCTGCTTGGAACCTGGTCGCTGTCCTTGTCACCTACACCGTCTTCATGTCCCTCAACTTGTACGGCAATGGTGATCTAGCGGACTTGTCCAAGGTCGTTGGTGAGTCCCGTTCAGGTCATCTGACCACTCGCGTGACGGTTGGTTCGACGATCATTGGTGTGCGGATTTGGGGGGAGGCGCCGCGCTGCGAGATCTTCAGGCGCTGAGCGAAAGCGCATCTAAAGGTGCCTCGCTTGCCACTCATCCTGCAGATTCTCACAGCAACATACACGCAGTAGCGTCTGGTCCAGCCAATCCAATCCAGCCACTTCGGGACACGTCAAGCCTTTTGGAAACAGGATTCAGGGCCACGAACACCCGGAGTCGCCGCAAAGAGGCTCACGAAAGATACGCCTTCGATGGACCCTTGGCCGGAGATATTTACGATCTGCCTCCTGGGCTTGTTAGCAGACTCACGCCGCGGTGGACCAAGATAGAGCAGCGGCGATAAGCCGGCAGTGGTGGTAAATAGAGCCGCAACGTGCAAAAGGGGCAGCCTTGGAGACCGGCACGCATGCAAGAGGCTGCGTGACGGAGCATTCCAAAACTTTGAGAGCTTCCACTCATCAGTGTCGCGCATGGTACGCAGTCGTCAGAATTTCATGCCATTGAATGCCCAAGCTTGAATGACTGTGAGGTGATTAGAGGGTGACCTCCCTCACGCCATCTCTGTCCACGACCCTGACCTTGAACTGTCCCAAGTCGACAATGAATCTGAGTTTGAGCTGGTTGATGCATCTCCTCAGCAAGTCCAAGCCTTCTTCCAAGCTCATGTCAGGCCTGTGATACCTGTCCATCGTACTGAGAGTCAAGTGAGCACCGTAACCATGTGCGCCGAAAGGTACCGGGATGGAAGTTCCGAGATAGTCGACCCAATACAATGCTGGCGTGGATGCTGGGACGTCAAAACCTGCGAGCAAGAGGTTCACTTGGTAGGCGTTGCGTGAGCGCAGAGACTCTGCGAGCTGATTGCGGATCCAGGCTGCTGCTGCTCTTGGTCGCAGCTCAACGTGATGACTGCGGCCAGGGAGGATGCGGGAGAGGTGTCGCTGAGTGAGTGAGCAAGCGCGCAGCACCGGAGCTGCTCGATCCGAACTCACCGAATGCTGTACAGTTGCAAGTTTCGCTCGATGTACTCTGAAAATTGCAAGGTATCGCCTGCGTAGGAAAGGTCGAGTGGCTATGTCACTAAGCCGCTTTGTTCTACGCTTTTGAAGAATGCCTTTGCACACCCGTGGTACACGATACGCCTTCCATCGCAAGGCACCGTGGCCTACTTCTTAGCGTCTATCACTCACCGCTCTCGCCAGAATAAGCCATGACAAGGTGACGACTCAAGACTTTCATCTTGTCCTCATCACCCTTCATCTTGATGATGGACCTCGCCGCATTGCTATCCGAAGCAATGATGGCATATCCCTTGCCCGTGATACCGAACGTGCACTCCATCCTTTCGTCTGTTCGCAGGTAGTGTCAAATGCGTCCGGCAGGCGATTGAGGGATCGAATGCAGACCTTGTAGTTGTTCACTGATTCGATAAGGGGTTCCACGAGGTGGAGCGTCTGAAGAGCTAGAGGTCGGGGGCGCAAGCTGAACTTGGCGATGGAGACGGGCTCAATGGCTGTGAAGATTGCGAGGCCGAATTGGCTTCGCTACCCAAGAATCCGGCAGGAAGGAACAGACGAGAACTTCCGCTGTCTCGAGGGAACGAATGCGGTGAGGTCAATGAGCGCGTTGGTAGTTGTGAGAGGTTCAGTCATGGTTGAGTACGAGCATACACGACTCTCAAGCTGCACAAGACGCTTAGGCTGCTTCGCACGCTCACGACTTCAGGCCGCGCGTCGAGATGCGGTGGCCCGCGCGCGCCATCAATCGCGACTAGCTTACGCGTCCCACCTCAGCACTCCGGTTTAATATTTTTTGATTGAGGTCTTTTGGCGCGCCTTCACTCGTGGCTTCCCAAATTCTGTGCACCTTCTCGCACATGGTGGGAATCGTCCACGCGAATGACATGCTATACAATACACGCTATCGCTGTCATGCAACAATCACGTTGCTGAAAGATGCCGGCCATGCGGTACGGGCGGAAGGAGAATACGTATTGAACAAGTACACGGGTGGAATTACTTGGCATTCTGCCTTTTGCGCTCTCTTTTGATTTTCTCCTTTTCTTTCCTGAACAGCTTGTCCTGATGTTCCTCGTCCTGCAAGCTACCAGTGACCCTTCTGGTCCATTTCTCATATCTATCCTCTTCTTCCTTGTTGTCCCTCCTGCGCTGTTCCGCAACAGCAGCGGCGTCTCTTCGCAGCTCCCTAACCGCGCCCTTCTTCTCCTTCTTGACGAGTGCACGCAGCTTGGCCGCTTCCGCTCTCTCAGGATCTGGATCAAAGACGCGGCTGGACTTGCGTGTCGGATCGAAGCCGCCGAGATCGAACTTGGGCACTTGCGAAGCAAGCGGAATGGCACGGTGCGCTTGCAACCTCAAGGCTCGACGATTTTGTGACGCTCGAGCAAGGGCAATTGAGAGTGTTGCGCGCAAAGTCGACGCACGAGTCTGCAACGAAGTGGGCAAATTGATATGTGCTGCATCGATGCAAGCCATAAGCTCTTCGTATGGTTGCATCAGCTCGACGTAAGCTACGCTACCGTCATATAGCTGCGCAAAAGCTTCGACCAGGGCAAATGCTTGATGAAGAAGTAATGCCTTGACTTCGCCCCTTTCTTTTGCGTCGTGTCTCGCTGACTTTGAGGACTTGAAGGCCAACAGGTGCAAGAGGTCGGCAGGTCGTGATGCTGATGTGCCTTCGCTCTTCAGAGAAGCGACTTCCTCTTTTGTCAGTGCCAAATGAGCAGTGTGCGCCGCACCAAGATCAGGTGCAGGGATGCCAAATGCATGCTTGATGCTTTCTGCACGCTTCAGAGCCTTGCCAGTCGGTGAACCCAGAGTCAAAACAGCGATAGCCTGGTGCAGGAAGTTCAGGGACTCCGGAAAGATCCGCTTAGACTGTCTCTCATTGGACGCCACCAAAGAAGCAAGGAAAAGACCAGAGGCGAGATCCGACAACGTTCTGATCCTGCAATGGGCGAGATACTGTGCTATCAGTAGGGCCATAGGTGTAGCGACTGGATGAGACCTGTCGGAGGTAGGGAACACCTGAGCAGTGATCCTGAGAAGTGCGCATTCCGCGGGTCCTGGCCACGTCCTTGCGTTCTCGTCCAGCGCGCCCTTCGCAACGCCTCGTCCCATATTCTTGTGCATGATGTTGAGTTTACCCACAAAATGCTGCGCCGCAATTGTTGGGTAAGTCTGGGACAGCTCATGGATGTGAGGGAGCAGATTTGCGACTGTCTTGAAACCACCGGCCGATGCATCAAGTGAGCAATGAAGGCAGTGCTCCAGCAAGACACCGAGTAGCGCTGCTAACTTGTGCTTATTATCGATACCAAGACTAGCATGGTACAGCGCTCGAATACGCTGCACGACTGTCGGTACATCTGAAGCGCTGATTCCATTGGACAACAGCAAATCGAGGAAATCCTCGTGCGTCGCTGGGCAAGAAAACGTGTAGGGTAGCGAAGAGCTCGGACCTTCAGCACCCTGTAACGAGGAGCCCTTGTTGGCTTTCGAGGGGACAGAAGAAGTCGGATTGTTGCCAATGAGGTCCACTTGAGCTTCCGATCCTTGAGCCTCTTCGCTGCTGGCGAGCTCTTCCATGTCTTCAAAATTGTCCATATCTTCCTCCTCAGGCGAGCCCTCATCGCCGCTCTGATCGCTCCCATTGTCGTCATCGCTTTCATCCAGGTCAGACCTTTGCCGATCATCCTCTTCCTCCTCGTCCCGAGCGTCTCCAAGTCCGGGACCAAGACCATAGACGTCTGCAGCGTTACCCAAATCTAAGTCCAAGTCGTCATCTAGGTCGTCGGCACCTGGTGCTCTGCGATTTGTGATCCCGCCATCCGGTACCATCTCGCCTCGCATGCGTCTTAATCTAGCATCTTCGGCGATTCTCAGCCTTTCCGCTTCTTCCGCTGCTAGCTCGTCGGCCGTCTTAAGTCTGTCCTGTGGCTGCGCTCTGCGATCAAAAGCCAGTTCGCGGACAAAAGCGTCGTACTCTTCCGACTTCTCTCGTTCAACTCGGGCAGGTTTTTGAGCATTCCCATCGGCATCGGAGACTTTCGCTTTCGCTTGCCTGCCCTCAGCTTCAGGCTCTGTCGCAGTCCTCTCCGCTTCGCGTAATGCTTCGGTATAATCTTGCGCTGGGCCAAACAGAGCTTCGCGCAGTGACGCAAAGTCATCGTCCAGCTCCATGCGCAAATCATCATCCTTCTCCTTGGCACGCTGCCTCTCAAGCTTAGCCAGTTTTGACTTTGCCATGACTTCCTGCATGACCTCGTACTTGCTCTTTTTGCGATCAGGCTGGCGAAGAATAAATCGGTCGCGTACGTGAGCAGGTGCTTGCTGATTGGTTCACACGTCTGTATGCTCACATCATCATCGTTATTTTCGTCATCGAAGCCCCCAAAGTTGAGCTTGGAAGTGGTGGCGCGATCGATACCGCCATGCTCATCCTCATCGTCGAAACCACCGAGGCCCAGCCCATCGTCCTCCATGTCATCAACATTGAGGCTTTGGCCGTAATGCGTCAAGCGATCTTCGGGACCATCATCAAGATTGAACAGGCTCTTCTTGCCGCCTACGTCACCAGCCCTCGCCCTGTTCTGCCTTTCTCTTGTGAATCGCTCTAAAGCTCTCTCTTCAGGTGTCAGATTAGCGTCACCCTCTCCAAAGCGCCTATCGATGAATGTTCCGCTACGATGTCTACCTTGAATCTCCGGTAGCAGCTTCTGCCTTCTTTGGTCTAGCGCAGTCGACTTGGACACGCCAGGCCGACCCGTCACCCCCTTGAGATGTCGGCCAAGCACCTCATGCTTTGGCTTGGTGATCCTCTCCTCGAAAGGGTTGAATGTGGCATCACTGCGAATCCGCGCTAGCGCTCCTCTACGTGCCTCCTCTGCCGCTTTCTGAACCGCACCGGCTGATGTGGATGAGGATTTCCTTTTCCGCGATGCAGCACTATTCTGTCGCTTATCTTTGATTCCATCCGAGGAGAGGCGCGCTTTAAGCTGCTTGAGCTGAGACCCCTTGGCCATTGCAGCACGGTGTCAGGAATCTGATGATGCTGCCGTGCCTATCAGTGTGTGGTGGCGGCAATTATGACTGACGAGTTTGTTTGCCTGGCTGGAGGACTGCACAAAGCACGCAAGGTTGAGTGTCGGAGCGAGCTGATTGTGAAATGGGGCAAATCGCGATCAGCGAAAAAGCTGGCGAGTGGTGTTTTGGCGGATCGTGGTTGTTGTCATGTATTCAGAATGTCCTGATCCCGTTTGTGGTTGCTTCCGTTTAGGTTTACAAGGCTGCACTTTCGACTTTTTTTGGTGCGGCAGCTGCGCAGTGCGTGATTCTCGTGCGAGACGCGCGCAAGCCGGAGACACCACGATGGGAATTGGCAATTCCTACGCACCAAAATGCTGTAGCCTCCGCTTCCCCAACCCTTACAGACGACCTTCATTCTCGTCAATGCGATGTCGCCACCCACTGAGACTTGATTCTGCGACCCCACGTGCTCGCTGCTCCTTCGTCAATACGGAATGGTATCGTTTATCGAGGACGATGTGGCGGAACGGCTAAGTCAGCTGCTAGGGCTCGGCCAGCCGAACAAACTTCTGGCGAGCAGGGTCATAGCCCTCGCTCGCAGCCTCCCCTCCGAGCAGGCATTCGTGGGCGCTGCGCGCGGGTTTGGCAAATTCGAGCAGGCAGACCTTGCGGAGCTTAGAGAGAGGATCAGGAAGGCCCCTGTCGACCATGATGCGCAGGCTGTCGATGCGAATTTCGATGGTCACTCTTCGGCCGCTCGGGAAGACACCAGCTCACGCTTGCAACCCGACGAGCCAAGAAGGGCTGGACTGACTACAAGTAGCAGCGAGGTGAGTCATGCGTTCATTTGACGTGAGCGTCAGTTGAAGCTAAAAGATGCGTCTGTGCTGTAGCGACACGTTTTCAAAGCTCCGGCAACACCACGAACGTCAAAGCTGGGTTTGGACAGGATAGCAGCAGACAAACGCGCTGAAGCCCAAGTGAAGGGACCTAATGGTACAAGTGGCGGCGAAGCTCGGAAAAGAGCACGTCTCGATCCGCCGAGCTCCAGCGAATTTCTTGTTCAGGGCTCCGAGACTCCCGTCCCTTCTTTCAAGGTCCCAGCACGGCCCACAGGCGGGTCCGGGGCTGCGCAGCAGCGCGTTCGGCCTCAAGAAACGCCTAGTCATTCTGGAGGCATCAGCTCTAGCGCACGCGAAGTATTGGAAGCCAGGAAAAGAAGCAGGGCTGAAGGAGTATCTGCTGGCAACTCGAGAGACGCAGCAGCAAACAAGCAAGGGCAACGTCTTGAAGACGAGCTGAGGGATAAGCTCAACAGAAATGTCCGCTATCGTAGGGAACAGCTTGATCCGCGCGATCGGAACGGACGTGGATGGCGTGAGGACTCGAATGGTGGCATAAGCGGCGGAAAAGGCTGGGGAGGTGATGCACCAAGAACGAGTCACGGATCCAGCCGGGGGGATTGGGAAGCAACTCCTCGCAGCTCTGCCCCTTTGCCCAACCGATCGTGGGACTCAACGCCACGCAACGATCACTCATTTACTCCTCGCACGTCTCGAGGCTGGGAAGCTACACCGAGGCGCAACGGCAGGGAGGAAGACGACGGACGAATGACCCTGGCGGGAAGAGGGTGGGAAGCGGATGGCGAAGAGTCAGCCGCTTTAGATAGAGACTGGTACAGCATGGACGAAGGTGGAGTTGCAGGCGATGAAGAGACCAACGCTTTCAGCGCATATGCCGATTTGGAAGCATCCGCTACCGCCGCTGCTTCTGGATCTGGAGGCACCAAGAAGCAGACAGCAAGGCAGGCGGCTAGACAAGCGGAAGCTGATAGGTGGGAAGATGATCGGTTGGCAGCGTCAGGCATCGGTGGTAGACGAAGGGTAGATTTGGACAGCATGGACGACGAGAGCGAGAGCCGCGTCCATCTGCTAGTACACGACCTTCGTCCGCCGTTCCTGGACGGCAAGACTGTCTTCACGCGTCAGCTCGAGCCCGTGAACCCAGTCAGAGACCCGACCTCGGACCTCGCCGTCTTTAGCCGGAAAGGCTCGAAGCTGGTCAAGGAGAAGAGGGAGCAAAAGGAGAGAGCGAAAGCGGCAGCCAAGATGGCGGCACTTGGAGGCACTGCCCTGGGGAATGTGCTGGGCGTGAAGGAAGGCGAAGAAAGGGATAGCGCTGGGAACAAGATTCACGAGACGGGCGGTGACGAGGAAGATGCAGAAGGCTACAACCACCGAAGCGACAGTCAATTCTCCAAACACCTCAAGAAGAGCGATCAGGGGGCTAGCGCGTTCTCGCGCGGCAAGTCTCTCAAGGACCAAAGGCAGTATCTGCCCGCTTTTGCCTGTCGAGAAGATCTGATGAGGGTGCTCAGGGAAAACCAAGTCGTGATAGTGGTGGGAGAGACAGGGAGCGGCAAGACGACTCAAGTAGCTCAATTCCTGCACGAAGAAGGGTACACGCGGCACGGCCTGATCGGATGTACTCAGCCCAGAAGAGTCGCTGCAATGTCCGTTGCGAAGCGAGTGTCGGAAGAGATGGAGGTGGAGCTCGGCGATCTGGTCGGCTACTCGATCAGGTTCGAGGACTGCACCTCGGAGAGAACGAAGATCAAGTACATGACCGATGGCGTGCTGCTAAGAGAAAGCTTGAACGACCCCGAGCTGGGAAAGTACAGCGCCATCATCCTTGATGAAGCTCACGAGCGCGGTCTGAGTACCGATATCCTCATGGGTTTGCTGAAGAAGAGTGAGTGCGGCGCCGAAGCATATCCCAATGCCGCTGCTCGTTGACGACTTTAAGTGCCTCATCAGTCTTGACACGAAGGAGAGACCTGAAGTTGATTGTCACGTCTGCTACCATGAATGCCGACAAGGTGAGCAGCACTCGGTGTTCTTGGCACTCAAGCTTTTTGAGCTGATCTTGAGGTACGATCACGTGCTACGTAGTTCGCTCAATTCTACGGCCATGCTCCGAATTTCACAATTCCTGGACGTACCTTTCCAGTGGACACCTTGTTTTCCAAGTCTCCTTGTGAAGACTACGTGGACTCAGCGGTCAAGCAGGTCTTAGCTGTGCACGTCGGAGGTGGTGTTGGAGACATGCTTGTCTTCATGACTGGTCAGGAGGATATTGAGGTGACTTGCGATGTCATCCAGGGTGAGTGTAGAAATGCGGGAAGTGACGCTGGCGTAGGCAAGTTGCTGATGGAGGATCATCACTCCTCACAGAGCGGCTGTCGCAGCTAGACGATGCCCCACCCCTTCTCGTCCTGCCGATTTATTCTCAGATGCCAGCGGATTTGCAAGCCAAAATCTTCAACCCAGCACCTAATGGCGAGAGGAAGGTAATTGTGGCTACAAATGTAGCGGAGACTTCATTGACGGTGGACGGTATCATGTACGTAGTCGACTGCGGCTACTCTAAGCTCAAAGTCTACAACCCACGCGTGGGCATGGACAGTCTACAAATCACACCTGTCAGTCAAGCGAATGCAAATCAAAGGTCGGGCAGAGCAGGCAGGACTGGGGCAGGTACAGCATACAGGCTGTATACCGAGAATGCCTATAGAAACGAGATGTTTCCCAATACGATACCGGAGATACAGCGGACCAATCTTGCCAACACCGTGCTATTGCTAAAGTCTCTCGGAGTGAAGAATCTACTGGAGTTCGATTTCATGGATCCTCCACCTCAGGACAACTTGCTTCAGTCTATGTACTCTCTTTGGGTGAGTTGCCTGCCTGCACCCACAATACGTTCCCTGGATCGGTACTCATGCGTCATTTCTCTACTTCGCAGGTACTTGGTGCTCTGGACAACATCGGCGACCTGACGCCCGTTGGCAAGAAGATGGTAAGCTCAATCAACCCGCTTCCGCACGGCTCTAGCTGACACCTCATGCAAACCCACTTTCAGAGCGAGTTTCCGATGGAGCCATCACTCTCAAAGATTCTTATCGCCAGCGTCGACTTCAAATGCAGCGCGGAGCTGCTTACCATCGTCAGCATGCTCAGCGTGCCATCCGTGTTTTATAGACCCAAGGAAAGGCAAGAGGAGTCGGACGCTGCCAGAGAGAAATTCTTTGTATCGGAATCCGACCACTTGACGCTCCTACATTGTTACACTCAATGGAGACTCAACGGATACAGAGATTCTTGGTGCGCTCAACACTTTCTGCACGGAAAGATCCTAAAGAAAGCCAGAGAGGTTGTGAGTGCAGAGTTTGACCAACGGCAGACTGGACGCAATGTGGCTCACAAACTCCTTATCTGACTCGAATTTCTGTGCGCAGCGCACTCAACTCGAGGACATTATGAAGACGCAAAGGCTCGATGTCATCTCTTGCGGTACAGACTGGGACACCGTTCGCAAATGCATCGTGACAGGATTCTTCCATCAAGCAGCTCGTGCGAAGGGGATTGGCGAGTACGCTCACGCCCGAACGGGTATGCCTCTACAGCTGTAAGACTTCCGTTGCGATCGGTGCCAAGTGATCTGCTTCACAATCCTGACATGTATTGATCGCCTATTTCAGGCACCCAACTTCGAGCTTGATAGGCGCTGGCGTCACGCCTCAATTCTTGGTGTATCACGAAGTGATCCAGACCAGCAAAACCTACATGCACACGTGCACTGCCGTCGAGGCAGAGTGGCTGGCCGAACTGTAAGTGGTAGCGCTATGGAATTTGAGCGGCTTCTCGTCTTGTGCTGACGTTCCCACGATCCTTCGGCTGTCTCGATCGGCAGGGGCTCTGTCTTTTACTCCGTGCGACAGCAAGGAGAGAACACAACGGGAGCACAAAGGCGCTTGGAAGCTCAGCAGTCTCTTTCCAAGCAAACAGAGCACGAGGCTGGGTTTGCGGCAGCGAGAGCGAAGGTCCTGGAAAGACAGCAGATGGAAGCGAAGAAGGAAGCCTCGGCCACGCCGAGGATGCAGATCGCTACACCTGGCGGTGCAACGCCGAGAAGGGGGCGACGCATCGGATTCTGAGCCCAACATGATCTTCAGCCGACTCTTTTTCGGACGACGGGTGGTGTAGTCAAGTCCATTGTTTATTTGCGCCTCTGGGACTTTCATCGCCGTAGAGGTACACCCATTGCAGCCAGGCTTGTTGCGCGCTCCTATTGCCCTTCGTGACACACGCACTTCCATAGATCCGATCCGATTTAGACCAATGACATGAGTACTTTTCGCTCATATTCTCCGCGCTCAAATCATCTTCGTGGCTCGATACCGATCTCTGCACCTACCTTCGCCTTGCACTCGCAGACGACCCAGATCGCACATGAACGGGCAACGGTTGCCGTCTTCCTTGTGCTATGCAGACTGAGAAATTCATTGATTCCGAGGGAGTTTGGCAACGAGGCACATTCACCGCATATAGCGTTCAAGACAGACTCTTGCCCATACTGTGTAGCGACCAAAAAGGCTGCCGTGAGCCATCTTATTCGCCTGATGATGTGAGCCTTTTGCAATCTGCTGTGTACTCACAAGCGCCTCTTGGTGAAGCTGAGCCACCACTTGCTGGGCTTGCCGTCCACGTACACCTTCTCGACCAACCTAAGCGATAGTTCTTGCCGCAGCTGAGTGAGATAGGACTTCAGTTGGTCTGCGGAGTGTGGAAGAGAATGGCTTCAGCGAAAGAATTACCGCAACTCGCTTTCTTGCGCAACTCAAAGCGAGTGGTTGGGCTGAAGCCGAGCGCCTGGGACGTTCACACTGACCTGCTTCTTGCCTGGTAGCCGGAGCGGAGTAGAGGTTGTTCAAGGGGAAGCCAGCATCGCCTGGAAGGCTAAAGTTGTCCACCGCCAGTGTGGAAAGCTGCTTGATAGCCTCGTTCTGCGACATGGGCACCCTTGCTGATGCGATTTTGCTCAAGCAGTCAGAGATGTAGAGAATGAGGTAGATGAGAAGCTGCGGAGGACAGGAACGATGAAGAGGGGTGAGCTGGTCCTAGCTCTGTGCGCGCCATGCCAAGGCAGGCGAGTACAGCAGATGCAAGGCATAGTTTCAGCGTCGTCGAGCAGCAAACACCTCTCACTCACTCGGTCAGCGCCACCTTTGATTTCAAAGTTCCTGAAGAGACAGTTGGCCCTGAACAAGTCGATGGATTCTTCCACGATGTCCATATCCTCAGCAGAAGCTTCCAAGGGCATAGGAGGCGCTGGACCACGAATCTTAGTGCGGATAGGCAAGATCGACATGCTCGCTATAGATTGTATGCCTGCATCTTCGTTGTGAGCGCTGTGATAGGCTGGCATCTTGGCGACCTTGACGTGCTGTCGAGTCTCTGAAGGCGGGATAGCTTGGCAAGGAGCGCGGGTCAGATCGTCAGGCACGCTTGTGGGATCGATGGGCGAATTGCAAGCCAGAAATTGTTGTGCACCTGGGTTCGTAGAGTGGAAGACGTCGGGTTATGAGTGCAAGTCTGCCGGTGTACTCGCAGAGGTGGTGGAGGTGCAGCGAGGCGAACCAAGCAAGTCGATCGGGTCGTGATGGCGGGAAGCTGGGCGATCGCGCACCAGAGTTGTGCGGCGACTGCACGCACGGGCATCGGCATGCGGGCAGGCGCGGCGGTGCTCTGGCTGCCATCCTCGACATCCTGCTAAATCTGGTCACGTGAGTCAGACTTTGACGGCCTATATCTCTGCAACGAGAAGCCGTAGGGCAAATCTGATTGCATTTTAGTCACAAAACAGGCAATTTCCTTTCAAAATACGTAAAGACCCAGGATTTGACAGACTAGCCCCCACCGGCGCCTCACCCAGGGCCAGTGAGGCCTGGGTGGCTGCTCGACATCTTGCGAAATCCAGCCTGGCCCGCTGCTCGACATCCTGCTAAATCTGGTCACGTGAGCCCCCAGCGCCTCACCCAGGGCCAGTGAGGCCTGGGTGGCTGCTCGACATCCTGCGAAATCCAGCCTGGCCCGCTCCTCGACATCCTGCGAAATCCAGCCTGGCGCGCTGCTCGACATCCTGTCAAATCAGCCCTGGCCCGCTCCTCGACATCCTGCAAAATCCAGCCTGGCGCGCTGCTCGACATCCTGCAAGCGTCACTGTCACCGTCACCAGTCACTGTTGCCAGGTGTTGGCGTCACGTGTGCAGTCAGCCGCGAGTCTTGTGGACTCAGAAATCAAACGATGCGTGAATTCTAAATCAGTTAGAGGTAGCCCCGAAGCTACTTTCTTGACTCACGACTCACCCGTGCCTGCTTCCCCCCAACTGACTCATGCTGGACTTGACCGACGACGCTCGCATCCACAATCCACGATCTGCGCCTATGCCATCGCACCACTTGGATGTGTCTGAACTCTTCTAGCAAACAAAGCCAGACGTTAGTGCTCCAGTGGCTGGCGAGCTGCGGTTCTAGTACGAGAACACCTTTGCCACCATGCCGACTGCTGATGATCCATTCGCCGCTTTAGGCCTGCCGGTGGGCGCATCAGGTGAGTGACACAACGTCTGGCTGGTTGTCCCGAGCCTCATTCTCGATGAAGTCACACTGACGCTGCCTCGCACTCCCTCGTCGGAAATTTCAAGAGGCCGACATTCGCGCAGCATACCGAAAGCTCTCGCTCAAGCTGCACCCTGACAAGGCGAGGGACGTGACGCCCGAAGTAGCCTCGGCTCGCTTTCACGCAATTCAGACGGCGTACGAGGCGCTCCAAGATCCAGTGTATCGAGCTAAAGCTGCATCCATAGCAGAAGCAGAGCGCAAGAAAAATGAGAGGAGAGGCGCTTATGATGGCAACAGAAAGAGGATGGCTGAGGAGCTGGAGAGGGAAGAACGAGAAGGCTTGAAGAAGAGAAAAGATGTCAAGGATCGCGAGGAAAGGTTGAGAAGGTTGAAGGAAGAGGGCAAGAGGCTGACAGAAGAGCTGCTCAGGAGCAATGCGTCATCCTCCATGCCTTCCACGCCGGACCCGAAAGGCGCTGGTGGTGAGGCATCATCCGAGCAGGTGCTGGAACAGCGAGAAGACGAAGATGGCGTGGAGCCTGCGTTAGGTGAGCGTTCAAGAGTAATGCGGCAAAAAAATTGTCAGATGCATTTGAGGTTCGGCTGACGATGGTCTGCCCTTTTGTCCTCCTTCAGGGCCACTCGACAAGACTGTGAAGCTACGCTTTCCCTCCCATCAACAATCTCTCCTCGCGGGCTCGTCCGCCAGCTCAGCCTCAAGTGAATCCCTACGTACTCCACTCGCCAGCGCGATGTCGCGTCGCTTCGGCAAGATCGAGGCAATTCGATTTCTGCCGCCAAAGGCTTCAAAGAGGCACCCGGAGAGGATACCTAATGAAGCGACAGCTCTCGTATCATTCGCGGGGTTGGAAGACGCCATGAAAGCTGTGGACTTGGGTGGGCAGATGAATGCCGCGAATCCCAACGACGAGCAGACCAGGATACTGGAGGATGTTCACATTGGATGGGCTACAGCGGGTAAAGGGAATGATGGAGAGCCGCCAGCTGCTCGTTTCAGAAGGTCACGGCGTGCAAGGGAGCAGGCCGCTCCACCACGAGGCGCGAATGGCCAATATGCGCGCGGAGAAAGTCTTGTGAGTTTCATTCCGCGTGCCACGGAGACAACTGGGAGCCTCGTCATCTCCGCTAACGCAGCCTGCTTCCCGCACATCGCAGCCGCCTCCTGATGGCCCCACACCTGAAGATGCAGCGACGTACGAAGCGAATACCCTGGCGAGGCTCATGAGCATGAGCTGAAATGGGACGCGCCAGATGCGTAAGCGCGCACAGGCACAGAAGATGCTCGCCCGCGGTAATTTGTCCAGACGAACTCGAATCTTGGAGCACGTCTATGGTTCAATGATGTCCGTTGTATTTGTACATTGTTGTTCAGTATAAGCTTCTTGCACAGCATCCGTATTACCAGGCAATTTGGTTTCTGAAATTAGCTTATATCGTTGAGGCCAATCTCTTCAACTTGTTCCGGTTGGGTTTGATGCAAGTGTAGATCTTCGGTCGTGGGCATTTCAGCTGTGGCGTTGTTGCCCGATGCCGAGGGACTTTTAGGTCTGCTTCTAGGCGCGACGTCGATTAGAAAGTCAAAAAGGTCCGAACGGCGAATCGCAGCAGAAACGTCTGATCGTGTAATCGTCCTTCGCTTATGAGATGTCGCTTCCAGGTATGCTCGGCAGGTCAGATCGGATATGAAGACTGCGTAACATGAAGAGCGGAAGGAGGATCTTCGTCAGCAGAGCGGCATCAGAAATTACGTGCGACCACATGACCCACCTTCACAAGCGCGGGCAAAGATGATGGGCGCTTCCGCAGAAATCATCTGTCGAACATACAGGGCAATAGGGGTCGTCAATGAGCGCTCAGGCAAGCACACTCATGTGCAGCCATGGCAGCGCAGACGGAGGATATCCCGCTGCGCAAGAAATTTGGGACGAGCTACGAAAGATGCTCACCTTGATCTCGTCATCCGCCTTCATCACCTTTTTTATCCTAGCCAGCGGTAGCTGTCCCGGTCCCGGTTTGAATCCATCCGGATTGAAGGAGCAAGGTCCTGCTGCAATTCTATCCCCAGCAGAAGCCGGTAAAAGTGGTGCACCCTCCATCTCGGCCCCTTCCTGAGGAAGTCTTTGCTGCAGGGCCAGGCTGCTGCTCTCCACCTCTACAGCCCTCATCTGCCTCTCCCAAAACCTGTCTTGCCAACTGTTCAAGTCTTCGTTCGTCTTGACCAATGGACCTCCCGACGCGTTGGTCGATGCGCACCAAGACCAGTAGGAAGAAGGATCGGCAGAGGTGGACAGCTTGCCGCTTGATGTGCGAGGTTTTGGCTGATTTTGAGCCGCATGCGGAGGGTTGGAAGGTCCGGCTGCAGTGTTTCTACTAGAGCCTGGAATTGGACTGCCGTGAGGGGATGCCGTTGCTGCTGTAGTGGCACCAGAGGATGCGCCCGACTCCCCAGCCGTGTATGCAAGCTGTTGACCACTACGCGCCCGCTTCTTGGAAGCCATAACGGTGCTTCGCTGGAAGCTTGTTCAGTGCCAGAAGGCGCAGCAGCAAGTGGGATTGGCGGCGATGAGAGTTGCAAGTGCAAAGTTCATGAATCGGAACGAGGATGTGATGGTATGCTGACACGCTGATCAAGATGTGCACCACAACTCACCACTCACGACTGTGACTCTCGACAGCTGAAATCGTGAATCTCTTGGCGCGCGCCCGCGAGATCATCAGATATCCCGCGCGAGTGGAGCGGCCGTCATCGGCCGAAGGAGGGCGATCAAGCCTTCTTGCTCTCGCAACAGCCACGGTGCGCACTCGGCCTTTGTATAGGTTCACAATCACAAATTGATGCTGCTGTTCACATTGACATTTGTAATTATTCCTGTTTGGCTTTTGCAGCTCGTGCAAAAGCTGAGCAAGAAAGAGCGGCACCACAGGACTACTGAACCTCAACATTTCAGCAGCAAGGTCGAACCAGATGATACAAGCTTGAGCCTAGGGGTGCACCAAGCAAGTTTGCAAACAAGACCTGTCAGCAGGGTGAATCAGAAGCAAGACAGAATTTGCCTGTGCAGAAAGCAACTTTACTGCTGGAATTGAAGAGTACTGTGAGCTGGTGAGCCAGCAATGTGCACAGTCTGAACAAATGGGTACGCCGACAAGACTTGTCAGAGCGGCAAACGCGTATGCGGACAGCGTTGATCACCGCGACGAACGCATATGCAAACAGCGTTGGTCTCCGCGACGAACGCATATGCAGACGGCGGTGCTCACCGCGACGAACGCATATGCAAACAGCGCTGGTCTCCGCGACAAACGCATATGCAAACAGCGCTGCTCACCGCGACAAACGGATATGCAGACGACGGTGCTCACCGCGACAAACGTGTATGCAGACAGCGGTGCTCTCCGCGACAAACGGATATGCAGACGACGGTGCTCACCGCGACAAACGTGTATGCAGACGACGGTGCTCACCGCGACAAACGTGTATGCAGACGACGCTGCTCACCGCAACAAACGTGTAGGCAGACAAGGCGCGGGCGCGGGCGCGGGCGCGGATGCAGCTCAGCTTTCCGTGTTGAGGCGCCACGTGGGTTGTGCGCCACTGCAGCCATCTGCGCGCGAACCCATTCGCAGCTTGACACTCGCATCAGAAGATCCAGACTCTAGTCAACGCCAGATGGTAGCCACGCCTCTCACCTCACTACTACACTCGATTCTCCAACTCAAAAAACTTTCGACGGTCAGCGCTGTGACTACACTTTGTTCAACATGTCGTCGCAACTCGCCGGAAAGGACGCCGATGCGTCGGTCGCACCCAAGCTTCACTCTATTCGCATCACCCTCTCCTCCAAGAGCGTAGTGCCCCTCGAGAAGGGTGAGTAAGGAGATGTTCGGGCAGGCTTCGTGCTCGGGAGTTTCGCACTCTCGGGAAAGCAGGCATTGGGAAGGAATCGCAAGGAGGCAGCGAGGCACTTCGATATTAGGTTGCGGAGGGTATTAGCCTTTGCGCGTCGTCAGCGTGGAGGAGCTGTGGAGATGCGACTGGATCTGAGTCGCCGCACTCAGAGGGCTAGCATAGCACGTCGTCCTGCTCAACAATGACGCCAACTGATGTCCCCCTCTTTCTTCCTCTATGGCGCAGTCTGCAACGACCTCGTCACTCGTGCCAAGGACAAGCAGCTGCGCGTCAAGGGCCCTGTGCGCCTGCCCACCAAGGTCCTGACTCACACCACGCGCAAGTCGCCATGTGGTGAAGGATCCAAGACGTGGGACAGGTTCGAGCTGCGCATCCACAAGCGTCTCATCGACCTTCACTCTCCCTCCGAGATTGTCAAGCAGATTGTGAGTCGTCTCATCGCGGCTGGAAGATTCGAGGCGCACCCATGGTTTCCCCATCCCCAGCCCAGTCGTGCGCTGACACACGGCCCTTGAACGGTTTCCACGCAGACTTCGATCTCTCTTGAGCCTGGAGTTGAGGTTGAGGTCACTGTTGCTGCCTAAGTCAGGCTTCCTTGCACAGGCGGTCCATTAGGCTGCTCCGACTCGATCATGTGTCCAAAGCTGCCTGAGCCTCTTGGATTGAGCCACGATCACGAACGTCTTCATGGGCGCACTGTCATGTCGGGCTTTCTTTCAAACGCTTTGATTCGCGCATGTAACCCGACAGCCGTGCTGTAAATTCATGCAACACAAAGCCACTGTGACTTGCAGTTTGAGTCGTATCTCACTGCTCGCATTTCTGGGACAGGTTTCGCGCGCACGGCACACAAACGTTAACACCTGGACAAGAGTTGACTTCGAAGCATAAGTCGGTATTTCGAAGAACGCTGTTCCGACCCCAGAGCGCGCAGTGCCACGCAAGCAATCCTCGACTTGAGGATTCAAGCAGTCTGCACTCGTGATCACCGAGCTTCTTGACTGCGAATGATTGCTTGTATATCGCCTGTACAGCGTGCGCCGCTTCTCTTCCGAAGGTGTTTCTGCGGTGCTTAATTGCACGGGCGAAAGGATGTTGCATGCACGGCTTTTCTGACCGATTTGGCGTGCGGCTGAACCACGTGGCGTGCCAGCTGCGAAGAATTCGCGCGCGCGACGTGTGCAAAAGCTCGCCCGCAGCGCGGGCGCATGAGCTCGAGGCATCGAGGCTGCATTCGCGCCGTCCATTTCTCACATCGACCCCACCCCTCACCACAACCTTCCTGGGACCTCTCGTAAGCATCCGTGGCTCTCAGATTTGCATAGCTGTCCGACGCTCATCCCCTGCCTTTTCTGCCCACGTATCTCTCTGCTGCTCTGCAGAACTATCAAGGTGCGAACGAACAAGCTCGTCCACCCAACGCACACAACTCAAGGAAAGGGAGGGAATCATCATAGAATCAAGCCATCATAATTAGAAGACAATATGGCTGACGCTGCACCTCGCGGACGTGGTGGATTTGGCCGTGATCGCGGTGGTCGCGGTGGACGTCGCGGACCCCGTCGTGGCGCTCGTCGCGGAGATGAGAAGGAGGAGTGGGGTGAGTAGTTCTTTCAGGAATTGGTGCAGACGGGCTAGCGTGTATGCTGCAGTAGAGGGATAGACGGAATACCTTGGCCAAGGAAGGTGGACTAGACGGAGGGTGGAGGGTATACTCAGTAGTTGATGCGAAGGTCGAAGCTGGGAGAAGGAGCATAGGGCTGCGCCTCCAATGCTGCCTGCGCACCAAGCTCGCAATCGCTTTAAGGACTGTGCTCTTGTGTAACAGCGCAGCGACGCATCACTAACGTTGCTCTTTCGACACGCGTTCGCAGTTCCCGTCACCTCCGTCGGTCGTCTCGTCAAAGATGGCAAGATCAAGTCTATCGAGGAAATCTACCTCTTCTCCCTGCCCATCAAAGAGTTCCAAGTGGTCGACTTGCTCTTGCCCAAGCTGAAGGATGAAGTGATGAAGATCAAGCCAGTCCAAAAGCAAACCCGTGCAGGTCAACGTACCCGCTTTAAGGCTTGCGTTGCTATCGGTGATGGAGATGGTCACTTGGGTCTTGGTGTCAAGTGCGCCAAGGAAGTAGCAACCGCTATCCGCACCGCCATCAACATTGCCAAGCTCAACGTCATTCCCATTCGCCGAGGATACTGGGGTAACGCTCTTGGAGAACCTCACACTGTCCCTCTTAAGGTCTCTGGAAAGTGCGCTTCGGTCACCTGCAGAATCATTCCTGCACCTCGCGGTACCGGTATCGTCGCTGCTCCTGCATCCAAGCGCTTGTTGCAGCTCGCTGGTATCGAAGACGCTTACACGCAAACTCGTGGACAGACCGGTGAGTACTTCGGCGAAAGGGTATTCTCCAGAGCGGCGAGAGTAGAGGAAGTCGGTGGACCGGCACTTCGGCACAGGCGTTGCGCTGCATGTTTGCCTCGCGATCGTTTATGTTCCCGTGCGGCACCTTCGCTGACCAAGATACGCTTCATTGTTTGCACGCCTTTTAGCCACCACCGGCAACTTCGTCGGCGCAGCATACGAAGCTCTTTCCAAGACCTACGCTGTCCTCACCCCGGACCTCTGGAAGCTCATCGCTCCCCCGCCCACTCCATTCGTCGAGCACTCTGCACACCTCGCTCGCACCGCGCCCAAAAAGCTCTACTAAGCTAGCCAGCTTGTGCAGCCCCTTCGCCGAACCACCGATATGCTTCGCCATCTGTACTCTCCCACCCAGCCATGTGTTGGCTTGACATGCAACTCATGAATCACTCGCTAAGTGCAGCATCGAGGGAGTGTCACATGCCGCTAGACGCCCACGCGCTTGATCTTAGCTTCTGTCGCGCACGTGGCAAGTGCCAGCGCATGATGACGCGACTGTGGTACATATATCCGGTGGGTATACCGACCCATGACCGCAGAGTGACTCACCGGCTTCTGCTTTTTTTCTTCATCGCAGTCATTGTTATCCATAGCTGTGCGACATCTGGCCAGCGAGCGCGATAGAGGGCGCACACCGCTGTACTCCCACTCGCGACCCGTGCACGTCTACCCCCTCCTCCGCCGCCACTCGCCCCTTGACTCCTATCTTCAGCGACCGCCACCTCTTGCGACCGATGCGCCGACCGACGCGACGACTTCACCACACCACTGGCGTACGAATGAAGCTGCTACCATGGACACTGAGAATCCCGCCATCGCGACTCGCGTCGAGGAGATTATCAAGAACGCGTGAGTGTCTCCGGAGAAGAGCGCTTTCACCTCGCAGCCCCGCAGTTCCTTACACGACTATTTCAGTGACTCTCACAAGCCAGCAATTGTAGCGATCGCAAAAGCACTGCAGCGCGCCTTCAAGCCAGTTGAAAAGAGAAAGCGCGACAAGAAGCCACGATCGTCGCCAGCAGAGAAGCAGTCATCGTCGCCAGAGAAGCAGTCATCGTCGCTAGAGACGCAGTCATCGTCGCTAGGGACACAGTCATCGTCGCTGGAGACGCAGTCATCGT